GTATCAGATTTACTAGAGTCATGAATTTAGTAGAGGTGAGTTGATGTGTGATTTCAACCATTTGTATTATCCATAGATAGCAGAATACCAAGTATAATAGGTATAGTAAAAGAGTGTGGCTCTCTTCCTTAACTCACTAAAGTGTCCAATATTCTAGAGTTGAATTTATTAGAAGAGAGTTGATAAGTGATGTTCAGTTGTATGTATTATTCTGGATAATAGATAGAGAGTCCAACTGCAGATAGTGGAATACCTTAGAGGTGTCAAATTGTTATAAACTATGTGGCTTTCATACTCAACTATAGTGTCCCTCATATGTCACATCAGATTTCTTATTATTTTAACCATTCCAAAAAGCAATATGATGACTTATGTTTCTTTATCGGTCCATCAGACCCAACATGTCTCAATCGATCATGTTTTAATATGTTTTCAATAGAGAAAATGTATGAGACACTCAATATTTAATTAAAATATAGTGAGTCATAAATGTGTAACTTGAATAATTATCACAAGCATACAGTTTTCCAGCGAAGTTTCCAAAATTAGTGATTGCAACTTTACTAGACTCAAACAAGCATAGAACCCTATTGAATCAATGAGACACAACTAAATACATTTGTTATAATTTTAGGGACATGCTTCAAACTGCAAAGAGTGATGATATTTATGGTCACAAACCTAAACATCACACATCTTCACATTGTGAACCATATCCCTCAAATGATAAGAGTGTTGGCTTATTAGCAGGGTCTTACAATAGACTACAAGAGGGTTTCTCTTGTCTTAATTTAAGATATGATTGTGGAAATAAAATTTTACAAAATGAAATCAACCACATAAGACAAAAAAATTATATAGTCATTTTATCTGAGCCAAAACCTATCCTACCATCAAATTCTTTCTTCAAGTATTACACTAAGAAACGTCTAATCTCTTATTCTAAGTTGGCTTTCCAAGGTGTTAATTATACCTTTTTACACCTAATAACTATAAGTGAAAAAAACATATGAAACAACAATAAATGAACGAAACTAAATAAATTTTAAAGGGAATAAGAACACCTAAAGAAGCTTAAAGAGAATTTTTGGACTAAGAGAGAAAAATTGAACTGTTGTGATTTGTGAAAACCCCCGACATCTCACTTTTGATAGGACTGTTACGACTGTTAAGGCCAAACTATTAATTGTAAAAAGCTTTAGCATAATCCCTATATATAGGATTACATTTTTGCTCATCTATTTTCGACATATTTTGTCTATTATTTTGGGAAATCTCAGTTCTTGCCGCACTACATTTTCTGGTCTTCTTCTTTTTTTGGTCTTATAGAATCTCCATTTCTCTGCCTAATATTCACGTAGAAGAACAAGAGCCGCACAAGGGGATGGTTTCGCCCCCCTCGGTAATCCTTCGAGGGTATATGCAGGACGGAATCGTCTCTCTTACCTCAACATCAAGTATCCTGCGGTGCCCGGGACCCCATCGGCGGCTGGAGGCTGCACGATGGTCCGTATGATTGGCGCGCAGTGTCGTACGGAATGGCGCCGGCACGGCTGGAGGTGCGCGGGGCTCGCGGTACTTTGCTGGACGGCGTGGGCACAGCTGGGGGACCCGCAGCAGACACCGGAGCGTAGCCGCGCCGGCGGCATGCGCTTGTTCGGCACCTAACAGCGCCGGCTCCAGGTCGCTTGTCCCGGAGTGGCCTGCGCGAGGATGCTTGTGGAACAGCCAGGCGACGACGATCGCGGGAAGGCCAGGAGTTCCGCCGCTTGAAGCCAGGCGAGCGGCTGCACGGCCTGCTACGCGTAAGCAGTGGAGGACCGCGCGTGAAAGCGCTGGACCGGGGGGGGACGCTCGTCGGCAGGCGTGAGAGGCGCACGACGGCGCGGCTTGCCACGCCGTGAGTAGCGGAGGCTGAGGCATGGGAGCGCGAAACCCGGGCGGATGGTATCGACGGGGCGTGATGCGGTCAAGGTGATCGTCGGCAGGCGTGAGAGGCACGGCTTGCCACGCCGCGAGCAGCAGAGGCTGAGGCGTGGAACCGCGTAACTCGGGTATGGCATCGACGAGGCCTGACGCGGTCAAGGTGCTCGTCAGCACGCAGAAGAGGCGCAAGGCGGCACGGTTTGCTTCGCAGTGGTCAGAGGAGGCTGAGACGTTGGAGCGCGTAACCCTGGCGGATGACTTGGAAGGGGCGTGACGCATAGCAGCGCCGGCACCGGGAGAACTCAATTTGAACTGCTCGTGAGGGGGGGTGGGGAAGGGGGGCGCAGTGTGGACGCCACGCAGTCGTGCTTGGAAGCGGCGCACATCACCGCCCGCTGGTAGGGGGAGAAACGTCTTGTGGGCTGGACGCGCTTTTTTGAGCCTATAGGAACATTGAGGAGAACGATCTAGGAGGAATATCTGCTTGAATTGGCAACATAAGCCCCTTATATAAAACAAAAAAAAAAGGCGCACAAGTTTGTGTAAAAGTTGGAAGTTTTGTAGGAAATCTCTTTGGAATAGCAGATTAGAGAGAGAGAGAGAGAGAGAGAGAGAGAGAGAGAGATGGGGGATAAGTCTGAAGTGTTCCTTCATGGAAGCTACAGAGAAGGCTAGCTCACCTAGTCTGACCATATAACTCACGAGTTATCGCGGCCTTCTTCTTCTCCAGGCAATCGAACAGACAGTCATGGAGAGAGGGAGAGAGAGAGAGAGGAGAGAGAAGGGGCTGAGACTCACGGCTCCGGCCCAAAGGTCAACGTTCGTCAGCGGAGTCAACCCAACAGTAGCCAAAAGTCTGCCGGAAATCTATAATTGTAAACGAGAGGCACGAGGAAGGGTCAAGGTCATGAATCTAATCATCGCGCTGAGTTGACCTTGCCATGACAGATTTTGGCACTCCATCTTGTGCTGCCCGTTTCTGGATGCTTACTATTTATATAACAACATCTCTCACCTAGAGACAGCTTTCATCATGGTAAATGATGGCGGGGGAAAAGGAAAACCGTGGGGCCCACTCCAGATCAGATCAAAAGTCATTATTGGAAGGGAGGTCAATATCCTGGGCAGCACGGGGGGGGATTGATCTTATCTGCCACGTGATTGGCTTCCAAGGGCATATAAAGCCTACACCTCGTGCTGATTAGGGCCACAACCATGGTTTTGCTTAGAAAATTAATAGAATCCCACCACAGAGTAAAATTATTTTGGAATTATCAAGATGAAGAAAAAAAAACCACTTTTAAGCAAACTTCGAGGCCCAAATTTTTATTCCCAGCTTTTAATGGGCCTAATCTTAGAAAGAAATGAGCTGGCTGGCCAAGGCGGCCTTTTGAGCTTACTCGGCCAACTGGCATCCAGCACCAAGATCCTACGGTTGAAGTTCTCTCTCCTCGTTGACTTCATGGATCTTAATAATCCAAAGAAGAAATTCAGTAGTTTATGACTTTTGGACTCGTCAATCCCTTTAAAACTGGATAGATCATTGTAGGATAATGCGATGTGTTCCCACGAGTCAAATAAAAAGTCAACCTACGATTAAGAAAGAGAGGGAGATAGAAAGAAAGTGTCAACGGAGGTAGAACCTCTCCTTTTACAGTCGTCAATCCCGTAAAAGTCAACATATCATTGCAGGATAATGTGTGCATTCAAAATGATCCATTTATGAGACGAGAAAACTTCCATGGAAATAGATGGATAGGATCCTGATGAACCCAGGAGAAAAGGTGTAAAAAGTCAACGGCAGTCCAGGTCCCCTATCACGAACATTTTCAGGAGACTGAATTCAGGGTACGAAGTTTCCAGTAGAGACAACAACACAAGGCCAACCCCAAATAAGTATCACAGTCATATAATTTTCTAGCTAAGTTTTCAAATTTAGTGATTGCAACTTTACTAGACTCAAATACAAGCATAGAACCTATTGAATCAATGAGACCCAAATATTTACATTTCCTATAGTTTGAGCGACATGTTTCCGACTGCAGAGAGTGATGATATTTATCTCATAAACCTAAACAATATACATCTTCACATTGTAAACCATATCCCTCAAATTATAAGAAACCCAAATAGGGTTAGCTTATTAGTGAGGTCTTACAATACACGACAAGAAGGATTGGCTTCTCTTAATTTAAGATATGATATTAGTAAGATTTTATATAAAATGAAATCAACCACAGAAGACAAAATTCTCTAGCTGTTTTATCCAAGCCAAAACAATCCTACTCTCAGATTCTCTCTTCACGTATTTCACTAAGATACACTTAATATCTTATCATAAGTTGGCTTTCGAAGGTGTTAATTATACCTTGTTACACTTAGTAATTATAAATAAAAAATCTATATGAGAAAAAAATTAAATGAACGAAACTTTTAATGGAAATAAGAGTCCCTAAAGAACCTTAAAGAAAATTATTGAACTAAGAGAAGAAGCTTGAACCACTGTGACTTGTGGAAGCCCTAGACATCTCGCTTATGACGTAACTGTTATGACTTTAAAGGTCAAACTATTAATTGCAAAATACCTAAATTTAGGGTTGTATTTTTTCACCTCTACACCTTATTTTCGACATGTTTTAGCTATAATTTGGAGAAATTTCAGTTCTTGTTGCACTCCTTCATTTTCTGGTCTGTTTGTTTTCTTATGGAATCTCCATTTCTTAGCCTATTACTCACGCAGAAGAACAAGAGCCCCACAAGTTCGTGCAAAAGTTGGACGTTCTGTGATCGTCAAAGAGTCCTTATCTTCGTCAGTATCAAAAGCGCCGTCCATCATAACTCGTGACCCGTCCCTCTGGCGAAGAGTTGTTCTTCATCTGAGGCATATCTCGTATTTCCAAACATAATATTATTTTATTTCTAGCTAGTAAACAGAGTGGCATTAGTAGCGATCACGGTTCTGAGACCGTGAAAGCGGGATACATATCCCTCCTTATTTCCTTATTATATAGCCCGGTCGAAAAGCTTGACCCATGGAAGAAAGAAAGAGTTCATGGCCGCGGCGAGACGGCGGCTCAAGGACAGAAGACGACCCTGTAGTTGCCGCCGGCGCGGCAGGTGAAGGTGCTCGTGGCATCGTCCTTGGGGTAGCTGTAGGCATCTGGGCACCTCTCCTTGAAGAACCTCGAGTAGTTGGTCGGCGTGCAGCTGCCGGAGTTGCAGCAGTAATTGTCAGTCTTGAACACGTTGCAGGGGTCCCTGCACGCGCTGGGGGCCCTCAGCTCCGCCGGGCACTGCCCCACGATGTCGGCGGCACAGCGGATCCCGCGGCACCCGCCGGTAGTTGGGCTGAAGTCCATGGGCACGTTGAAGCCGTCCACCAGGGAGATATCGAAGAAGTCGAGGTTGCTGAACTGGTTGAGGGCGTACTCGGCCAGGGTGTTGGGCGCCTGCCCGTACCCGCGGCACTCCAGGAGGCCGCCGCAGTCGCCGGTCTCGCAGCGGCCGCGGCCGGCGGCGTCGAAGGAGCAGCCGGTGCGAGCCCACACGCGGCCGCCGGTGGTTCCTGGGTTGACATTGAACGTCCAGGTCTGACCGGAGTCCAGCCGGCGGCCTCCGCCGGGGGAGGCGGCAGCCCAGAGAGTTCTGGAGCAGCGGTTGATGACGGTGATGGTGGCGGCGTGGGAGAGGGTAAAGAGGAAAGGGAAGAAGAGAAGAGAAACGGGGAGCCTGCGCGAGGAAGCCATGGAGGAGAAGAGGGTATCCACCGATTCTCGCTTGTTGTTTACTTTCGCTGGCTCCGCAACCATATTTGTAGGAAATCTCTTTGGACTAGTAGATGAGAGAGAGAGAGAGAGAGAGAGAGAGAGAGATGGGGGATAAGTCTGAAGTGTTCCCTCATGGAAGCTACAGAGAAGGCTAGCTCACCTAGTCTGACCATATAACTCACGAGGTATCGCGGCCTTCTTCTTCTCCATATCCGGGGTACAAGAAGTCTGGCAACCGAACAGACAGTCATGGAGAGAGGGAGAGAGAGAAGGGGCTGGTTCACGGCTGTGGCCCAAAGGTTACGTTCGTCAGCGGAGTCAACTCAACAGTAGCCAAAAGTCTGCCGGAAATCTCTAATTGTAAACGAGAGACTTGAGGAAGGCTCAAGGTCTGGCGGGTACCTGCGGATTCTCCCTCTGATAGATATTATCTCGACCATTGCCGCCTGATTATCTCCGAAATAACACGGGCAACTACAATTCCATTCTGCAGGGAAATCAGAGTCGGAGCTGGAAAATCATTCTGAAGGTCTGGGTTTAGAGAGAAGCCCATGAAGAGGGGCTCTTTGTTATTCATGTGGAAGAGCAAGCGCAGCCGAAGCAGGCGTAGAAAACATAGAAGGGAATAACCGTCAGGAATGGAGAGAGAGAGAAGATGGAGACTTTTAGGCTTGAATTTGACCCATCCGTCGTTCTTTCGCCCATCTGCCGATGTTCGATTTGGCTTTCTAAGGTCTCTCTCTCTCTCTCTCCCCTCCCTCTATTTCCTCTTTCTCTCCCTCTCTCTATTCCCTCTTTCTCTCTCTCTCTATTCCTTCATTCTCTCCCTCTCTCTCTCACTCTCTCTCTCGTCCCGCCCCCCCACTTTCTCTCTGTGTATGCATCTCTAGGTTTTTCCACAGTCGCATGCATCGGCTTTCTATCGCACAAATCTCCGTCTGATTTCTCTAACCCGGATTATTTTGAAAACCCTGGGAGGTTATCAGTTAATTGCCGTAAAAACCCTACACAAAACTCTCATGCAAATAGGGGCACAAGAAATCTCACAGTCGTTTCGTATAGTTTCAGCACTAATCAGTACACCCGCTTCTTTCCCCGACTCGTCCATCTGCCCACCTCACACGTTGACTTCTCATGGTTTTAAGCATATTTTCTCATGGCTTGGCTTTGCTCTTCCCAAATTTATGCATCCCCACTTAGAAGGCCCCTCCTAAACTTACATGAAGCATTGGTGGCCTTTTGGCAGATCAAAACTTCCTTGAGCGTCGACTTTTGGATTTGTAGAAGCCTCAAACACCTGGGACTTTATGCGTTGACAATCCCAATAATTCCCCACAGAGAACTCCGATTGGCTGATCTTTCATCTTCTTCCAGCCTCCCATCTTTGGGCAAAGTAGTCATTACGACTCGACTGATGTCAACGCCTTGTCCCATTTTTTCATTTATTTGTTATAATTATGTTCGAGTTTTCCTCTATTCCATCATTATCAGGCAAAAAAAATCATCTCTCAGTAAATATTTCATCTTTTATCTTATTGTGCCTCTCTGATCATGGTAAATGGCGGCTACAATGCCAACAATAGTGGGCATGATCTTTTGACTAACAGTCCGCCGTGGGGCCCACTCCAGAAGTCATCATCCCAAGGGAGGTCAACGTTCTGGGCGGCACATTTGACCAAAGGATTATAAATCCTATAACCCATGTTCATAAAAGAAGAAAAAAAATAAAAATCCAAGGGATTCGGGCGAAAGCCATGGTTTTGCCTAGAAAATGAATAGAATCCCCACAACAGGGTAAACTTATTATGGAATTATCAAGATCACTGGCATCCATCACCAAAAGCCCACAGTTGAAGATTCTCTCTCTCCTTGTTGACTTCATGAATCCTAACAATCCAAGGAAGACATTCAACAGTCTAGGCTTTTGGAGGTGTCAATCCCTTTAAAACTGGATAGATCGTTGGAGGATAATGAGATATGTTCCCATGAGTCGAGAATATTACCACGGAACCCTAATATACCAAGGAGAAATGGAGTTGGAGTCACATAAAAAGTTAACCTACGATTAAGAAAGAGAGGGGTCAACGGAGGTAGAGCCTCCCCCTTTAAAGTCGTCAATCCTGGTGAAAGTCAACATAGCATTGCAGGATAATGCGTGCATTCAACATGATCCTTTTATGAGACAAGAAAACTTCCATGGAAATAGATTGCATAGGATCCTGATGAACCCAAAAAAAAAGAAAAAAGTCAACGGCAGCACAGGTTCCCTAGAGAGCTATTCTTCACGAATATCTTAAGGAGACTGAATTCAGAGTAGGAAGTATCCAGAAGTGACGACAACACACCGCCAACCCCAAGAAGAACTACCATGTTCCTTCGGCAAACTGACCAGGATTCTGAAAGGCAGAAAACCCCCAGAAAGTCTTCAAGGAGTAGGCCGGGTAGATAGTGGCGCCTTCTTCGGTGATCTTGGCGATCTACAGTTTTGGAAAGATAACCAAGAACATAATGAACCGGGGGAATTTAATAAATAGATATTTTTCCTCAATATAATAATCCCCATCCACAGGGAAAACACAAAAGAACGAACTAAAAACATATTGAACCGGGGAAATATAATAAATAGATATTTTTCCTCAATATAATAATCCCCATTCACAGGAAAAATATAAAAGAACGAACTAAGAACATAATATAGCGGCGAAATACAATAAATAAATATTTTTCCTCAATAGAATAATCGCCATTCACAGGAAAAAGATAAAAGAACAAACTAATAACATAATGAAGCGGGGAATATGATAAATAGATATTTTCCTGAGTATATTAATCCCCATTCACAGGAAAAAGATAAAAGAAGAAACTAAGAAAATACTGAAGAGGGGAATATAAATAAATAGATATTTTCCTGAATATAACAATCCCCATTCACAGGAAAATATAAAGGAACGAATTAAGAACATAATGAAGTGGGGAATATAATAAATAGACATTTTTCCTGAATATAATAATCCCCATTCACAGGAAAAAGTTAAAAGAACAAACTGAGAACATAATGAAACGGGGAATATAATAAACAGATATTTTTTCCTGAATACAATAATCGCCATTCACAGGAAAAAGTTAAAAGAACAAACTGAGAACATAATGAAACGGGGAATATAATAAACAGATATTTTTCCTGAATACAATAATCGCCATTCACAAGAAAAATATCAAAAGAACAGAAACATCCAAGGAGTGTACCTGGAACTTGTTGATAGATGACCTGTCACGGTACAAGAGCACGAGCAGGCATTTCTCCAGCAGCTTCACGGCTTCCTCGAAGCTCATGCCCTCCTTCCATTCAGAACGAAGGATTGGCACCGCTAGATGGTTTCCGAATCCGGTAGCAACATGGTTATCCGCGTAATGCGCGCCGAGCATGGTAACCTGCATGGGGCACTCAAAGAAAGTGTGAGGTCGATAATTACAGCAATATCTGTAAGGGGGAGAGTAAGAGAGAGAAACAAACAAATGGGCATACCACGCCAAGATATTTGTTCCCATTTTTCACTCCACCGAGAACAAGGGAGTTCCAAAGAGGATTGAATTTGTTGCGCCTATTGTACATCACTCTGTTCAAGTAGTTGTGGATCTCTTTGGGGCCCAAGGAATTCCCATCATCCCACATGTTGTCATATAGACTGCAGTATTAGGAAAGATATGAGAAGTTGCCCAGAATAGAAGCACTGAAACAGATGAGGCATCAATCCCCAATCTTCAATACAATGATAAAATAGTCCATATGGATTGCTAAAGTAGGACCTTGGTTACATTCCATGTTCTTACATTAGCTCATCAAGGTACCGCAAAATCTCTTGAAAATCGCTGATTTCCCCACTTGCGCCAAGAAGTGAATGCTTGCCAATCACTTTCATTCGCTCAACACTCTTGTATCGTAGAGTTGAACCATATGAACCTGGACATTGATTTGAACAGGGAGACACAGATGAGGGTGACCAAAATACCAATGAACAATAGTGGCAACGGCCATGGAAAAGATCTCTGTGTAAAAGCATCGATGTTACTAACGAGAAAAAATAATAATAAATTTCCAGATGCAATAATAATAAGAAACTAAGAGAAGATGCCAGAGGCATAGGTGTGGGAGTTGATAATACCAAAGAATAACATGAATCAACAATGAGCTTGAAAGCAAAGAGAAGCAATAGAAGTGGCATCACACCTGGGTATTGTTCAATGATTATACGCCCTAAAAACTATGAGATTTGTCAGTGTTTAGACCAATGATAAAAAAAAATCCATTTTTTTCAAAAACTCTCCACATGGCCCCGATTCAAAATCCGAGTCAATAGTTTCTTTCCTGACCCAAATTAGCCGACTGACATCAGAACCAGCACATTCAGGGTACTATTCCAGTGAATGACTTCCATTTTTTTATCAGAATGCAAGAAAAAAAAAGTTAAATAAATCCATAAAACTGTACATCAAAGAATAGAATTTCTTGACCAGCACATTCTATGAGCGCTTGGTAAGGTAGGCAGGTGATGAAACACGGACCGCATGACTGGCTTAATTAGAAAAGTCCGAAAAAGATGACCCCAAAGTTAGAGAGGAGAGCCGATGTAATGTCATAAAGCCTTGTCAAGTAGCCAAAGCAATCTAACAGTCTCAGAAGAAAATATCCCACGCAAGGAACCATTTACCCTCTTAGAACCTAGGCCACATTTTTATTCTTCTAAGTGCCAAGCCACAAATCCAGAGATTGCACAAGGCACACTTTTTTCAACGAATTGTATGAAATCTAAATCGGGCAGGCACGCATATCACTTAATTAGCTCAGGAATCCAACCACGTAGCATTTCCGTTTAGTTTTTAATAATACACAGTCTCGTCTCTTCACTCGCCTATAAATATGACGATGTCGAAATGCATACCACACAAAATTAGTGTACAGCTGACACAACGAAACTTGTAGAAAATAAAGTCGCCTCATAAGAGAAATAAATTAAGAACTTGCAAATGAACACAAGAAGACTTAGATGGGATATGACCTCCGGTATCAGCAGCCATGAGAATTCCATCTTTATATTTTATGCCAATTACTGATGTACCAGTAACATAAGGATACCTGCAGGACAGTACCCAGTTAAATCGTAACAAATAATTAAACCACTTCTGCATGTTTCTCTCAGCTTAAACCTGGTAAGAAAATCCACATATAACACGATTCGAAGGCCTAGATAGAAAATAGGTTAAATTGCTAATTAACTGATAACGTCGCCAACAGCGTTGCAAGTGCGTCAGGCATGAGAAAGGTACCAGCCCTGCTCTTCCAGGGTCAAGATCCATTCAGGCATACATTTTGACATCAGGAAGCGATCTTCTATGCAGTACATAATGCCCAGCCGTTTCACGGTCTAAAAAGTTGCAAAACAATGTACAATTTTTTGAAAAAAATCACTAACACTACTTCTTGAAACCAAGAGCACTGTCTATCCCCTAAAGCATTGTCGAACCAGCTTCCTGAGGTCATTTCATCAACTTAGTTGCAATTAAAATTTTACGTTAGAAAATAAACTTCGTTACGAGTTCACACATCATTTTCAGTTCAACTTTCGTAATGAGGCTTAAAGACTATTTTCATTCCCCATTTCAACCTAAAAAAAAGAAATGTAAACGAAAGTACACTCATCCAGTCATAGGTTGTTCTATAATTACACGGTATCCCGGCGGGCAAGTTGGGAGACGGCAAATGAGATATGCCCAGCCCTATGTTTCCCATGCGAATCCTGATGACCAATAGCCTAGGGCACGGCTAACGACCCAATCGACCAAGCTATTCGTTAACCAACAGCACATAGGCACGAGCTACGAAATATCAAGGACGACAACACCAAGTGCTAAGAATGGACGCTTACAGGGTCCTTTCAGAGCCTGCAACGTCCTCGTCGTGCGCCATAGGAGGAACCGTCGGATGCTGCAGGAGATCCAAAAGGGAAACGATGGTCGGCGCCGGAGAGATCAAAAGAGCCACGTACGCCTTAAAAACCAAGACGGATCGGGAAGAGCATGAGCGAAGGCGACTCACCTCCATCGCGGCGCGGTTCTCTCTCCTATCGTCGACGCCCTCTCTCTCTCTTCCTCGATCACTCTTCTTCTTCTACCTCCGAGCTCGTCCCCTTCCCCAAGAAACAACCTATAACCAGTACGGGTCTCCCCTTTCAGGCTCTAGACCCGTTTTGATCCGATAACTTCTAACGCAAAATCTGTCCGTCTACATCTTGATCGAACGGCTGGAAATGGTTTCAGTTGCCCGAAAAGGAATGAAAAAAAGTTAAACGATCGCGATGGGACTCGAACCCACAATCTCCCGCTCCGGAGGCGAGCGCCTTATCCATTAGGCCACGCGATCATTGCAACAAGATAATTTATTAATAAAATATTTATATTATTACAGAACCTAGCTTCTCCCATCGAAACCACCTCCTCCTTCCAGTTACAGGCTCTCTCTGTTCTTATGCTACCGAGCCATGGTAGGGCAGCTGAGCCGACGAGGCCGCCGGCAATGAGGAAGACGATGCTGCACCGGCGGCGATCCGCCGGAGCTCCCCAATAATGGCCCTCTTGCTGGTTGCAGAAAGGCCATGGGAGACGTTGTTCTTGTGGGCGATCGCAGCCGGCGACGGCGGTGGCGGAGGGAGACGGGTTCTTCTCTTTGGTTGCAGGTGAAGGGAAAGAGAAAGAGCTGCGTCAGGCTTCGTTAGAGAGAGACACACGGGAGTTACTAATGGAAGAGCTCCGTCTGGAGATGCAGAGAAAAAGCCGGAGAGAGAAGATTGATCTCTAGTGTCATATTTCTATCTCCCGGTCCGTCCGTGTGCTGCGAGGACGGCTTAGTTCCGTCTATGAGCCGCTGACGCCGACCGCAGTCGCGGGAAGAAGAAGACGAGCCAGAGAAGAAGAAGAAGAAGAAGAGAGGATAGAAGAGAGAGAGAGAGGGAGTGAGTGAGAGAGAGAGAGAGGGAGTGAGAGAGAGAAAGAGAGAGAGAGGGAGTGAGAGAGAGAGGGAGAGAGAGAGGGAGAGAGAGAGGGAGGGAGCTAGAAAATCGTCAGTGGAGCCTCCTCCTCACAGGGGACGGTGAAAAGAGATGTCGTTTCCTGTCTTTTGAACAAATACGTTGGAAACGTTGAAAATCTCGTGAGAAATTCTCCTTAAAAAATGGAAAATCCCCATTTTCCGCATTTATTTAATATCTAAGATGAACAAGGCAAGGCAGATCTGTAGTAGCCACCCCGTAGAACAGCCACGATTTGGAAGACCACTGGTTCAGTAAATACCTAAATAAAATTATTATTAATTAAATTATATAATATAAATCGCACAATAATGATAATTACTTTATCTCACATCAAACAATCTACATTTTATGTTTCTTTATCTACACTCATTTGGGTTTTTCTTTAATTTAGGGATTTATAGGCTAAAAATACCAATCAAGATCACTCGACATCCTAATTCAGCAGTCAAAGGTTGACATGATTTGACTTGCGACTATTTCTCAACAGTTTTGACTAATTCAGTCGTGCTTGCTCATGAGTTGACTTATTTTCACGTATTTGACTCGTTTACGTTCGTAACTTGAAGGCGAGCTCTTATTGGTGAAGAGTTTAATAGAATAAATGGAGTGGTTGTACGATATTTAATTGTTCAAATTATTTGAGCGAGTTACTGATGGTTTATTTTTGTTCTCAAAAGGTGATAAGTTGTGTGCTCTAAAGATGGGTTGACTTTTTATACGGTCAATCTAATTAAAGTCAATCTTACGCAAAAGTCTTATTCAAAATAGATGGGGCCCAGAAGGTCAATTCACTTAACAAATGAATACGTGTCAAAATTGTGCAGAGAGAATCGGTAAATAGTGTATTTCTTCAGTCTAATCTTAATTTATAAATATATTATTATTATTTAAATAAAACTTTGCCCCACCTTTATTGCTGACGTCATAGGGAAGACAGATAGAAGAGACAGTTGTCCCTCTCTCTTTCTCTCTCTACGTCCCCTCTCCGGTCTTTTCTCTCTCTATCAGTGTGTTTGACTCTCTCCGTCTCTCTCTCTCTATCCTCTGCGTGATGAACAATAGAAGTTAGCGCGAGAAAGGGAGAGGGAGAGAAAGAGCTTGATGAATCAAAAGAGATCGGAGAGAGCTCTATCCGTGTGATCTCTCCGATCTATCTGTCTCTATTCTTCGATGTCTCTCTCGATCCTCTGCCTGATGAACCATGGAAGTTAGAGAGAGAGAGAGAGAGAGAGAGAGAGATGGGAGAGAGGTGGATGAAATCCATAGAAATTTCCATATAACCGGGAGGGTGCAAGGAATCATCCCAACATACACACCACCATCTTGACATCAAAATGAATCAAATTCTCAGGAAGAAAAAAAAGAATGAATCCAATCCAGTATAAGCTCACCACCTCCCTCCCTCGCCGGTGGACCAGGGTTTCTTCTCTCTCACGAGGATGATGCAGGGGTCCTCACCTTTCGCCTGACCAGGACCTTCTTCTTCCTGGACGTTGCGTTCTCGATTATCAGAACGACCTTCCCGGGCTCGCTGTTCTTGAACGAGTTCCTCACTGGTTCCTCCTGGGCCCCCATCTTCTTCCCCTTCTGGAGGAGGATGGTGTACGAACCTTCGTCGCTGGGGACGAACTCCTCCTTGTAGTTGACCTCCCACCCCACCACGGCCAAATCCCAAACAGTGGTGGATCCGACCTGCAGATTTATTCATTGCATCAGAATGATCTGCAATCGGTTTGAACATCTCGTCGACCGCTAGAACAGGAAATGGGTACCTCTGGAACAGGAATCTCGATGTTCTCGACTGACCCAGGCTTGACCACGAGCTCGGAGACCCCACCGTCGTCTCCGAGGCCAGAGAACTGGTCGTCGTTTTCCCGCCGCAGGCCGCCGTACTGGACGGGGATGGCGTGAGCGGGGATGTACCTGTCGGAGGAGGATTGAGTTTGAATGATTAAAAGAGCGAATAGTTGCAGAAGGGGTAGGGGAGATGACTGTTGCAGGATTGAGTCGCTCACTTCAGGAGGGTTTCTGTGACCTTGGAGGGGCGAACCACGACGAACTTGTTCTTGGTCCTCTGGGTTAGGAATGGCGACAAAAGGGCGTTGAGAGCGTAGTACCAGAAGGGCACGTTGATGATGATCTGCAACCACGGGATTTTAGGGAGACTGCAGATCTCTGTGGTATTTGGGAGATGAGGAAGATTAGGGCAGAAAAGCTCACATTCTTGGCGACGAACTCCGGGTAGTTGTCCTGGAGAAGCCCCAGGGCCCTCTGCATCGCGTTGCGGAGCTCTTTCCTGGAGAGGCCTGGCGAGTTCTTCAGATCTGAAATCTGAAGGATCGAAGCCACCCCGCCAGGGCGGAAGTCAAGGTTCTGGATCCCCTTCTCCATCATTTGGAACCGCCACCGGAGGAACTTCTCGACCTTCTCCTCAGATCCGAATGCCTTCTCGTACACCGCCGAGTCCTGGAAGACCCCGTAGATGTTGTAGCACACAGGGTGGCCCTCCCGATCGACGCCGTCCATGTAGGCGGCCGCCTCCAGCCCCTCCCCCAGGTACTCCTCCAAGAGAGAATCGATGTGGGCCTCCTTCCTCCATTGGAGGGTGTTGGCGAGCATCTCGAAGGACTCCTTCACCTTGAACTCCCTGGCGCGGAGGAACTTGAGCAGGACGACGTCGGTCTTCTCCGATCCCTTGCTCGGGAGCAGGGGGACTCCCCACAGGGAAATGCCGGCATCGGCCGGATCTTCAGGCTTCAGATCAGAGGGTTTTGCGTCATCAGGAATCTTCTCTTCATCTTCTTCTGCCTTCTCTTCAAGCTTCTTCTCTTCCCTGTTCTCGTCCTTCTCCTCCTCTTCCTTCTTCTCCTCCTTCACGGCCTTCTCCTCTTCCCCAGCTTCTTTCTGCTCATCCTTCCCTGCCTTCTGAGGAGCCTCCTCCTCCTCCTCCTCCTCCTCCTCCTCCTCCTCTTGGGGCTTCTTCTCCCCCTTGTGCCTTTTCTCCTTCGTTGGCTTCTTCTCCTTCCGGGCGAAGAGCGTATTCCCCAGGATGGCCTCCTCCACCTTGGCCCTCAGATCCATCAGCGCCTTCCTCTCGTGGTCCTTCAGATCGGAGACGAAGCTCCTCTCCTCCACGAAGGAGGAGCTCTTCTGCATCACCGCCGGCGCAGATTCCTCGCTCGCCTTCTCCTCTTCCGACGCCAACTTGGCGGCGCCGTCCACCACCTTGCTCTGTTCCACCCCCGCAGCAGGGACGGCGGCGGCGGTGGCGAGCTCGGCGTCCTCCAGTTTCGCTTCGGCTGTCATCTCTGCGGTAAGATCGGGGGGGAAGGAGGAGGAGCTTTGCGAGGGTGAGGAAGAGCGGCGACGGCGGCGAAGGGGGAGAGACATCGCAGGGTTTAATAGCAGAGGATGCGGAAAATTTCGAGGTGGTGGAGAGAGGAAAAAAACAAAAGAGAAAGAAAGAAAACAATGTGGACCCCACACTCCCAACGGTCCAGAGCCAAATAGCCGTTAAGGCTAACGGGGGGGGAGGACGGTAGTTTGCTAATATTTTCTCATTCTTGCTGTCGCCAGATGTGGGGCCCACTCATTTTCGAAATTTCAAGTTTCCGAGGTAAATATCGCAGCTTTTCTTTTTTACGGGCGTCTCGCGGGAAGTCAAACCGGGCCCACTCGGCTGGCCACATTAGTTGACCGTCCTGGAGAAAACTGGTGGATCCGAACTGTCCCCTTCTCGGTATGTTCGGGTCCAATGCAGAATTTTTATTATCAGGGGAAATAATTAGTTATTTCAATCGAAGCTTTTTAATTCGAATAATGAAATAAAATAAGAAACATCTTATGTCACTATACATTTGCCTCATCTTCTGTCGGCCATTTCTACAAGCATTTGAGAGTCAACCCCAGCTGACTTTCTTCTTTGAATACCTCTTCCGCAGTCAACCAGTTCACCCTGTGCAGAGGACTGTGAAGGCCCACCATTTCGGGGCGGGTGGCGCCGCCAAGAAGAGGACCAACCTCCATGGAAGAAGATCTCATCATCCGCTCCGATCAGCCACAGCTCTCACATCATCGTCGACCATGAAGGCCGTGACGCTGACCTTATCATCGATCCAGCTGTACCCGCGATTCTTGGCAACTCCCCGGTCAACCATCTTCCTCCTGATGGCCGCCACCTGGTCCCACCGTCCATTTGCGGCGTAGATGTTGGACAGAAGAACGTAAGGCGAGGGGTTGACCGGGTCCAGCCGGAAGAGCCTCTCGGCGGCGAATCTCCCCATCTCCTCTTCTCCATGGACTCTGCAGGCGCTGAGCAAGACCTCCCATATGATGGGATCCTCCTCATGGGGCATCTTCTGAATCAGAGCTCTCACCTCGCTGAAGCGGCCGGCGCGAGCCAGAGCGTCCACAGCGCAGGCGTAGTGGTCAGCGAGAGGAACCAGATCAAGGTCTCTCTCCATGGAATAGAGAAGCTCCGTCGCCTTGTCCACCATGCCGGAGTTGCTGCAACCGGTGAGAACGGCGATGAGGGTGACCCCATCGGGCCTGACTTCGCCGCCTCTCTGGAGCATTTCCTCGAACAGCTCCACGGCAGCGGCGCCGCCGCCGTTCTGCGCGTAGCCGTGGATCATCTCGTTCCAGGAGACGATGTTCCTGCTCGGCATGTGGTCGAAGAAGACGCGGGCCTCCTCCACGCCGCCGCACTTGGCGTACATGTCGATCAGGGAGCTTCCAACGAAGACGTCGTTGCAGAGGCCGTCCTTCAACGTCTGACCATGGAGCTGCCTCCCCTGAGAGAGGGAGGATAATCTGGCGCTGGAGCTGATGACGCTGGCGTAGGAGTACTCCGTGGGGCGGAAGCCCGCCGCCAGCATCTGGTGAAAGAGGTGAAAGGCTTCTCTACAACAGGAGTGGAGAGCAAGGCTCGCGATCATGGAGTTCCAGCTGACGACATCTCTTTCTGGCATTCTGTCGAAGACTTGGCGGGCCAGACCGATGAGGCCGCATTTGGAGTACATGTCCACAAGCCCACTGGAGACGAAAAGATCTCCATGGAGGAATCTCCTCGTGGAAGCTCCATGGATCTGCTTTCCAAAAGGGAGGAGCCCAGTTCCAGAGCAGGCGCTGAGGGCGACGGCGATGGTGGTCCGATCAAAAGGAACACCTAAGAGCTGCTGCATCTTCTTGAACAGTTCCAGAGCCTCCAGGTGCATCTCTCGCTGGGAGTAAATGGATAAGATGGTGTTCCATGAGGTCAAACTGGGGCTGGGCATTCTGTCGAAGACCTGGCGGGCGGAGTCAACGTCCCCGGATTTGGCGCACGCGCTGAGCTGGCTGGCGCGGGTGACCTCGTCGGGCTTAAAGCCGAGAGCTTGCATCTGGTCAATCAAGTGTTTGACCTTCTCGATCTCGCCCTGGTTGCCGTATCCGGCGATGAGGATGTTCCAAGAGACGTTGTTCCGCTCATGCATGGAGGTGAACGCCTTCTGTGCGTCGCCAATGTCGCCGGATTTGGCGTAAAAGTCAACCAGAGAATTCCCTACGTGGATGTCGGAGTCAAACGCAGATTTGGTCACTAGGGCGTGGACTTGTCGGCCGAAGAAGCACCTCTCTTCGGCGGCGCTCCTCGCGCACGCCCCCAGAACGCAGGAGACGGCGACGGAGTCGACGTGGATCCCCTTCTTCCTCATGTTCGAGAACAGCAGCAGAGCTTCCGCCATGGATCCGTCCTTCACCAGCCCGCCCATCATGGCCGTGAAGGCGACCTCGTTGGGGCGGCGCAACCCATTGAATATCCTCACCGCGGCGCTAGAGCCGCCGCACTTGCTGTACATTCCGATCAAGGCGTTTTCGATCAACGGGTCCCCCTCCATGCCGATCTTCACAGCGAGGGCATGCCACGCCCCGCCATGACCGATCTTCTCCAAGCTCCCGCAGGCGCTCATGGCACTGGCGAGGGTGAACTCCGTGGGGACAAATCCCTCCTCCATCATCATTCCGCACAGATCCAGGCCCTTCTCCTCTACTCCAGCCCTCACCATACCGCAGATCACGGTGTTCCACGAGACCGCATTTCTCTCAGGCATTTCCTCGAGCAGGTTGCAAGCTCCGGCGAGATCGCCGCTTCTGCAGGCAGCGGATATGGCAGCGTTCCAGGAGTAGGCGTTCTTGGAGGGGATCGAGCGGAAGACTCTGCCGGCGTCGTAGAAGGAGCCAGATATGGAGTAGAGTTCAACAAGCCGGTTCTGGAGGAAGGTGTCCCCCGATAAGCCACCGGCGAGTACCTTCCCGTGGATAGCTCTCCCTGGAAGACGGGCCCTGCTGGTGATGCAGGCTTGAAGGAGCTCTGCAAGGTGGGCGGCGACCTTAGCGGCGGCGGCGGCGGCGGCCATCGCCGCTCCGGCGGAGCCCTCCCCCTGCAAGCTCCTCCAGTGGCGTCTTCAAACGGCCGGCCGTTTGAAGATTTCAAAAAAGACATTCTTTCTACACCTTCCCCTCCTCAACCAGGGCCCAAGAAACGTAGGACTTGGTGTACCCTGGTGTTGTTTTAGCTAAAGTGCACTGGGGTCATATGACAGGGGATTGTACAGATGGACGGTGAAAGATTAAGGGGCTCTCAGTTATACAACCTGTCTAAGGAACATCACACCGAAGTGGCGCGAGGCTCTCTGTGGGGAGTGGGGAGTGGGGAGGAGAGAGAAGAGAGGCGGGAGGGGGCGGAGGAAGATTATCCAGGTGTTCCGTGGTGTTGTTTTAAATAAATTGTTCTGGGGTAATCTGAGTGAGGATATGTACAGGTGGACAGTGAGGATTAAGGGGCTAGCAATTATACGACGTGTCTAAGGAACATTATACCGAGGTGGCGCGTGGAGATTGTAAGTGTAGAAGGGGGGAGGAGAGAGAAGAGAGGCGGGAGGGCGGAGGAGGTTGAACAGCTGTTCCGTAGTGTTGTTTTAGTTAAAATATGCTGGGGCAATCTCAGAGAGAGATTGCACAGGTGGATGGTCAGAGATTAAGAGAGTCTCAGTTATAAGACGTGCCTAAGGAACGGTGTACCGAAGTTGCGCAAGACCTAGTGGGGGGGGCGGGGAGAGAGAGAGAGGAGAGGAGGGAGGGTCAGGAGCAGATGGAGGCGGAGGGAGTGGACTCGCAGGGGAGGGCGTTCAGGAACGCGGGTGAGATGTGGAGGGAGGAGATCGGTGGCGACGGAGAAGGCAGCGAGGACGCCGCCGGTGGTTACAAGCGCAACGAGTGGTATCGCAAGGGCATTACCTACTGGGAAGTAATCCTCCTCCTCTCTCTCTCCCTCTCTCTCTCCCTCTCTCTCTCTCGCTCTCTCTTTATATGTATATATATCTATCTATCTATCTCATCTCGCTCTCGCTCTGTTATTTGGTCCTGTTTCCTTTATGCGCATTCGGAGACGGTGTATCCGTGATTCTAAGGGGGGTGGTAATCGGTTTGCTTCTACAGGGAGTCGAAGCATCAGTGGAAGGGGTGTTGGGAGGTTACGGGTGCGTGAACGAAGTTGATGTGAAGGGAAGCGATGCCTTCCTCAGAACTCTGTTGCCCGAGCGGTTTGGTGCAGAGAAGCGGCACCTTGTTGCACTTGGTATTTTTTCACTCGACTTCGACATATTCTTGTGTCCCTCTTGTGTTACTAGTTTTGTGAACTCCATGAGAGTTTTTTCGCGCCTCAGAGTGATAGTTGCTTCAATCGGGGTAGGCGGCCGGCAGATGAGGACGGATGGTTTATAACTGAGTCTGTAAATTTGCTTGTCTCATGATAGAGAACATCGTATAGAAACAAGAAAATTTATATAAACTTGGTTGTCTTGAAAATGCGTCTGTAGATTTTCCTAGTCTCATAATTGTGCCCCTTGTATGATAAATGGTTATGAACTGACAAGGAAACCTCCTTCCGCGGAACACCATCTTAAAGAGTGAAGTCAACATAAAAGATTTGAGATTGATTGTTTTCTCATGATGCACATGAGAAATCATTGAGATTTATTGTAGTATGGATCAAAAAAAGGACGACAGTCATTGGGATTTACTTCAGAGAAGCTATGTACAGTTGGTTTGAATGTGAGGATACACATTTCTTTTCAGTACTCCTTTTTTCAAAAGCAAACTTTTTTTAAAAAAAATATTTTCAGAATTTTTATTATTATTTGAGAAATAGGTGTTTGTTGGCTCGAGCTACTATATTTTTTTTCTGATTACTCCGATGGCACAGATTGTGGTTCTGGGATCGGAAGAGTGACCAAGAACCTTCTCCTTACGTATTTCAATGAGGTGGGACTCTTAATGTTGCCATACGATTATATTATCATGAGAATTAATTATTGACTGCTTCAAATTATTGTTTTACACATCTACAGCAGTGCATTCCTACGTATTGTCCTTTATTATCTAGTGGAAGTTTTTATGGGGAGAGTTGGAATTTAGTTCCACGGTTCTGTTTTCATTCAAATGATTCAAAATAATTGAAAGCATGGTTTTTCAAATCAGCTCGACTGGGGAAATTTGTGGAAATTGGGAGGGTAAAAGTTAATCTTAAATACATGGATGGTACTCAAACACTAAAAGATTCATGAAAACTCGCGCAACTCTTCTGCAGTTGTTCCAGAGCAAAATATTAAATATTCTAGATTCATGGACTGCAGCCTCAAGGCATTCTATGCCAAATTTTCTAGGGTTGAAATATTTCTTCATTGAATGAAATTGGTGTAAATAATATCAGGCAAATTTTTGTTTGAAAAAATTCAGAGCCCGGTTACTCTTTTATATTATACTGACAATCATTAAATGGTTGGATGTGACTTGTAGGTTGAAAGAGATTTTTCAAAGGACTCGAAAATTTTGAGATAAAATTGTAAATTTTAATCTTAATTTATTGTGAAAGATGTATGTACAATTTAATGTTATCCAACTAATGTGTTGAGATTATATTACGATCTAAAAGAATATGCAATGAATTATATAAGCCGTTGATACCATTCACAGCAACACAAACGTTGTAGGCAAGCACAGAGCCTTCCTCATTGACAGCAACACAAACATCCTCACAATGGCAGAAGAAACCCTACCATATAGTCACAAAGGGAATAGTTTACAATTATCTTTCTGAAAGTCAATTTCTTTGGGAATTTTTAGATGGTCAAAGGCATCCTGAAGTTGGCGGTTAATATGAATTCGAAAATGATGAGGACTAGTTAATTTACTATCTTGGCTCTTGCCCTAACTAACTAGATCCCTTTTTTTTCATATATATATTCTTTTTAAAAAATAAGGGTTCTATCTGACTCACCCAAGGCCAACTTTTGAAATCATACTGCTAACTTTTTGACTAAAACCATTGATGAAACTGTATTTATCCTTGGCGTATTCGCTTTTTCACTGCATCCTTGTCCGATGACCAAGAAAGAAGTGCAGAGTTTCCGATCATATTGTGCACTGTTCCTCTCTTCGTACTTCACTTTGCTTTTGTTCACGTAGCCATATATTTCCCTTGGAATCGATACAAGAGGTGAACTGACGACACCGAAATCTCCAGGTTGACTTGCTCGAGCCTGTATCGCATTTTCTTGAAGCTGCTCGTGAGAGCTTAGCTCCTGAAGGCAGTGTGGCCGATGATGCCCACAAAGCTGCCAACTTTTACTGCATCCCTCTTCAGGTTGCCTACATTAACTGACCCTCTAATCTCCATCTCTACTCTGGTTTAGGCCTTTCTCTTAGTCATCATTTACCTCTCTTTTGTATACTCATGACAGGATTTCACTCCTGAAAGGGGAAGATATGACGTCATATGGATTCAATGGTGTATAGGGCATCTTACTGATGATGACTTTGTCTCCTTCTTCAAACGAGCAAAGGTACATGAACTACTATGATTTGCTTGTCATGCTGCACACTTCAATTATTTTGTCTTAGCTTGTTTTACTATTCAGTAAATAAAAATAAAAATAAAAGAAGAAAATCTCGTCTGAGCCTGTTTTTTCACGGTGAATCAAAGGAAAATTCCTGAGAAATATTTTTCGGTAGTCAACAAACGGGGTCAACCCAGCACCACCATCGGCATGATCTTTCTTTAATCTCCTCTAGAACTGTTCTTCATGGGTGGTGCTCTTTTAGTAAATAATTTGCGCATATTTGGCAATATGGTCATTTAAAGTTTTTATATCTCTATGGAATATGATTATTTTAAAGGAAACATTAAGGGTTCTTCCCATTTAAAGATTATCTCTGCCAAAGTTGTCATGTAAATTAATATCCTTGAAGATGACAAAAACAGAAATCATGATAGATTCACCACTCTGAAAATTAATATTTATGTTTATTAATTATTTCATCTAACCTGTTACGAACCATTTTGGGAAAGAAACATACTTCGTATTCCATATTTGTGGGAAAATCCCATCAATTTCTCTTGAGCTTAATAATCTATAAGCTAATCATTCTTTTTTTTTTGCAAAAAAAAATCCTTAATATTTATGTTTATTATTTACTTCATCTAACCTTTTACGATCCATTTTGGGAAAGAAAGAAACGTACCATCATGATGTCACTTGCTCCTCCTGTTGTATTCCAAATTTGCTAGAAAATCCCATCATTTTCGCTCGAGCTTAATAATATATAAACTAATAATTCCTTTTTTTGGAAAAAAAAGCTTTAATATTTCTGTTTATTATAATTTACTTCATCTAACCTGTTACGAGCCATTATGGGAAAGAAAGAAACGTACCATTATGAAGCCACTTGCTCCTCCTATATTCCAAATTGGTTACAAAGCCCCATCATTTTCACTCGAGATTAATAATATATAAATTAATCATTCCTTTTTTTCAGGTTTTAATCTTTCGTGTAATATTACCCGCTTCAATATTCGTTCATTTCATTGAATTCTAACGAATGAGCTGCTTGATTTGTCTCTTTTATGTGGTTCCACTCAGGTCGGCCTCAAACCGAATGGATTTTTCGTGGTCAAAGAGAACATTGCCCGAAATGGTACGCCATCCAAAACATCATTTCCATTAAATATTTTTTATTTAATGCGCACTAATAAAATCAAAAAATTATCGGGAAAATTAAATCCAATAAATGCACTTCATAAGTACTTCATAAATCCAAATAAATATTGCATCAATTTGATCATTAAATTGGTTTGATTTTTCTGTAAGGCACAGGAAAATCCATCTTTTTAAATTAAAACCTTATTTATTTATTTATTGGAGAAATCACTGCTATTGCAGGGTTCGTGCTGGACAAGGACGATCACAGCGTAACGAGATCTGATTTCTACTTCAGGCAGCTGTTCGGCAGGTGTGGGCTCCACGTCTGCAAGACCCGGGTATGCGTATGAAGATAAATAAAGCAATAAATAAATGCGTTAATTAATCGGTCAATATTACCTCTGATCTTTGTGGGCGACTTTATGTGAAAACCAGGATCAGAAGGGGCTCCCCCAGGAGCTCTTCTCCGTGAAGATGTACGCATTGTCAACGAAGAGCCCTGGTCAGAGCAAGGCTCACTCCAATACGCCCGCCATCATCAGGTGACGTGGGCGGGTCATCTCATGCCACCTGGCAGAATATCACCGAAAGAAACACGGGGTCGATGTGGTGAAATCGTGACCAATGGCAGCCGTCGGTCTGAACTTTTTTGATCGAATGGGCACTAGCCGTTAGGAGGGGGGGGGGGGGGGAAAGCGCGTCCGGGGTTTACCATTTGTCTACGCCGACCGCCGCCGCCGCCGCCGGCACGCCTGCGTGTCGCTCTCTCGGGCTCACCATTGAAGATTGGCTCCTTGCCACGTCGGCAAGGAGCTCGAGTTTCGAGGCTTATTTCCACGACCCATCAGATGCTTTTACACAAACGACCCCCAGTTTCTGGTCTACGCTTTGAATTGGTAATAACTTGGCGATCCACGCATGGGGCCCAGCCACCTCCGCCTGCCCCGCCGAGCTACATCTCGCCGGGCATGCCACCGTGCGTAAGCCCGATAGGATTTGAATATTTCAACGAATGGGAGTTGCACCACGTCATACTCCAAAATTGCTGCGTTTTCATTGCTTCGTCACTGTCGTGGATTGGAAGAGATTCAAGTGTAAAGGGGTATATGGTAATTCTTTATGAGTGAGACGGGGAGGGGGTGATAAATACAGGGGATTTTCCCCCCCCCTTAGGTTGTTACTGGACATAGGAGCTGAGTAGCGTGGCTTTCCTGCCAGGCGGAGGAGAGAGAGAGAGGGTGTCAAAGGGAGGGGATAGGGGGGGGTTGGTGAGCTTGTTGCGGGCGCGCGCTCTGGATATCCCGGGTTGCTTCGGAATCTGTGGTTGCTTTCCTTGCGCAATTTTCAGAAACCTTGGTGTATCCGCGCTTCCGGGAAGGTAGGTGGAGGGTGAATCTGCGTCTCGTGATCATTGGTGTTTTTATGCTGCTTGTTGTTCTCGCGCCGCCAGCGATTCGTGGCCGGATTTTTGGTGCTCGCGGGTGGGGCTGTCGTCCAGTTGGTGAAATGGCGAGGGAGGGTTCTTCGCCGTGTTTGATTTGTCCGTCTTCCGCTTAGGTTGGGGGAAGAACTCGGTCCGCGGGATCCAATTTGGTTCGTAGCTCGGGGTAATCTTGAAATCTGAATTGATGTGATGGGAGATCGATGGCAGTGAGGATTTTCTGGGTTTGATTTGTGTTTTCGTGCTTCCCCGTGGTTTGGCGATGAATTCTGTTGGCTGATGTTATGATCTGGGTCAATTGAACCATCTTATTCAGGGTTTTGTGCGACAGGATGTAGAAAGAAAATTCAGCTAAGTATGAGGAATTAAAGGTTGTGAAATATTATTCGTAAAGACGAGTTAGGATTTTCTGCGCGTATTTCATTTATCAAACTCTTTTCAACTCTTTTTTTTTCCTATAATCCATGGGGTACACCTAGATTACATTTTTTATATCGTACTTTTTACATTCTGATTCTCAGGGAATGATTGATCTATTCTCCATGGCTTCATGCTTCATTTGTGAATAATTCAGGAAACTAAGAACGCTCTGCTGAGAGAGTCTCTGCATCTGCTCGTAGATTTCCAGTTCAAAAGAGAGGGCGCTATTTCTTTTTCACTTGGGATGATGATATCTTGATCTAGATGGATTCCACGAGGAGCTGGTTTCGAAAATTCCAAGCTAGAGGGGATAAGTTGAAGTCAGATCCAGGAAAGAAGAAAGACGTGGAAAATGGCAAGGAGCTGCCGAAGCCTCCAAATGACGAGGCACCTTCGAACGTCACAAAGCAGAAGGTTGCCGCTGCAAAACAATATATTGAGAGCCATTATAAAGCTCAAATGAAGAGCTTGCAGGATCGAAAAGAGAGGTAGCTATTGTCATTTTTTTTCTCATCACAGGCTTGTGCTCGAAGGAACTTGATTCCAAATCTCTCAGGAAGGTTTTTCTTATGTGAAATCATTTGAATTCGTTGTAGTTATAGTGATGAAGGTTCAATCGATTTTTACTGTGGAAGAGGACGAAAAATTGATTCCATATTCTGAGGTAGTTGGATGCTTATGTTACTACAGATCGGCATAGCTTTCCTAGGATATGAATATCTGAGTATCATGCCTCTGTGAACTGGTGAAGCCAATGTTCGTATACATTCAGCATTTACATTATGAATCTTTGCGTAGAACATGTTTTTTATCAAAGCAAGTGAACAGGTTGGCGAAGGTTATTTCATTTTGTTCTCCAGGACTGCTAATATTGGCTTCTGTTCGCTCGATCAACCACTTTGTGTGTTTGAGCAGTGGAAATAATACAAAAGCACTTTGCTTTGCTGGAAACATCAATGATGAACAACCTTAATGTTAGACTAAAGAAATTGGTAAATGACTTGTGCAAAGTATTCCCTGACAAACATGACTGATGCAGTTTATGCTTGATGCTAATTAGAGATATTAGAATGCGAAATTTGATTTTAATGTCTTTTTAAATGCTGCGCTTTCTAAACATGAAAATACATCCAATATAATCCTGAAAATCTCTGTTTTAATTACGTTTCCCTAAATTTTTTTTATTTTTCTTAATGTGATGAAAACAATTTAGACGCTGGGTCCTGGAAAGGAAGCTTGCTGATGCTGAAGTCTCTGAGGAAGAGCAGCATAACCTTCTGAAATATCTTGAGAAGAAGGAAACAGAGTATATGCGCCTTCAAAGGCATAAAATGGGTGTTGATGACTTTGTTCTGCTAACCATTATTGGAAGAGGCGCATTTGGGGAGGTATGTCTTTGTTTCTCTGTCAGATCTGATACTTTTATCCCCTTACTCTTTTCAGTAGCTTCGTCTTCAAAAGAAGCTCCATTAGACATGAGAATAGTGTGCCACCTAAACGTTGTGATGTCCATTGGTTTAACAAGTTATTCTGTAGTAATGGAATCTATGATTGAAACTCTCATGAGATACGATTTTCATGTTCCTTATTCTGATAATTCTCATCTCTGGAATGAAGTGTGTTGTTTCTATCTCTATTGTGTCATTTTGTTTGAGAACTGATAACCAGATAAAAAATTATTTTAACGAAAAAAGAAAACCCGCAGTAACCATAATGCTAAAATTGGACAAAGTTGCTCTTTCTTGTGGAAATAGGGTGTCTCCAAATGTCACATAGAAATAACTTCTTGTGGAATGAGCATGTGTTGTTTCTTTTGATTCATTCTTCTACATGAATCCTTTTTTTCATTTACAAGTGTCTTTTTAGACAGTGATCGCCTTCCTCCTAAAGTATTCCCAATCGCTCAAATTTGAATCAAATTGTGCTTGTATTCTTATCATTATGGGTATTTATGGTTGTTTCATGCGATAAAGAGCATCTAATTAAGAGTTGGATTCGTAGTTATCAGTTTCCTAGTTGTTAGGAAGTTTCCTTGTTTTGTGGTCTTGGTAGTTGTATGTAATAAACAGCTATGATGCGAATACTTGTGTTTTTCTTCCGCATATCCTCCAAAGGTTTTGCGCCACTCTTCACGACATGGTATCAGTACCATGTTGTAGTCGTTGACTTCCAAAGAATCTAAATTTTGTTTCCTTCTTTTTGTCATAGGCTAGGGTTTAGCTGAGGGTTGCTTGGTTTACGACAACTAGGAGGATTCAATTGTTATGGACTCTTGATCACAGGGGAGAAGAATTGACAACAGAATCAAAAGCAGACAACAAATATTGCCACATGAAGCCCCTAGTTCGTGCCTTCTGTTCTTCTACTCTTTTCCGCTGGATGTGAGAGAGTAACCAAAGGTTGTCAGGAATTGTGAGAGAGTAGGCTGATATTCCCTACTCTTGTTTGCAAAACAATGACAGCCCTAGGCTGCTCTCTCACATTCAATGTAAAAGTGGTGAAAAATAAAAGTTACAAATCAGACATTGTTGATTTTTTTCTCCTATGGTTGAGCACCCAAATCGATGAAATCTTCTTAGTTGTTGTGAACTGAGCAACTATCAGGTAAACCCTAGGCTATGGTAAAAGAAAGCGAACATTAAATTTTCTAGAAGCCAGTGACTACAACCTAGCTCTGATACTATGTCGTGGACAATGGTGCAAACCCTAAGTGAATATCTAGAGGAGAAACATTACCCGCACTCACATCATTGATGACTGTTATAAATAAGCACCAGTGCCACAAAAAAAAAGCTACCTAACTACAAGGGAACCGATGAATAAGAACCGAACTCTTAATTATACACTCTTTCTCACAAATTTGAATCGCATGTTGCTGGTATTCTTGCCATTATGGCATTATGGTTGTTTCTGATAATTCCCTTGATGCTGTTTAAGGGTGTAACATTTCTCTTTTTGCTAAGTTAGCTTCTTCTTCAGTTGGGTCCTCTTAACCCAACGAGAGGTCTAATGATTTTTGTGCCTTTTACTTTCACGTCTGTATACTTTGTTCAAAATATTTACTGTGAAGTTTTTGAGGAATGATAAAGTTCATTCTAATTTTTCTTCATATTTAAGGAAATTATTTCACATTATAAATTCAATTGAACTTCGAATATTTTGCAACGTGAATCTCATCCTCTTAGGTAGGTACATTAAATAATGATTGATTCATTCCTTGCAGCATTCCACTCTTGAAGCATTTACAACTTTCTTGTACTATGTGATAGATTGAGAGATTGTATCTTTGTGTAGGTGAGGCTTTGCAGAGAAAAGACCACTGGTCATGTCTATGCAATGAAGAAACTTAAGAAATCAGAAATGCTTCGAAGGGGCCAGGTAGTACTGCACCAGGCAACTTCTTACATGCGATGTTTTCCTTTTATTCTTACTTTTCTTATCCTGCGACCTTTGGAAGGTGGAGCATGTAAAAGCTGAAAGGAATCTCCTCGCTGAGGTCGATAGTCCTTGCATTGTCAAACTATACTGCTCTTTCCAAGATGATGAGTATTTATATCTCATCATGGAATACCTTCCGGGTGGAGATATGATGACATTGCTGATGCGTAAGGATATCTTGACAGAAGATGAGGCTAGGTTTTATGTCGCCCAAACAGTATTAGCTATTGAATCTATTCACAAGCATAACTACATCCACAGGTACTTATTCTTCTGTTTTTAGAATTCAACTTAGGAATGATCTCTTGATGCTCAATAACATTGTGCCTAAGTTATCTGCATGTTTTTTTTATCTTTTTTCAGGGACATTAAGCCGGACAATTTATTACTAGATCGTTATGGACATATGAAGCTTTCTGATTTTGGATTATGCAAACCACTTGATTGCAGTAGTCTCCCTAATCTCAGTGAGAATGATGCAATTGGAAGAAATTACAAGCCTACATTGCAAAGTGATAGGCAGCCAATCTCATCCGCTATACCAAGGCGTACACAGCAGGAACAACTAATGCATTGGCAGAAGAACCGAAGAACATTGGTAGGTTGTGTAATGACAGTTTGTCTCTTAAGCACTTCGAATTTTGTCTTGTTTTTCTTATTGTTGTATTTATGCATAGCTTCGCATTGGAGGGAATCTTTGACATGTATGAATTACGACACACAGGTCTACTTGAGGATCCACCTTTTTACGGAGACCTAATTTTTGTTCCCTTAAATTAGAGAACTCGTTGATGATGTGTTGTATGTCCCTGGATTTTATCAAACAATTGTCACGTATGACATCAACACTGACAATTCTAAATTTTTTTGGTATAATTTAATTTTATGCATCTGAATAATTGCTATGCTGTTGTTTTGTGGTGAATTCGATCTTTTCCTTGTCGCTATCTCGTTTCAATGTCCTCTGATAGTTTATTTATTTTTTATGTTGTTTATATAGTCTGTCATTTTTAAAAGAATATTGTTGTTACTTGAAAACTAAGCTAAAATGATCCCAATGTAGGCGTATTCAACTGTTGGTACCCCTGATTATATTGCCCCAGAAGTATTGCTGAAGAAGGGATATGGGATGGAGTGTGATTGGTCAGTAATAACATATATTGTACGGTAATTTTTTTTTGGAATGTGTGTTTATTATTTTCCTTTTTAGGTGGTCCCTTGGGGCAATCATGTTCGAGATGCTCGTTGGCTATCCACCCTTCTATTCAGAGGATCCAATGTCAACCTGCAGAAAGGTACACCCGTCGGCGCATGCAATCTTTTGCTTTTCATAATGGGTAAACTTTGTGAAATTTTTAGCTATCCTGGCATTTGATTATTTGATGAGTTGTTCACAAATCGTCGGGGTGATGACACATTTGGTCTATCAATCGTACAATTGCATGGATTCAGTAGAAATGGCAACATAAAAGGTTCAATTGCCCAGGAGCGTTCTGTTACAAATCGTACCCCACAAGTATTACGAGTTCTTCTCCAGAACAAAGTCTGTGGTAGTTATATGCTAATGTTATGTTCTACCCAATGTCTGAGTGCCAATCTGTGTAGTCACTGACATGTCTAAGACGAGAAACTTTAGACCTGCTTGTGTAGGTGGCCTAAGTGGGCCCTCTAAAGCTTTGTGCTTAAGCTCCAACTCATGCAGCCGGCAATAGTTAATGTTAAATTTATTACTCTTATTTTAATTGGATATGAGCTAGAAGTTTTTTTTTCATTTTCAGAAATGCAACAACTTTCTTAGGAACTTCAGTGGCGGTCTCTGACATCACACTATAATCTTCTATAGCACTTCACTTTGATATTTTTTCTCGAATAGAGTCTGAAAGGAGATAACCTTTGTCTTCTTAAATTTCAGTTTTCTTGATGACCATTTTCCCACGCATTTACTACAATGACAATTTTAAGGGAATATATGGATATCTTGGAGAAGCGATTGTGATAAGTGGACCATCAAATATATATTATCTTGTGTGTCAAGTGATGTTTGCACTCTCTGATCTGTTATAGCTTGATCTTGTCCGTCAACAAGTTAAAAAACGTTTTGCCCTTCTGCCTCCTTTATTTCTCATGCTTTTACTCTTCGTATTTAACTTGTGTTCTTAAGTATATGGACGTATTGGGCAAGATGTGAGGAGAAGTACCGAGCCTGATCCATTCAGTCGCCATCCACTTATAAAGCGTTCTTCCTGGTTTATAGCCTGAGAAAATATAGGCAACTACCAGTTCAAAGTTTTCCTCGTTGTGTGTCAATGTGTGATCAACAACTATGCATTTTATGGTCCCATAGACTATAGGTTGTCTCTTAATGAGATTTATGTGCACTCGGTGTTGAAAGGATTGATGATATGTCAGTCTAGCATTTGGATTCCTACAGTCTCTGCCTTTTTTCGTGCTTAATGTTATCCTATTGGTGGAAATTTGAGAGAACAAAAATAGTAAAACGGAAGCTCTCGTGGATGAGTGATTAAATGGTGGATGTGTTACTACTAGTCAGTTATTGAATCCTGCAACAAATAGACCTTCTCATGCCTTGCTCGTACCTATTTAAGGTAGTTTTCTAGGGCCGCTTGAGTTGTTCAAAAACTGATCGAGCTTTATCCGTTCAACTGATCACAAATGGATAAAAATGCCCACAATTAGCCATGAAATCTGTTTGTGGCTATGCAATTAGGATTATTTTTTTGGACTGAATTTTTGACAGATTTTTCTGATACAATATCATGTCTTTTCACAACAGTCTAGTCCAGTTCTCTAGTTGACCATCTGCCTGTTGTTATAATTTATGCCTGTCATGGTCGAATAAGCTATACACTACAGATCTTGTCAAATATGTCGGAGAAAACCACCATAGTTTCGCACAAGACCTAGTTAAAATGCCAATATCCGTTTGCTAGCTTAAGATCCAACACAGTGTTCTAGAAATTTTGCACAAATCTTTAGCTTTTAACGAATTATTTGCTGCTACTTAAATGACAAGGAGTTGAGCTTATACATAAGCTGCTGTTGTTTTCCTTGTAAATTTTGATGGAGAAAATATCTGGTACCTTGGTTTTTTGCCGAATTTCAGCTTGTACCTGCTCTCAGTTGGATAATTTTTTTATTACACTCTTCATAATCCAGTGACGATTTTATTTCAGCTACATGAAAGAATAATAATAATAATGATAATAATAATAATAATAACTAATGATACCCTACCACTTTGTACGACTGTTCTTGGGCTTGGGTCAGCCTCTTGATTCACTTCATGTTATTGATATCACCAAAGTTTGAGACCTTGGAACTGTACCAACACAGAGTGACTTTGAATGGCCAAGTTTGACTCATTTGTGTCATGAGGAAGACTTTGGAAGACTTTGACTCTTCTACGTGGTCTTTTTTGACTTATTGCCCCTGATATGTATGTAGATTGTGAACTGGAGAACCCATTTGAAATTCCCCGAAGAGGCAAAGCTCTCTGCTGAAGCCAAAGACCTCATCTGCCGACTTCTGTGTAACGTGGAACAGAGACTTGGAACGAAGGGAGCTCATGAGATAAAGGTTCTTCCCCCCCCCTAAAATCCAGATATGCCTGTGTTCTCTCTCAAAGGGTTGACCAATGAAACGCCGGAGGTGGAAAATGGGGTGTTCATCTCGTTGACTTTTTACAGGCGCATCCATGGTTCCAAGGCGTTCAGTGGCACAAACTGTACCAGATGGAGGCTGCGTTCATCCCTCAGGTCAACAATGAGCTGGACACCCAGAATTTTGAGAAATTCGAGGAGGTTCGTGTTTTCTCTCTCCACTCTTTGAATCTCGAGATTTCTCAGGAGTATGATGAATGGGAAGGGCCCCGGTGACTTTCTTGAAAGAGAAAAAAAACGGGCCGGGTAGATTGTAGCTCATTTGGGCGAGAATATTATTTGGTTTCTGATTTTACTATTACTATTATTAATTTTTTGGGTAGAACCAAGGGAGGATCCTTTGATTAGGGTTCTTGGGCTTTATAGTCTTCGTCTAAATTGATGTTTTTTTCCAACTCTAGAGAGAGAGAGAGAGAGTTTTGCATATTTCACCAAAAAATAATATTTCTGCTGACGGCTTTTAGGTTTATATTTGAATAGAATATTATTTGATTTCTGATTTATTTATTTTTCTTTTTTTTTTTGGGGTAGAACAAATGGAGGATCTTTTGATTAGGGTTCTTGGGCTTTAAAGTTTAGGTCTAAATTAATGTTTTTTTCTTCCAACTCTAGTGAGAGAGAGAGAGAGAGAGAGTCTCGAACATTTCACCAAAAAATGATATTTCTACGGACGGATTTTAGTTTATATTTTATTTAATTGTTTTATCTGCTGGGTTCCACGAAATCAGAAAGAAACTGGAGTGAGTATGCAGAGTTATTCTATGCAGTATGTCTGTCATATTCTGACGCCAATGCATGTGGTTAACTCTAGGCTGAGGCCCCAATGCAGACACCGTCGAAATCTGGCCCTTGGAGAAAGGTACCCGCCGCCGCACAGACCTCGACTCTCTCTCTCTCTCTCTCTCTCTCTCTCTCTCTCTCTCTCTCTCTCTCTCTCTCTCTCTCTCTTGATGTGGCTGATTTCTGATGATCCGAACGAACCTCTTCGTCTGTACCAGTTTCCTTCCTAGAACAAGCAGCTTCTTTTCTCTGTGGTCGGATCACTTCACCTCACCTCACCCCCTTCTTTCTTCCCTTGCAGATGCTCTCGTCCAAGGATGTCAACTTCGTCGGCTACACGTACAAGAACTTCGAGATCGTCAATGATCATCAAGTTCCTGGCATCGGTCTCTCTCTCTCTCTCTCTCTCTATCTCCTGCTTCTCTCTGTCCCTCTCTCTCTATCTCCTGCTTCTCTCTGTCTCTCTCTATCTATATATCTCTTCTCTCACTCTCTCTCTCTCTCTCTCCTCTCTCTCTCTGTGGCTAACCCGGGATTATTTTTCTGTACTGTGCAGCGGAGCTGAAGAAGAAGAACAACAAGCCGAAGAGGCCGTCGATCAAATCGCTCTTCGGTATGCAGAGCCTGCTCCTCCTGCTGCAGGACCACCCCCCATTTTCTCTCTCTCTCTCTCTCTCTCTCTCTCTCTCTCGCTAAGAATTTTCGCCATATTCATCCTCGTTCTCTCTCTAGAGTCGGAGCCGAGGGATCAGCCGGTGGTCCAAGGGAGCTTCCTCAACATGCTGCCGAGTCGGCTTGAAGTCCCCGAGGTCCCTAATCGGCCCACCCACTCGAGCGGTAGGCCTACCCACTCGAGCGGGAGGCCCCCCATGCAGCCACCGCTGCCGCCGGCACCGACCGCCGCCCGGAGAAGATGATCTCGGCAGCGCCGCCTGCCTCCCACTATGACTGTCCATTCCCAAATCAGGTTCCGCCTTGTCCCTCTTCCCTTCCATTTTTAGCCTTAATTTGCAGAATCAGCCTTCCCCCGCTTACATTCCTGAGCTTCTCCCCTGACTATTTGGCCCTCTCTCTTCCGCCTCTCTTCTCTCTCTCTCTCTCCTCCTGTAAATTTCTCTACTGCTTTCAGGATCCTTGGTAACCCAATCAGGATCGTCCGTTAGGATTTGCGGAGTCTGATATGCTTCTTCTTCTTCTTCTTCTCTCTCTTGGTTTTTCTCTCTTTTGGTTGATTTTATAGAATAAATAAATGAAGAACTGGGATTGGGAGGGATGAGAAAGGTTTGTGACGGGCCGGCCCTTGCTGAGGCCCAGGCCCAGAGCAAAAGCCTGGCAATATTTTGGCAAACCTGGTTTACATAGAGAGAGAGAGAGAGAGAGAGAGAGAGAGAGACGTTATATGGATGGATTTAATAAAGTTTTCTTCACATTATCCCTCTCTAACCTGGCTATATCGCGCTCCAATTCTCTCTCTCTATCAGCCTGGTTGGACTACACTTGACCCGCCAAGTCGAGTTCCTCCCCACGCGGCAGGCGAGCGCAGGAGCCCGTCACGTGAGCTGGATTGTGCCTGCAATTGGATCTACCGCCCAAGGGGGAATATCTAATATAAAATGCCATTATTTGCCTTTGGTTCATTAATTAGAGCATCTCTGGGCACAAACTACCACGTGGCTCGCTTTCCGACAGGCTTTCCCCGTGGCAACCCGGGGAGCTCCCATACCTATTAGAGCGAGAAAGAAGAGAGAGAATGGGCTCTGTATATCTGACGTCAGACCCTAGGTCTCGAACCGGGCCGGGCCAGTACTATCTTCGGCCCGATCCGAAGTAGAGAGAGGTAGAGAGAGAGAGAGAGATGGCATCTACAGAAGCTATGCATGGCTGTGAACGCATTTATGTGTATTAGAGGGTGAGTATATATAAATAGTAATATAATGTTGAAAGATAGGCATATAGTGAGATGAGGGGGGGATGGGCGGGCATATGTGTGATGCCTGCTGGCTATAGATAATATAAACTACACCCGAACAAACAGCAGTCTCACCCCGGCGGGGATCCCCTTAACTGCTGCTTCTCATGGCCTCATCAATGCGGTGAGCCCTTATGGTCAACTCTTAGGGTAGAGAAAGAGAGGGAGGGAGGGAGATATAGAGAGGAGAGAGAGTGAGGGAGATATAGAGACAGAGGGAGGGAGAGGGAGAGAATTGGAGAACAGAGATGTAGGTTCTGGTTCTGGGTGGAAGACTACAGAAAACTTAACTTGATACTCTCCAATGCGATCGTAATGAACAGAACCCGGCTGGTGTTTCTCTCTCTAGGCTCCACTGCGGCCACTCGAGCTGCATCTGGTCGTCGAGCGAACAGAAAATCCAGCCCATGCTGCTCCGACGATCTCGGCTTGACTTTAACCTCTGGAAAGCGACAATTTTGGAGAGTATTGAAGAGTTGGGTGGGAAGAGTAGTCGAATTTTTTTATAATCACATATTAATTGAGTATTACTCCATGCGTGGGTATCTTTACCGTTGGCGACGACTTCATGATTTGTAGGAATCCTGCGTCTGATACCAGGGTCAATGACTCCAAAGTCCATAGTAGTTCCTCTCTGGATTGTGGTCCAGGGTTAGATAATGCCCACTCTGAACACTCAGTGCCCATTTGTTATTACTACATGGTTGAACAGTGTCATACAGTCTCCTCTCTCTCTCTCTCTCTCTCTCTCTCTCTCTCTCTCTCTCTCCCTCCCTCCCTCCCTCCCTCCCTCTCTTTCTCTCTCTCTCTCTTCCTTCTTCTCTCCATTTAGGTGAGTCATAGATTAAGCGGCAATGGGGACTCAGCGGAGTGCCCCCTATGGGGATTTGACCTCGCGAGGCCCCGGCCCGTTGACCTCTCCATATGAGGGTGCTTTGAGGGATTTCTTGGATCTGAACGCTGATCGGAGTTGTTGGAGTCTCAGAGAGAAAACTTGGACTGAGAGCGAGAGAGAGAGAGAGAGAGAGAAGGGTGAGACAGTGAAAGGTCATAAGGTGAAGCTCCGATCAGACTAGCTTCCAGGAACAAACTTTTTGGCCTTGGTGGTGAGGGTTAAGGGACTTTATTGGAAGATATGGTGGAGCTCAAGGAGGAGAGAGTTCGTTGAGCAGATCAACACCTGTCAGGAATCTAAGAAACGAGTAAGTTCAGAGGGTTCATGATCATCAAACCCACATAACGTTGAAACTTGCTGATTTTGGGCCATCAGAAGTAGAATAGAGAGAGGGAGAAAAAAAAGATAGATAGAGAGAGAGAGAGAGAGTGGAGAGGTAGGGAGGGAGGGAGGGAAGAGAGGAGAGAGAGAGAGAGAGAGTGGAAAATTAGAATGGTCGTGGCCGTAGGAACGGTAAAAGAAATGGAAGAACGGAGACAGGGGGAGAGTGTTGGGGGAAGAGAGAGAGAGAGAGAGAGAGAGAGAGAGAGAGAGAGGGAGGGAGAGGGAGTATCGAATGGACTACTAAAAGAAGAACAAACAGAAAGGGTTAAAACGAAGCGTTCGAAAAATCTAGACAACACCATGTCCAACAGTGCATTACGTCATAATATACGCATCCTGACGATGCTCCTCTCTCTCTCCCCCTATTTAGTATACATTTGTCTTTCTATCTTTCATGATCAATCTTTACCTATCAAAAAGAGTGTCACAAAAGTGTCAGCTTCTGATATATTAGAGATAGGGTAAGCGAAACACAAGAAGCAAACGCGAGGGAGAGAGAGAGAGAGAGAGAGAGAGAGAGAGAGAGAGAGAGAGTTGTCTCCTTCCCACCAATCTGTATCCAAGTTTCAGAGAAAAAAAAGAATCCCAGACTAGATAGAGTCCGGCTTCTGATGCGTTCTTCTCCTGAATCTTGTTCATTGTTAGATAAACACCGTCTTATTCGACTGCCGGAGCTCTGCTATGGAGGAGATGTGCAGCTGCTTCTGGCAGAAGATGGATGCTGACCATGGCGATCTCGGCGACGTTGTCCGCCGCGGTGCCGGCGGAGGCTGCGGAGTGCCTCCACGTGCCGGCCAACACGTGCCAGAGCTTGCAGGCTTCCCTCCACCGGAGAGATCCAACGACGACTTTGGAGACCCCTTCTCCAGCTTCCGCGACCCTCTTCTCCATGATCTTGGTGGCGGCGCGGCCTTCTTCGGCGGCGCAGATGCGGTGCCGGTGCTTGGCCAGGCGCCAGTGGTGGGTAGTGGTGGCGACTTCTCTAGGGTTCTGCAGATCTCATCCGCTGCCAAGGCAGCTGCACCCACGGTGTCTCCTCCTGCAGTGTTTACACCTTCCGCCATCCTCAGCGGCGAGATGGCGACCTCTCCTCTGGACCAGGGGGAGTTTCAGATCTCCTCGCCTCCGAGTCCAGACATGAAAAGAAGGTCTTGATTTACTTCTCTAAATTGATTTCCATCACCGTCTATCTGGGTTCTGGCGAGATCTAACTCTGGATTCTAGGCGAATAGACAGCTCTTCATATCGATCTAAGAGTTTATCTCTCTATTGTCCATATCCCGGGCTCGAACATTTCACGGACCAGTTCGAGAACCTAGCGTTCCTTCAGGGGAAAAACTTTTAGGGTTTTTCAGTCTTCTCCATGAAACATTTCCGTCGTTCCCCAATACTTGTACCCGTGAACCTATTAACTTCATGCAATGGGCATGTAAAACGAGACTTTTGATCATTCTCCTCTCATTCTTAGCTTTGATGTGCGCGATGAAAAGGCCTAGCATTTTCTCGGAATCAAATAGGAAACCTTAAGCTGTTCTATAAGATAATCTGTGCTGTAGAGGAAAGATAATCTTCGGGGTAACAGTGTATTGATGGGAGACCTTGAGAGAACAAAACCTAGTAGATTTGATAGAAAGGGATGACTGAAAAGACTGTGATCTGAGGACACACTCACCCTCGGTCTCCATCTCTCTTCTCTCTCTCTCTCTCTCTCTCTCTCTCTCTCTTTCTTTCCCCAGAGAATGTTGCCTGCGATCTTGGCTTTGATGACAAACCCCAGTAGAAAGTGCAAGCATATCACTCCATAAACCCACATTATCCTTTATGAGAGCAATCAAAACCTCATCTTCCTTTCAACTCGCAAAGGCTTCACTTTTACGGTCATTTGCGTTGATAATATCTGAGATGGGTGGAATTCGCCCGTCATCCGGAAGGATCTCCCAGATATAATGACTTGGAAAGAAGGAGCGCCGGGAGATCTCTCTTTGTCTTGCTCTTTCCTCCGTCCTCATTAGTCCGCATAACAGAGAAGAATCTGATGCCCCCTTTGTCACACAGGAAAAGCCAGACCAAGAAGGTGGTCTGCATCCCTGCACCACCAGCGAGCAGTAGCAGACCAGGCGGAGATGTCATCCCCCCTGACCTGTGGGCGTGGAGAAAGTATGGGCAGAAACCCATTAAGGGTTCTCCCTATCCAAGGTAATTTCCAATTTTGAATCCCCTCTATCCGACCTTATCATAGTACTATGATCTTAAAGAGGAAAAGAAAATGGTCTTAGAGACGAGTTATGGAGCCTACCGTTGTTAAGATGCGTTCATGTGGGATGAAGAGATGAAGGAGAGAATCTTTGCGTCTCCACAATTATTTTGGAACAGTAATCAATCTGAGATCTTCTTTTTAAATATGAGAGTTTCATCTATGCGCTTGATATTTTCTATCATAAGAAAATTGCAATTTTGATGTTTTTTTAATCTCGGTTTTGTGATTACGCCATCAGTGCTTATGATCTTTTCAGAAAGGGCACAGAGAGAGAGAGAGAGAAGCCTGATCTTGGAGGGGTTGAAAATGGTGATAGAGATGACAATTATGTTCTCACACTCGCTCATCAAGATTAGGGCACTTGCGAATGAAGCGACCGAGGAAGAAGATATCATCGCTTAGAAGAAGGATGGTTCCGAGGTTTACCGAGGAAAACGAGTATTTTTCATATATTTCCGAGATTATACCATTAGCCCATATTCTAGTATTAATCAGAAACTACTATGAGCCTTCTCCCTCTAATCACTGTTAATTGGTTTACAATAACAAAGTTGTGAAATAGTTCGAATGCTCCGAGAGAGGGGATGTCTAATGGCGGTCTCTGCGTTCGATTCAGGGGTTATTACAGGTGCAGCAGCTCGAAAGGGTGCTCGGCGAGGAAGCAAGTGGAGCGGAGCCGGTCAGACCCCAATATGCTAGTCATCACTTACACCTCAGAGCACAACCATCCATGGCCGACCCAGAAGAACTCCCTGGCAGGTTCCACGAGGTCTCAGCCAGTGAGAAGTGGTGCCACCGCGATGAGGGTGGGTTCCTCTAGTAACCAGAGGCCGGCTGTGGGGGAGGCGGCGGCGGCGGCGGCGACCGCCGCTGAGGGTCTGTTCGCCGGTTTGAGAGAGATGGGGATAGCAGGCGAGGAGAGAGAAGGACCGAGAACGGGCGCTACTGCAGATAGGTTCGCCATGTTCGACTGGGGAGGAAATCCATTTGGGGAAACTAAGAACTGGGGTCTATAGAGAGAAAGGAGAAGCCAGCAGCACCTGGTAGGGGTAGGAACATCTCTGTAGATGGTCTGCTTTTCTTCACGTCGGTGAAATTTCGACCAAGCTCTCCCTCTCTCTCTCTCTCTCTCTCTCTCTCTCTCTCTCTCTCTCTCTCTCTCTCTCTCTCTCTCTCTCTCTCTCTCTCTCTCTCTCTCTTCTCTCTCTCTTTCTTTCTCTCTGACTCGATCTCTCTACGTATCTATTTGTCTAGCTATTCTCCTCACCTCTCCGTGTACCATCTATTTGTTTATCTACTGTCCCTCTATCTGCTCTCTTTCTCTTTCTAACCTTGGATTTCATTGTTTAACCCTGCTGCTGTTATTTAACAGAAAAATATGCCATTTATGAGGGAAAGAGAGGCGGGTCTTCTGCCTCTGGCTGGTGACAGGCCGTCTGAGACCACGACCTTTGAAATTGGGTGCATTGCAGGATGGGACAGAAAGCTGAGGAACAGAAGCATGCCACAGTTTAGGACAAGTACATGGCTCAGATATGACTGGAGAAGCTTTCTCTCTCTATAATATATACATATATATATCTCGCTGTCCCCCTCTCTCTCCTCTCGTAGAAGCCAAAATAATGCAGAAATATGGACGTGGGGAGGGAGACGAGCTGTAGGGGGATTCCGCAAAACAACCCAGTGACGTCTCCTCCTCCGACAGCCAACGCCATCTAAAGAAGCTGACGACGGGGATTCTGCTAGAGAAGAGATACAGACACCCTGCCTTAGGGTTTCTCTCAGCTCTCTGCCGTCATCGCCCTTCCACTTGGGCGGCGGCACTCTCTCAGCTACCTGTAAACCAGCCAATCTGCCTCAGAGCCTCCCTCCACCTTTCACAGGCTACTACATGCACGTGCGTCAGCTCGCTCCGCTCTGGGCACGAGGGGACCCTGCACGTGTGCATGCATCATCCATTCATCCATGCATGCATCACTCGGAGATCGGTGAATCTAAGCCGTTCAAATGTTGTGATTTCGTCATCTTCCCTTCGTAGAGAGAGACACACGCAGACAGACACAGACGCGAAAGAGAGAGGGAGACAGAGTGAGAGCTGCCTAAAGATTTCAGGCCGTGAGGGGTACCCTTGTAGTGAGATGATGTTAAAACCTCGACGGACCTAGGTCAAGATTCACAGCCGCCAATCAATTTCGATAAGGCACGAGCTCGCATGATCAAACAATCTTCTGATCAGTTATCGAGGGCCGTCTGATTCAGACAGAGAAAGAACGATTCAGAGGGGGGACCCCAACGAGAAATTCTGAATTTATGGGCAATTAGGTTCCCCTAATGCCGGTGGTTGTGCATAATTATGTATACTTACGCATTAATGAAGGTGTAGTTCTGAGAAATAACGAAAGTCTCCAATCGGAGGTCATCTCTTCATGCCCAGAAGGATTTCCCTCTCTCTCTCTCTCTCTCCCACGCCCAGCTGAGAAGACTCTCCTTGACTCTTCGTCGGCAAATCATGGCATACACAGTGAAGTTAAGAATGGCGCAGCATACCACTCTGGCACCACTGCAGACCACACTCCTCACAAGCGGAACAACACTCTTACTCCCTCCGTCATTTCATCGCTCTCTCTCTCTCTCTCTCTCTCTCTCTCTCTCTCTCATGCAGTGGCAACGCCCACGGCTGCGTAGAGGTTCCGAGCCCGGAAAGCGTTGTTGTTCGCGCCCGTTCCGGGCCGGCTGTAGTACCCCGTACTCCTTATTGTCCGTCGGTCAGAGGAGAGACCAATCTCGGCCATTTTCAAGACTCTGCCAGTATCGTACATCAGAAAAGATCTTCTCTCTCTCTCTTTTCTTCGTTTCTCTCTCCCTTCCCTCTCCCGAATGAAAGCCCAAACCCTAAAACCAGTCGCGTTTCTGCATCTGGCATCTCTTCCAACCATCTATCCCTCTGCTGCGTGAAAAGAGGAACAAATTGTATCTCTCCTCTCCTCCTCATCTCTTCTCACTCTATTGATCAACCTCTGGGTCTCTCCTCTCGACTCTTTCCAAGTCTAAATCAGTCCTTACAATGGTCAGCTCTCTCTCTCTCTCTCTCTCTCTATCTATCTATCTATCTATCTATCTATCTCTCTATCCATCAATCCATCTATCTATCTCAATCTGTCTCTCACTCTATGTCACCGAAATTCGAAGCATCACTCTCTGTACGATATTTCTATTTCTCGCCGAATCCCCGATCATCACCGTCTCTGCCCCCACCTTCTCTCGAGCGGAACCTGCAAGCATCAGTGTCTACACTTTTCTCTCTCCACCCCTTCCCCCCTCCCCCCCACCCCCAGTCTCCTCCCGCACCGAAACTCCAGGCACCACTCTCCACAATACTCTATTTCTATTTCTCCCAGTCATCGCCATTTCAACCCCCACATTCTCCTACAAGCATCAGTCTTTAACTTCTCTTTCCCTCTCCCTCTCACCGAGCTCCCAAGAATCACTCCCGACCCTCGTCCACACCCTAAAACTCTCTCTCTCTCTCTCTCTCTCTCTCTCTCTCTCTCTCTCTCTCTCTCTCTCAAATTCAACAAATGAACGTACAATCTGTATGCTGGAAGTCGCCCCCCGCGACCTTTGCCACGACGTCATGATGACGTTCTATGACCGACGTACCCATCTTGCTAGACATGATGAACTCTCCGAAAATCCACATCTCTTCGTAACATATTTATCGGCTATTCCGTCATATTCTAAAGTTTCACTATTTTTCACACCGTGTGAGGTCGTGCTCTCAAGTTTTTTTTGTTTTATTTATTACCAAATGGAATTATTATTTTCAAAAAAATCAAAAAATGCTACTGATAATTACCCCAAATACGTGCAATAATAACTTGGTATTCCTTCATCCTAAATTGGGATTTTCTACCATTTTAAGAATATTCTTTTTTCGTGGGAGAAAATAGTAACCCAGAATATTACAAGCATATAAAAATATATATTATGAAACAATAATTATCATTCGTTTTACTTTTAAAATACGTGTCAATATGCTAATTTAAATAAATCAGGACTTTAATCAATATAATTCCGTTGCAAAGAAAGAACAGTCAACTCCTCAAGAACATGGAAGTTGTCGGCCACATGCCAATGCAGCAGGTTCCCTTGCCACATGGAGGCTTTGGATAATTCCACGTGGCACATGCATAGCCTATACTAATCATATAAATAACATAAAAATGAAAATAATATCAGTTTTTATAAATATATTTTTTCATTCCCTCCTGGACCCAACCTCAATCGAGAAAAAAAAAACAATAAAATGGAATTTTTGAGAAAATAAATCCGAATATATGAAAATTAAGGTTTCTCATTGCCAAAGCGGGCTCTTTTTTTGTTTGAGTGATTTTTTGGGGAATATATTTGGCGGGTCTTCAGATGGCTTCTTCAGAGTCACAGGAGGTGAGACGACCGGAGTGTAGGAGGAGGCAGCGATGATGAGGGTTGGAACGATGGTGCCGCCGCTGGTGGGTTCAATCCGGAGGGCGGCATTTTTCTGCAGATCGGCGATGGAGCCTGGTGGCGGGGTGGCCATGGTTCAGGGAGCTTCCAGAGGAATTGGGCTCGAATTCGTGAGTCATTTCCGTGTTCTGCGTCTCGTTTAGGTTGCATGTTTGAGGTCGCGCCATCCTCAACAGTTTCAGGGGCTCTGCAGTCGGGTGGAATCAATTAATTATGTTTGGTTTCTGGTTTTTTTGTTCCCCTCGGTTGCGGAATTTTCCTTTCTGGATATGATTCGCAACTCTTGATGCCGATGTGCGGGAAAGGAGTTGAATCCCCTGATAAATTGCCGCTGTCAGAATGTTCTCCTTTACATTTTGGCGTGAGTTTCTCTTTAAATTGTATCAGATTTGAACTGGTGGTGGTCGCCGAACAGACAGATTTATTTATCCGTGAGAACCCTAGGTCATCTTTAGCTGCCATGGTGAGTTTCGACGAATGCCAAGAACACAACCGCTTGATGTCGACAGAGATCGATCAGCTCTAGGTTCTTCTATCTTGATTTATTGTATCTTGTGCATTCCAGTTATTTTTTTTCTCCATGAACAAGTATTCGGCATACGTTTCATGCTCTTGAATCCCTTTGAATATAGGTCAGACAACTCTTGGAGAAGAAAGAAAAAGGGCAGGTTATTGCAACTTGCCGTGATCCGAGCAGGGCTTCCTTCCTTCAAGAACTGAAAGGCAAGTATACCGAACGCCTCGACATCCTGCCGCTGGATGTGACCGATGAGAGCTCCATAAAGGTAGCTTGATTTTTATACTACGTGGGAACATATATTTCAGATATTTCATTGAAAACTTAACCTTCTTCATGAACCAAGATGCTCGATACCTAGTTTCCTTCTTGCCTCCAGAATTTTGGCTTATTCTTCTTTTAGCTACAGAATGCAAGACGATGGCGTTTCTCATGGTGTTCCCTTGCTAGTTCTATTAAAGAAATACCCTATCTGGGATCTTAAATCGATTGACATAACAAGGGATCTTGATCTTGATACAGAACGTCTTGCAGAACTCAAGAAATGATTCAGATCTTGACATAACAATCGATTGACGTACAAGAAATACCCTTTCTCATGTTGCTAGTTATAATACAGAACGTCTCCCGATCTTGATCATTGATTTTAATTCGCTACCCAAGAAGAGGAAGGATATCTGCGTGTATTATAAGATTAGAAAGGGATGATAAATCTAGGTGTGTCAATTATTGTTAAAATTACTAAGAATGATGAGGGATGAGACATCGATGTGCAGTTTGAAAGAACTCAAGAAATGCAGTTTGAGAGAATGATTATAGACTAGTTTTGGTGTTCAGAGGATATGGTACTTTCTCTGTCTTGTAGATTCATGGTTATGATGCATGAGAAACTAGTCCAATCTATAGCATCCATATTCTAATTTCTTCTTCTGAGCAAACGTACTCATCATTGTTATGATTTCATATTTCATCAAAATCTTACTCATTATTGTTGTGATTTCCTGCTATTGCATTGGAAATAAGAAAAAGATTAGGAAACTTTAAAATTATTGCTAGATGCATTTAGTTCCAGCGGACAAGCTTCCAAAAAAATTAAATTAACTAAGCATGATCAATCATTGGGGTAAAATATTCCAATGGATATTAGATGGTGATATTAGCGGGGGAAACTCATTTTATAGTCGTGCTGTCTTGACTATGCTTTTGCATCCAGGACCAAAACCCAACTTAGAGCTCATGTTCTTGTTCAGAAATTCCCTGGTACAGTTCATTTAGCTTTAATTAAGTAAGTTATGTTAGAATTCCATATATTCAACTTTTTCTCCTGCTTCTGCTCAAAGTTTCATTTTGATTGTAGCATATAATTTCCCTACTTCTAGAATGCGATTCCTCAGTTTCATGAATCCACAGCTATCCAATCCTATCTACATGTTTTCGGTTTTCGTTTCCATATCAGAGCATACTTCTCCCACACACACACACGCCTACATATCTGTAATGGTTCGTCTTTTTTTTTTCTTGCATTTGATTTTCTTCCAAGTTCTCGATCGTTTCCCACTCGTTTGACTCATATTCATCACTCATTGATTTATTTATTTTTCTGAATTTTTGTTTAGGCTATGTATTCAAAATCACCAAATGGATATCTTGTGGCAGGCATCTACAAAGTCTATAAACGAAAGATACGGTTCCCTCAACCTGCTGATTAATGCATCTGGAGTGCTCTCAATACCGGGTGTACTGCAGCCAGGTACAAATTTCTATAGAAACTACTTAATTGGAAGAACTAGTATGCAAGGAGAGTCCAGAAATCCAAAGCTCCAGGCCACCTGTTCTTCAATGTCCTGCTCTAAACTCGACGCTTGTTCAAAGACCTCTACCAGTGATAGATGCTTGAACATCTCATGAATCTGCATTCTGCGAAGCAAATTTTTTTGATTCGTCTAAATACTTGCTTTTGTAGAATACTTTGGTAAGATGACATCTCTGCTAAGCTCTTTCTCATCTTCAAAACAGATAGCTAGCTAGGAAGTGCTAGTAGGAAGGCCTGGACTTCGTAGCGGCTTAGTCCAGAGCCCATTTTCTGGGTTTTTCTGTTAGTCCATAAAAATGGCCCAGACTTAGCCTGTAACTTTAATATTCCTAGAAACAGTGCTGTGCATGTTTTAATTAACTGCATATCTGTAGAACTGAGTTTTTTTTTCTTTATTAAATAGCTCGCTAGTTTATTACTATGTTATTTTTTATTTTTCAGAACTCTATCATTTTTTTAATATTTTATTTCTAAGCTAAATAGATAAAGGACTCTTTTTCCAGCATCAATACTTCCGTTTCATATTTTTCTCCTGTGTTCATGATTGCAGAAACAACCTTGAATAAGGTAGAAAAGTCATCGTTGATGTTTGCATATGAAGTCAATGCTGCCGGACCCACTCTAGTCATCAAGGTTTTTTTTTTCTAATTCATTCTCTGTACGATTATCTTGTGTCGGCATGTTATTATTTGCAAACTGGGAAATATTTTTCAGGGTCAACTCTCTTTCACCATATTTTATCCGTCAACCTCTCTAAATGACTGACTTTTTCACCTGAATCTTCAATAGCACATGTGGCCGCTATTAAAGCTGGGAGGGCAGACCGCTTCTGAGAGGAAATTCTCTATAGTTGCAAACCTAAGTGCCAGGGTCAGCTCCATCGGAGACAACGGCCTTGGTGGATGGCATTCATATCGATCTTCAAAGACGGCACTTAACCAATGTATTATGCAATTAAATTTTTATTATTTATTTTCCTAATCTCCTAATATCATATCAAGTTCCAAGCTTGAGACTGAAATTTCTTGGTCACTGAAAAAAAAAATCCTCACATCATGGAGTTAAAATGAGGAATCCGAGAATAGCAAGGTGATCAGAGAAAAAGCATCTGTTTATTTTAATTTTTTTCCAAATTAGCATAAATGTTAGTGATGGACACTACAGCCTTCTGAATTCTGCAAAACCCTGTTTAAACCCTTCTTTTTATTTCCAAGAGTTGCTCTTTTCTTGTTGTTTTTGTATCACATAAACTAAAATCAGAAATTGAATCAGTTATCCCTGAGGTTCCTTTCTCTAATTAAATCAGGACATTGGGTCATCCAGTTCAAAGTAAATTGGCAGACCCAGAGATATATAACCCTAAAGTAAAATTATTTATTGCTTCCAGTATGAGATTATTAAAACATGTGGGTTTTTTGAGCCTTGATTATACGGGCAACATAGAGGAGGAACAAGTAGCTCAGCAGCAACCATTTTCGTTTATTGAAATTGAACTAATTACATCCATATTAACCATGATTTCAATTATTATTTCCATTATGATACTGTTCTATGTTTACAGTCTTCACCATAGAATCAAAAAGCTTTACATAATCCTGGAAATTCTCTGCTTTCCTCCATGATTTCATATGATTTCCAATACGGGACTATCCTGTTCACAATAAGATTAAAAAAAATCCATAATTGTAGAAAATTTCTTGTTACTATTTCCCATATGGGGCTAAACCTGATTGAAATCAAAGTGTTCCAAGACGGTGGGAGATTCTCTGGCTGAATGCTCTGTAATCTGGGTGTAGTGACGAAGAACATATCTCTGGAGTTCGCCAGGAGGAAGGACCCCATCGTCTGCATTCTTCTGCACCCGGGAACCGTGGACACGGACCTCTCCAAGCCGTTCCAGAGGGGCGTCCCCGAGGGGAAGCTCTTCACGCCGGAGTTCTCCGTGGGGAAGCTCCTCGCCGTGATCGAGGGCACTGAAGCTTCCGATAACGGCAAGTTCTTCGCTTGGGACGGGCAGCAGATTCCCTGGTGAAAAAAGGTACTTTTCTCGAATCAATCCCGATTTCTTCTCAGAACCCAATTCAGCTAACAAAAATCCACGTTGTGGGTATGGGTCCGATGGACGATTATTTTTTTCCCCGATTTGTTCATATTAATTATCACAAAAACCTATTTTTTTGTGTATGTTTACTTATCCGTATATATATATATATATATATGTATGTATATGAAGGGTTTGGAGGGTTGTATCGTTCTCGTCTTGGTCCTCGTCTCCTGCATGAGACGGAGCGCCGCCGGAGAACCGCCGCCGCTGTGGAGCTGCCGGCGTCCGCCACCAAGCTCTGTCTCGCGGTCCAATGGAACGCCCTCCTCCGCCGCCGGTGCAGGGCAGGGCAGTGGGCGGAAACCCTCGCCCTCTTCCGCCGCATGGCCGCCGGCGGCGGCGGGCGACGCCGCCGCTCGCCGGAGCCCGACCGGTTCACCCTCTCCATCGTCCTCAAGGCTTGCGGCGAGCTATGCAACCTGAGGGAAGGAAGGTCGCTCCATGGCTACCTCCTGAGGAGGCCCCAGGAGGAACTCCGCAGGGACCTCTTCGTCGGCGCCGCCCTGGTGGAGATGTACTCCCGCTGCGGCGAGATGGGCGGCGCCGCCGCCGTCTTCAATGCCTACCCATCGCCGGACGTTGCCCTCTGGACAGCGGTGATCAGCGGGTACCAGAAGAAATCCATGGCGGAGGAAGCCGTCTCCTTCTTCTCTCTGGTTCTCCGGGAGAAGAAGCATCTGAACCCTAATCCGAGGACCCTCGTCTCCCTCATCGCCGCTGTCACCCAGATCGGAGCTCCCCTCGCCGGAAAATCTGCCCACTGTTACTCCCTCCGGCGAGCTTTCCTCTCCGACCTCCCGCTTAGCAACTCCGTCCTGAACATGTACTCCAAGCTGGGGAACGCCGATTATGTGGTGAGGTTTTTCGCCGCCATGGCCGGCAAGGACGTGATATCCTGGAGCTGCGTGTTAGGGTTTTACGCCCGCCATGGGAGGACCGCGGCGGCCCTGGAGCTCTACCAGCGGATGACGGCGGCGGGTTTCCGGCCCAACTCCGTCACCGTCATCGGCGCCCTCCAAGCCTGCGCGGCGGCGGCGGAGCTGCCGGAGGGGAGGAAGCTCCACGGGGAGATCCTCCGGCGAGGTCTCGAGTTGCAGGCGGCGGTGGCCACCGCCCTTATCGACATGTACATGAAGTGCTCCTGCTCCGGCGAGGCGGAGCTCGTCTTCTCCGGCATGCCCACCAGGGACGTCGTCACCTGGTCTGCCATGGTGGGTGGGTACTCTCAGAGCGGGCTACCCGACATGGCCATGGAAGTCTTCCGCAGGATGATGATGGAGGGAACGAAACCAGACGCTGTCGCCATGGCGAAGCTCCTCTCCTCTTGTTCTCAGTCGGGTCTCCTCCGGCAGGCCCTGTGCCTGCACGGGTTCCTCCTCCGCCGGGGCTTCCACCGGCGACGCTTCGTGGTAGCGGCGCTGATCGATCTCTACTCCAAATGCGGGGCGGTGGAACTCGCCGTGGGAGTCTTCACGGCGATGAGAGAGAAAGACGCTGTCGTGTGGAGCGCCATGATCGCCGGCTTCGGTATCAACGGGCTTCCCGGCGATGCCCTGCGGCTGTTCAGAGAGATGATCAGATCCTCCGCCGCCGTCCCCGGCGGCGCCACCTTCGCGTCCCTACTCTCCGCTTGCAGCCACTCGGGCCTCCTCCGCGAGGGGAAGGAGATCTTCGAGGAGATGGAGGTTATCCACGGAGTGGCCCCCGCCGGCGAGCACGTCGCCGCCATGGTCGACCTTCTGGGCCGCGCCGGCGAGCTACCGGAGGCCTTGAAGCTGATCGCCGCCGCTCGTCAGAGCCATTTTAGCCACGCTTGGGCGGCGCTGCTGGCGGCGGCCTGCAGGATCGACGGCGGCGCCGCAGCGGAGGTGGGGGAGCTGGCGGCAAGAAAGCTCTCTGAACTGGGCGCCGACGACATGGCGGGGCCTTATCTTCCTCTTCTGCAAGTTTTTGCCGCAAATGGAAGGTGGGAGCAGGTGGGAATGGTGAGGAAGACGGTGGAGGACCGTCTCTTGAGGAAGATCCCCGGAAGGAGCTCGATAGAGGTTGCCGGCGGAATCCACTGGTTCGCCGCCGGCGACCAAAACCACCAGGAAATCGAGAGGACTCAGCTGATTCTAAGGGGTTTGGGGGCGGCGATGAAAGAGGGAGGAGGCTCCGTCTTTGATGATGCTGCTTCGTTCCACTGTGTTGACTAAAAAAAAAAGCCTTGATTCATTGGACGATCTAATAAGGTCACTGCTAAAATAAGTAATGGGTTTTGACCCAGGGGATCGATCTAGTGGATGGTGAGCTGGGTTTTTCCGAATTTTTCGAATTTACCCATCTGTTCAAGAGTTGACCTTCTTTGCTGATGAAAGAGGGAGGAGGCTCCGTCGATGATGATGTTGCTTGGTTCCCCTGTTTTGACTAAGAAAAAACCCTTCATTCATTGGATGATCTAATAAGGTTACTGCTAAAATAAGTAATGGGTTTTGACCCAGGGGAACGATCTAGGGGATGATGAGATGGGTTTTTCCGATTTTTTCGAATTTACCCCATCTGTTCAAGATTTGACCTACGGCAAGAGAATAAAGGCCCCAGCTTTATCGTCTCCATCCAGGAATTTCCTAGATTTAATCTTCATAAATGGGAGGGTTTTGAGCCTTAAGATTTATGGGTCGCTGTAATTCCCGCTTAGTTTATTTTTCAAGCTGCTAAAATCGGAAAAATGGGGGGAAATCCCACAGGAAGGTTCAGAGTTTCATTCCCATTAGGAATATTATTTATTTGTTTAATTATTTATCTGTGGGCATATTTCCAGATGAGGGTGTAAGTACAAATTCATTTCTAGAGAGGGCAAAATAGGCAGTTCTACTATGGGTTCGTCACAGGTCCCGCACACGTATGACCGCTCTCAGGCCGAACAGACCAATGCCCAGTATAGGCCCAACCCATATTTCCAAATGGGCCATTAGCAGCCCTGGCTGGGCCAACCCTTTCGTACTGCCGAGACCAACTACGGCCTCACCTAGAGGGTGGCATTCCGGGGGTTTGCACGTCCCATGACACGCGTGCGATTATCGGTGAGTAGCGAGCGATTTCTTTTGGTGGTGGAATGAAGACCACCCTCCTGCGGTGGTGTCCTGCCTTATCGCTCTCTCTCTCTCGCCGCCTCTCTCTCCCTCCCTCCCTCTCTCTCTCTTTTCTCCCTCCTTTCTCTCTTTGTCTCGCTGCCTCTCTCTCTCTCTCTCTCTCTCTCTCTCTTTTCTCTCTCCTTTCTCTCTCTGTCTCGCTGCCTCTCTCCCTCCCTCTCTCTCTCTCCTTTTTCTCTGTCTCGCTGCCTCTCTCTCTCTCTCCCTCCCTCCCTCTCCTTTCTCTCTCTGTCTCGCTGCCTCTCTCCCTCTCTCTCTCTCTCTCTCTCTCTCTCTCTCTCCCTCCCTCCCCCCCTCTCTCTCTCTCTCCTCCCTCTCTCTCTCCTCTCTCTCTCTGTCTTGCTGCCTCTCTCCCTCCCTCTCTCCTTTCTCTCTCTGTCTTGCTGCCTCTCTCCCTCCCTCTCTCCTTTCTCTCTCTGTCTCGCTGCCTCTCTCCCTCTCTCTCTCCTCTCTCTCTGTCTTGCTGCCTCTCTCCCTCCCTCTCTCTCCTTTCTCTCTCTGTCTCGCTGCCTCTCTCCCTCCCTCTCTCTCTCTCTCTCTCTCTCCTCCCTCCTCCCCCCTCTCTCTCTCTCTCCCTCTCTCTCTCTCTCCTCCCTCTCTCTCTCTCCCTCTCCCTCTCTCTCTCCCTCCTCCTCTCTCTCTCTCTCTCTCCTCCCTCCCTCCCCCCCTCTCTCTCTCTCTCCTCCCTCCCTCCCCTCTCTCTCTCTCCCTCCCTCCCTCCCCCCTCTCTCTCTCTCTCTCCTCCCCACCTCTCTCTCTCTCTCCCCCCCTCCCCCGCTCTCTCTCTCTCTCTCCCTCCCTCCCTCCCCCCCCCTCTCTCTCTCTCCCTCTCTCTCCCTTCTCTCTATCTCTCGCTCGCTCCTTTCTCTCTCTCTCTCTTGCTCTCTTGTTCTTGCTCTCTCTCGCTTCTCTCTCTCTCTCTCTCTCAGAGCCATTATGTCGAGTTGCCCTCAGCCGCGCTCTCTGCGTCAGGCAGAGGGCTGCACCTTCATTCCCCATCTTCCCCTAGATTCCCCCCTTTCGTCGTCAACCTACACGTCGAATTTCCCTCCCTCCCCGTCCGGCGACTGACCCCACCCACACTGCCGCCCGCTTTGCCCAGCCGTGGTCTCCTTTCCTTCGCCTTAAAGGCTGGCTATTCAGTGCGGTGGCGGAGATGCTGCCCACACCCTCTACTGGACCCGAGTACCACTCACCCTTCGTTTTGATCCATCGATAATTATTATAGCACACGATACCTTCAAATCTCAACCTGTTTGGAGAGAGAGAGAGAGAGAGATAAAGATAGATAAGTTTGCACTCAACTCGACCTGTTTCTTGTTCTTGGCAATGGGATGGCTATGGCTTCCGGCAACATAGAGAAGAAGGGGGGGGGGGGATAGAGAGGGAGAGAGGTAGGATGAAGAGAGACGAAGGGAGGGAATCGATCATGTGCAGCTGCCAGAAACAAGAGTAAAGAAAAGAGGAGATATGAGGAAGGACCTGTGATTTGACCCCTTGACATGATATAACATCTGCACTCCTTGTTCCTGCTGACTGGCTGTCCTCTGACTGCCACTGCACAGCTCTGCAGCTCCTCAGAGCTTCCATAAATGTGAACCAGAGCGGCCCCAACACGGACGCATGCAGATTCTCTGTCGCCTGTCTGAGTCTGAGCACCGGAATTCCTCTAATCTGTGAGACACTGCGAAGAAGAAGGAGCAGACGAAGAAAAAGGGGTGGGGGAGGGGGGACACAGGAGTGGGGAAGGGCGGGGGCGCTGCGACAAGCAGGTGATGAAACACATGCATGGCCCCTCCCCATGCGTCGGTACACGCCAAGGTGTAAAATTTTTCAAACCTTCTGAGACTGCCACTCCGGAGGAGACTGATTGGTCTTGTCAATAGCTTGCTTCTCTCTAGATTTAAATATATCATTTCATAAAATATTAAAAAAAATCGTTAATTGACGAACTAAGAGTTATTTTGGAAACCGTCTCAGTATGGCTCTAACATAAGTTATTTTGAATAAAATAATTTATTTTGAAATAAAATAAGTTACACGTTATTTATTGCACTGAGACTTCAGTCTTGGACTTGCCTCGGGTCACTCCTCTACCTAGAGAGGAACGTTCTGGGGATAAAATATCTTTACATGCCGATTTTTTTATATAAACCGGACTTTGGAAAGCCACACTATACGCCTCTTTCATTATAATTTCGGTTCTGTGTTTTCAGATAGAATAAGCTCGCGTCCTTTATTGTAGTGTCTTCATCGAATCTGTTATGGTACCAGAGGAGTGTAATGTCCTGTACAGTCGATAGCTACATAAGTTTCACTCTTGTATTCAGATATAGTAAGTTCCATATTATTAACAGCGCTGGGTCTTCAGTCTAGACCGAGAGTCCCGCATTCCAGGGGTCATATTACCAGCTCCAACGATTTGCTATTTTACGGTACTTTTTATCACGAAAGATCGATTTTGCTCATCAACTAGACCAAGGAAAACCCCATTAATATGCATGTTTTATTACAAAACAATGGTTACAACGTATGCAGTTACGACGTTACGTACTATTTATTGCACTGAAGGTGTTCTTGCATCACCAGGGGTGGTAATTGAAATATATCTCTGAGTTTCAACTCTTATTATACATCTGATCTTGTACAAACCGAACTTAAGAAAAAGAATATTATCATGAATATTCAATTACGGACAAATTAGAGCACTCGTTAAGCCATATCACCGGCCTTGAGGATTGGAATAATTTTACATGCAAGCTGCTACAAATAACCAATTTAATGACGAATTCAACTGTGAGAAACTTCATTGGCCTTCCCTTCGACTAATGGACTTGGATTTCCGCCGTGTTTATGCATACGAGAGGACTTGCAAGTTAATTATTGACCCGAAATGATTCCTATCATCTCCTTTCATATTTCAATCCATGATTCATACCACCAGCTGCTTCCCGTTGGTTTTTTCCTCGATAATTGATATGAGAATATGAACCACATTGTATGGGATAAACAAGGAAAAACAAAGGCGTGAGTGCCGCATCATGGAAACCATCTAAGGACCAACTATATCTGCATGGTCCTATTATGAAAACGTTGTAAGTTCAGCTTTATTTATTCGTAAAAGAGAAGTCCAGTGTTATTCGTTGCATCGTCTCTAGACCCGCAATCTTGTGGCTCAAATGGCACATCACAAGTTGTAAGTTTTATTCTTCATGAAGAACCGATAAGAGAGTCCGAATCAAAATTTTGCCAAAAAAAAATCTTAAGAAACTAATCGTTGCCTAATATAACAACATTATAAACCTCAGGTAAGCTGGTCTTTCTAGCTATGCACAGGCACCTGGAACCAACGAGATCCCATGGCCTCCCCTCGGACCGAGACGAACTCTTGTTTCCTCCGAAGAACCTCTGAGTGGTTCCGGGGCATCTGTTTGCAGCGCCCAAATGCCTTCTGAATGCACTTATTTCCTGTAGGCTTTCTTTCTTCATTTCGCTTTGATTCGCGGTACGGGTATGTCGGTGAAAACCGAGCATCCTCCTAGTCCATATGTTCGGCCGGCCTGTTTATTGCACTGTCAAAACAGCTCCCGTCTATGCGCTTGTAGCCACCCTACCGCCATTATAATATTATCTAGGAAGATCTCCGGAAGCAACACGAACGTGAATAAAGAAGAATGAGGGTGGTCTGTATACATTTATATATCACCGGATGTATCTGGTTGTCTTGGATAGAATCAATTAGGACAAACTATTTGCGTTGGCTCAATTTGGACAAATGGTCGCCGGATGTGTTCTCAATTACTGGGATCTGAATCTCGGTTAGTGTAAAGATACCTCGAAGCTGTGGAGTTTTCTTCTGAGCACTGGGATCTTCTGTGTAGAAAAGAAGACAGAGCGGTCTTACAGAGGACAGGGAAGAGAGGAAGCAGAGAGGGAAAGAGGGAGCGGCGAGAGAGAGAGAGAGAGAGAGTGAGGGGGAGAGAGAATGTGTGTGAGAGCAGGTCAGAGTGAGAGAAAGAGAAGATGGGGAGCAGGTCAAGAATGTGAAGTGACGTCTTGTGAAATGATTCGTCAGACTGTCATCACGTCCAGCGGTGGATGCCTATGTTGTGGGTCCTGGACTCTTCTTTTGTCCACACATATATCACACCATAGGAGGTGTAAATAGATTGGTATTACAAGTACAGGCATACTTATCGTCCCTCTCTCTCTCTCTACGTATATCTATACGTATCGTTCCTTTTTTACCTCTATATATATATTGATTCCTATCTAATCTTTTACCTCTCTCCGTCCCTCTGTGTCTCTACTCTATCCTTCGGTCCATATAGTTCCAACCCCTGGCTAGCCCTTTCTCCAGCCCCACCACAGATGAAGATCCCACTTCCTCTTCCTTTCTCCATCTTCCCCAAACTCCTTCCCCAAACCTCCCATTTCTGATAACCTATATTCGTCTGCCCGTTTCCTCTCCTTTGCCATCATCAGATCTGCGATCTCCTTCCGCCCTGCCTGCTTTGAGCGCTCTATGGTCTTCCAGCTGATCTCCACAAAGCAACGAGAAGAGAAAAACCGCTTGAAGGATCGGAGGATCTCGTCGTAGAAGTGATCACCCGCGCTTCATCGATCGAGATTCCCGGAGGAGAGCCCTTAAATTCCGTACTTGCACCTGAAGCGGCTCGAGAGATGTCTGGGATTCTTCCTGCCAGTTCGGACAACTCGGGAAGCTCCGGCGGCGGGGGACTCCAGCAGCCACCGCCCAGCCGGTACGAGTCGCAGAAGCGCCGGGACTGGAACACTTTCGGGCAGTATCTGAAGAATCACAGACCCCCGCTGGCGCTCTCCCGGTGCAGCGGTGCCCATGTACTGGAATTCCTCCGCTATCTCGATCAGTTCGGGAAGACGAAGGTGCACTCTCCAACATGCCCCTTTTTCGGACACCCTCACCCGCCGGCTCCCTGCCCCTGCCCTCTACGACAGGCCTGGGGCAGCCTCGATGCCCTCATCGGCCGCCTCCGTGCTGCCTTTGAAGAAAACGGGGGCGCCCCAGAAGCCAACCCCTTCGCTGCCCGCGCTGTCCGACTCTATCTCAGGGAGGTACGCGACACCCAGGCCAAGGCTAGGGGGATCGCATACGAGAAGAAGAAGCGCAAGCGCCCACCTCAACCACCGCCGCCGCCTTCTTCCTCCCAAGGCTGCGGGATTGCGCAGACGTCTGTCACCGCCGTGAACGGAATCCCCGGTTTGCAGGTGGCCGATCTCAATTCCGCGGAGGGAGTTCTAATGATGCCTCACCACCACCACCACTACCGCCATCCTTCGCACCACGGGCATCTCGTCATCGCCCACGACGGCTCTAGCGGAGGCGGCGGCGGCGGCGGCGGACTGGTGTTGGCCGTGTCGGACTCCCATAATGGATCGCTCATACCCCTCTCGGTATTTAACTAGAAGTAGAAATGTATCCTACTACTAGAGTACTACTATTTCTAGTAAATATGAAGAAGCCTTTCGATATACCGATAAGATAAGAAAGAACGAGCCGTGTGGCTATGCATGGCGAAGTTCTTTCCTTCCTGTACTGAGAGGAACACCACGTTTATCTGCTTCCTTAGTCTGTTTTCCCTTGATAGTCGTCCAAATCCTAGAAAAATTTTATTTTCCAAGAAGTAGTTGCTATGTATCCATGTTTGATGCTGTAGTTACAGGGAGCATCGGGGGGGGGGGAGAGAGAGAGGGAGAGTAGAGAGGAAGGATATGGATGTGATCGTACTGATTACTCCATCCTTCCCCTGTGATCATGACTATCCACATCGTCTCTCTCTTCCTCTCCTCTCTCTCTCTCTCTCTCTTAAATTCACATACTACATGCCGTAGGCTAATAGGGCTTGTATCATTCCAACGAACAGTGTTCAAGTCGCAGTGCTACTGTGGAACCCGCGTCTTCCGCTTCCTATCACTAGGATGGCTGACAAGAGAGCAGGGCCTGTTCTCTTCTTTCTCATCCTACTCATTTTATAGCTTGATAGGTTGGTCTTCTTGTCTCGGTCACCCTTAGCAAAATATACAGTGCACATTCTATCTGGATATGTTCTCCTTGATTAGGCTCTGCTACCGTTTCTCGCCACCAAGAACACCTGGGGTCTTCTAGGCTTCCAGATTTCTCTCTATGCCATAAGCAAGGTGTAACAATAAGTGGAAACGTTTTATTCCTTGTAACCTTCTTCTTCTTTGTGGGTTTTTTTTTCCCCTTTTTGATGTTTAGTTCATCTCACAGGTCTATGAAGTCTTTCCAATTATGTGATCCCACAAGTTTTCTTTCCCAGCCAACGCTTTTCCCTCTAAGCAATGCAGGTGCTGTGATCTATCGATGAAAATTCGAGTTACCATCTCTAAACAGATGGTCATCGTCCCCCCGTCAATCTCTTCTTCTATGGTTCATGTCTTTTTGTTTGGCCATATAATTGAGAAAAAAAGTCTCTAAACCTCTTTTTAATATCCAAGTTCTCACTAGGCTTGTAGCACGTATTATTTTTAAAATCCGATTTATGTATGTGATCATCGTATCCTTATCCATTCTGTCTCTAAACCTTTTCTTGGAAGAAAAAACAGAGTTCTACAATAAATGGCATCCTTGTTCGTCGTATTTGCTCGTATAATGCCATTAGATATGGGTAGAATCCACAGGCCACGGATCATTTTTTTTCTCTTTCGGTAGATCGTGCTGATGTTCTTTGTTTACGGAATAACTATTTTTTCGATTTGACTTCTTCATTCATTGATGACGCCGAACTGATTGGTTTGCAGGCTTGGGATACCTAAGGATGCGCTTAAAATCCATGGGAAACGATCTTGGAAGAAGCATCCCGTGAGGAAGAACGGAGTGGAATTTCAGGTTGGCGGATGTGAAGGAGATGATGTGTCGAAGCAATTTCATCGAATAAACCTGGGAGCTTCAACGAAATGATGAAGAGTTCGAGAGCATTTCTATGTTCCCGTTCTCTTGAATGTCGATATAATAGATTATCATGTCGCCGACGAAAATGATCATCTGTTAAGTGAAAATAGACTCCTCATGGGGTTTCCTCATTCTCGTCCTACTCGGGGCCAACACTGAGTACATACAGAAGAAACGTGTCCTTATCATATTTTTTCTCCTTATCCTGCGCTGTCGGCGGCAATATTTGAACCTGTTTATCATACTTCGATCTATTATCTGGAGGACTTGAGACGTTATAGAAAACCCTCATAAAGGTTCAAGGGAATGTGACATACTTGACTTGATGCAAGTATTAGCGTGAGCCTGATGGCCGGCTCTTCCGAAGTCAAGCCCGATGCCGGAGTCTCTTACTGAATCTACGCCAAGTCCATGCTGTCCATGTCACACCGGATGACGGTGGAATCTGTGTGAGGATTGAGTTGTGTCAGGATGACCTATGGACATTAGATACTATACAATGCGTTATGTAGGGGCGTATTGATTTCTCTCTCTATTTATATCTACCGTTTTTGTCTAAGGATCCGTACGAAAATTAATCGCATTTCTCTGATGCACACAGTACCTATCGAACAGTATTAGATGATGTGATAGTTACATCAGTAAAGCTTACTATAGAAGCCGGATATAAGTCCACCCCAAAGGAGGCGGCGTCTTCTCATGCCCCACAGCATAGTACATCTATCTTTTCAATGAAACAAACGACAATGCCGAGTAAATTTCCATCCAAAATACTTGGGGTTTCCGATCTTAGTCACTCGTCTATGTTAAAAAACATGATAATATTTCATGACAATCGTTTAATACTATAACTGAATAAAAATGGATTGATACAGTAGTAGATTCGCAAGCCGAAATTTCGTTTCCTAAACAGATTTTTGTAATACACGATGACGTCAGTGCTAGTTTGCACATAGTCATGCTGGAGGTATAATGGACTAGTATAACTTATATTTAGACTAGTTTTCAACGTTATCCAACCCCCCTGTGGATCCTCCGAAGCTTGATGACGCTCATGACGGTATGGTAAATACAATTGAATAGTACTGCGCATATTTTGACTACTAAAGTTCTTTGATTAGTGCTGGGACTGAATTGATGACCTAAAACAATGGGTACGGCCTAGGTTCCATGAAGGAGATGATGAGGATTCCTTGAACGCCTATTGTGGCATCTCCAAGACTAGCTCGATAGGATGATTCCACTTCATTGCACCGTAGTTTGTGAGGACCACGAGATCCCAAGCAAAGAGTCCTACGAGCAGCAGCAACCGACTGTAGCGTTCATGATTCCCGCACACGCGGTATACTGCTCGCTTAGCAAGACACGTTGAAGGGTTGAACACTAGAATTTGACCAGCAGGTGCTTCTGGGATAGCCTAACCCTCGGTTGTACACGAAAGTCTTGGTATTGGAAGGTTCGAGTTTATTGTTCTTAATGAGTGATTTTCACTGGAAAAGTTTCTAAAGTCTACTATTGTGCGTCACCTCGGAGCAGATGATACCACAAGGAAAAATCCAAATTGATTTATCCAAAGTCAAACGCTATTGAGTGCACGGAAATCTTTGCGTGGAGGTCATGATGATACTTTGAAGATGGATTCGAAAAGCCAAAGTCTAGTAGCAATCTAGTTACGTGATCTTCTCCATGAACATCATTGGTTCTAAGAAGAATGCAGACAACAAAAGGTACGCTTTCAAAGTCAGCGCTTAAGCGGGTACAAGGATCGTGGCATCTAGAAGACCTCATGGGTACTGTCTAAAGACCGATCCGCAAGGTCCGAGTCCAATAGAACGAGGATCCCGACGTTAGTCTCCAGTTGACTTGTAAAAAAATAACAATAAAGGAGAGAAATCGAATATTTGGACCCGTGATTTCAAGAAAACAAAGGGAGTAAGGTGCTGGTCTTCTCCAGTTCGGGGGAGGGGACAAAGGACAATATAACTGCTCCCGCAAGATTACGTGAAAAAAGGAATAGCTGAGTCCAGTAGGATGAGTACGAGTCGGGGGACTCTTCCCCTTCACATTACTGGTTTGGAAAACATTATACGAAAAGAAAGCTTCCAGTGCTAGAACTTTCAAAAGGCTATTATTTTATTAGTAATGGTATAGAAAGTCGACGGGTTTTGCTTAAATCCGTGCTAAATGACAATAAATTTGGGGAGGAAAGATCCGTGCCTCTCCCATCCGTGATACTACGAGATCTCCAACATTGGGTTCCGTGTCGACTTGTTTGAAATATTTTATAAGTGACTTGACTGCGATGTGACGCATCGATTGCTCGTGCGCAATCCCACGGGTACTCGAAGACCCTCGTCTGCTAGCAGCCGATCGTCCTTCATTCTGTTCTTTGTAAGCACCTCCAGAAGACAGCGTTATCTACGGTCTTGCCACCAGCGTGAAACATAACAGTTCCCATGTGGGGCGGCTGGATTGTGATTTTACGGTCAACGGGGGGCCTTTCCGAAGAACTCTATTGAAAGTCGCCCGCCTACCTCTGCGGCCACCACGGAGGGTTGTCGTCGGCAGAGGGATAGGAGGGGGCCCGCCGATCGAATGTGACGTCATTGGGAATGGCAGGCACATGTCTCATGCGTCACATCAATCGGCTGGCTTTCGTCATCTCCCGGTTTTTTCGGATCTTGGGGCCTCCGAATGGTGACACGTCTTAATCGCCGCCCTACCCTTCTCGGTTAGCGTGTCCAAAAAGATTACACTTTGAAAGAAGTCAACTATTTTTGGTGTATTTCGGAAATATGATTTTCCTAGGTCAATTAGCTTAATCATCTCTGTTAAAGTCTACCTTTTACTGGCCGTTGATTTTTCTTTCCGGTAAGGCAGCTTGGACCCCCGAAACACTTGCCGTATCCTTCACACTTGGAGCATTGACCTGAGGATGCGGCGATGAAAGAAAGAATAAGATGATGTCGCGTGGGATGAGACAATAAAGATTAAAGAAGGTCCTAAGTGGAAACAGTAGCATGGGGTCTCATTCTTGATATGAAGATCAAGCCGGGGGAGTCCTCTGCTGTAAAACCAATGAAAATGACGCTACTTTCCCCTCACTAGAATCATTCTTTATCATCCGCGCGTGTGAGAACCTAAGCTGAATACTTGTTGCCTGTCATCGGCCATCTATATGGCTATAGATACCTCCCAATATGTGACAACATCTACGTAGCATAGCTATCTTTCATATTATTATTATTATTATTATTGGTGTCGGGACTTTCATTTTACGATTGAATAATTTTGATTCTCCGTAGATAACGACAGCTCTTCAGGGACGAGGGCCCCCATTGTAAGCATTGATCCAAGGAGCTGTCCAAGTCTCAGCGCTTAACCTGCCGAGTCCTTTTGTGCGTTGGTCTGTTGGGTGTCAACGCTCACTCACGTGAAGATGCTGAAGATATCTTATTTTTCTGGGTAGTAAATGCCCGCTCTTCTTTAAGCAGGCTAATTGTATAGATCTCGGCGATAAAGAGAGGAGAATACACGATTCGTAGATATCTTATCAAATAAAATTGAAAATATTTATCGTTGCCCATTCGTTTGGACGCTGCGGTAAATCTTCAAAATCTTGCGATAAATAGTAAATCCCCACACTTAGTTAAGAATGTGGGAACTATGGAAGCTATAAGTTTTGTTGAGGAATATATTTGCTGCGGCCTCCGCTGGCGACCTCGACGGATTTGGCAGCATTTAAGAGGCATCTAGTTCATCTCCTATCGCCAGGCGACCATTGTCGACATGGATGGCTACTCGGACAAGTTGAGATCCCGACTGGTGGAAAGTTGTCGATCTCGTAGCGGAGAGGAAGCCAAACATGAGCGCTGTGGCCGCTGAGTCTTCATTCATCCACATCAATGACCTGGACAATGAGAGAAAGAGAAAGACAAAGAGGGAGGAAAATGCAGTAAGGAACTGACGCTGTGAAGATCCTGACGAGATCATGATTCCCTTCCCGGGAATACCCTCTCTCTGTCTCTATCTCTCCATCTCATTCTCTCTCTTCCCCTATCTATCTATCTCGCGGTCCTTGAAGCTCGAATGGTGGGTCATCCCCTTGTGGCCATTGTCCTGACGTGCGTGTCCAGATAGCAGCAGACATGTGGGGAAGGAGCCGGCATATTCTTCAACCATCTGGGGCCGTGCCGTCCTCCACACCTTCCTCTCCCTCCTTCCCACATCAGCCTCTGCTCTGTCTTCTTCTTCCGTTTTCCAGAAACAGCCGTCAGTTCACCGGCCCCCACCTGCAGATTCTTCTCAAAACTTGGCCCGGCCTACCCAGCAACCCTTCCTTACCATGCAGATAAAGGGAAATATATACGAACTTATCTTACAATTAGATTATACAGAGATAGAGCGAGAACGAGAGGGACAGTAGATCGAAGGGTTGTGACTACGATTGTTATTTAATATTTAATGCCCGACTTGCTCTGGTAAGGAGGGGGTGGCCCCCAGCGAGTTTAAGTAGCGTGGGGTTTGCTCCCTGTCTTCATCGTTAGCAAGTGGCACATTAATTGGTGTCACATTGATGGCATTCACTTCCGACCCTCTAGACCCCACGTCTCCATGTGGAATCCTCTCTCTCTCTCTCTCTCTCTCTCTCTCTCTCTCTCTCTCTCTCCTCCCTCGTGTTGTGTTGGCTCATCTCGGATATAATCGACGAAATGTGTATATTGCGTGCATGCTGCTGCGTACATTATTGAAGCGAGAGAAAGAGATGGAGAGACGTACTCATCATCTGAATGGACACATGCCGAAGCGAGAGAGACAGATAGATAGTTAGATAGTTAGATAGATAGTTTGGTAGATAGATAAAGAGGGAGAGAGAGAGAGGCCAGGGATTGGGGAGACTCGCAGGTGAGGAAACCGTCGTCGTATCCCATAGTGAGCTAGCATACAGCACGAAGGTGGGCTATTTACAAACACCCTTATTCCTTCCCATTTTTGCAAAAAAAAAAAAAAAAAAACCTATAATTGAGAAATAACAGGAATTATAAGAACATAACTTGAAGAACAAGGGTATTTCCACAATTTCATTCACATAAGATCGCAGAAGATAAAAAGAACTGCAAAGGGGTAAAGATGTAATGGATTTTTCTACGAGGGGAGTTTTCATAATTTCATGTATAAAGAGTAGAACTTTAGACATGTCCCCATAGAATTCCAACCAGGGAGGAGGAGGCCCATGAGATGGGGAAAGACATGAGCTCATGAAGAAAGAAAAGAAAACCCAATTTTGGCAAAATTTCAGTCGCAGATAGACGTTACTCACTCTGATGACGGCGCAGAGTGATGAGCTCTGCGTCGATCTGTGAGCAAATAATTCAGACAAGGCGCCGGGGTAACGTTGAAATGGGCTGAAACGAAGTCAACCCAGATGAAGTCTGTTCGAAAAATTAGTACCCAGTTGAACTGTTCGTGGTGATGGGAGCGAGACTTTTGTAACACAGACCTTTTGAATTTCTTGGTCAAGACAAACCACACCATACGGATAGAACCCAACCGGCTGAAGAAGTCAACCGAAAATTAGCAGCTACTCTGTACGTCCATGTTGAGAAGGGTTGCTTAGAATTTTTTGAGAAGAATGACTCCGGCTAATGTGGAGATGGGATGAAACGAAGTCAACCTCTCCATGGGGATGGGAGAAAGTCATTTATAGTACAGACTTTTTGAATTTCCTGGTCAAGAGAAACCTCAACCTGCAGATGGAGCCCAACCGGCTGAAGAAGTCAACCCGGATTAAGTCAACCGAAAATAAGCAGCTACTCCATCTGTCCGTGCAGAAAAGAGCTGCTTTGACGGCGGCCATCAGAAGCCCCTAATGTCATTGCCCGTCCTCCAATTCTGGGCCTGTATTAACGGGCCTGATAGTTTGAGCCCTGCGCAAGCCCAACACGGATATAATCAAATATGTGAAAAAATAATATAAACACTAGAAAAGGAAAAAAACCGAGTCAGTTAATAATTAAACCAACACCCTTACCGAAAATGGCAACAATCTCTTCTTCTTCCTGCTGCTGCTGCTCCTGCTCCTACAGCAGAAAAATATGAGCTCCGACAAAGCGGGAGGTGCTATAAGTAGCTAGTTTGAGGCACGTAGCCTTCTTCTCCGAGTTGCAGGAGGAGAACCCTCAGAAGAGAGTAGATCATCGGACACTCCGGGTGGGCGGTGTCGGCGGCGACGAAGACGCGGGCGGCTGGGCCGCCGGCCATCTCGATCCAGCTGCAACCGGGGGGCTTCTGCACCCTCCGCTCCTTCATCAAGTTCCTCACCTTGGATGCCCCCTCCCAGCGGCCAGCCACCGCGTGGACGTTGGCCATGAGGACGTAGTAGCCGGAGTTGCAGGGGTCCAGCCGGAGGAGGTGTTGAGAGGCGAGCTCGGCGAACTCGGTGGCACCGCCGTGCATCCTGCAAGCGCCGAGCAGCGCCCCCCACACGCCGGCGTCTGCTGGAAATGGCATCGCCTGTATGAAGCGCATGGCCTCTTCCAGCCGGCCTGCGCGGCCGAAGAGGTCCACCATGCAGGCATAGTGCTCCATCCGGGCCGCGATGGCGAACTCCTCCGCCATTCGCCGAAAGAACTGGAAGCCGCGCTCGACCTCGCCGGCGTGACCGCAGGCCGAGAGCAGGGAGAGAAAGGTGACGTGGTCCGGCAGGAATCCCGCCGCCAGCATCCCCTCGAAGAGGACGGCGGCTTGCGGGAGATGCCCGTGGGAGCCGTAAGCGGCGATGATGCTGTTCCAGGAGACCTCGTTCTTGGCTTCCATGGCGTCGAACGCCTTGCCGGCGGCGGCGAGGTCCCCGCATTTGGCGTACATGTCGACGAGGGCACTCTCGGTGAAGATGTCAGCGATCTGGCGACGCCGCCGCAGCATGTGACCGTGGATCTCTGTGCCGTGGCGGAGCGACGGGAGATTGGCGCAAGCGGAGAGGGCGCTGGAGATAGTGGTGCAGTCGTAGGGTGCCGCCGCCCCCTGCAACACTATTCGCCGGAACAGACGCAGCGCCTCCTCCGGCGACCCGTTCTGAGCGAAGCTCGAGATCATGGAGTTCCAGGAGATGGAGTCTCTCTCGGGCATTCTTTCAAATATCTGGTGGGCAAGATCCAAACAACCGCATTTCGCGTACATATCGATCAATGCACTGCCCACGAAGCAAATCTCTTCCATTGCGTTCTTCAGTGCATGGCAATGGAGCTCCTTCCCTGCTTTCAAGGCCGCAAGGCTCGCACAGGCGGGGAGGACGCTGGCTATGGTGATCGCGTTGGGCTTCATCTCCGCCGCCACCAGCTCCCGGAACGCCGCCAGAGCGCCACCGCTGTACCCGTTGAGGACGTACCCGGATATCATAGCGCTGACTATCACCACGTCAACGGTCCCCGTTTCCCGGAAGACCTTCGCCGCCGTCCCCACCTCCCTGCACTTCAAGTACAGGTCAACGAGGGCGCTCTTCAAGAACGCGTCCAGATCGACCACATTTCTGATAATGTAGGCGTGGATCTCCTCCCCCTTCTTCAGCGAAGCCCTGCAGGAGAACAAGGGGAGCACGCTGACCAGCGTCACCGAGTCGGGTCTGACTCCGGCGACCTGCATCCTACGCAGAAAGTCAACGGCCTCCTCCTCCATCCCGTTCTGCGCGTACCCGGAGATCATCCCGTTCCACGCCACCGGCCCGAAGCCCGGAGGCATTTCCTCGAACAGCTTCGTCGTCTCGGCCCAGCACCTGCACTTCGCGTACATGGACAGCAAGGTGTTGGCCACAGAGGATTCCATGTCCAGCCCGAATTTCATGGCGAGCCCGTGGATCTGTGCGCCATGTCCGAGCTTCCCCTCCGAGGCGCAGACGGAGAGGACGCAGGCGAGGGAGACCTCGTTGGGCGGCGCCGCCGTCTCCGAGCTTCTCATGGCGTTGAACAGGGCGAGGGCCTCTCTAGAGTTCCTGTTCCTCACGTAGGCGTCGATCATGACGTTCCAGAGCACGGAATCCCTGTCGAGAATTCCGTCGAACACCTTCCTGGCATGGCCGATGAGGCCATTGTCTGCGTAGAGCTTGATCAGGGAGCTCCCCAGAAAAGGGTCCGCTTCCATTTTCATGGAGACGAGAGTTCCATGGATGAGGCTTCCGAGATCTGGGGCACGCAGTCCCACGCATGCCCTGAGAACGGCGAGGAAGGTGTACCTGTCAGGAGCGACTCCGTAGGAGAACATCTTGAAGTACAGGAGCAGGGAGAGCTCGAACAGGCCGGCCATGGCGGAACCCCGGATCATCCAGTTCCAGGCCATGGGAATCCTGTTCTCTGAGATTATGAAAAGTGACCTCCCATCGGAGAAGCTCCCGCAGAGCATGTACATGCCTAGAACCCTCGCCTGCAACTGTTGCAGATCGGGAATCCCATTGACGATAATCTGGGCGTGGATCTGGCGGCCCCTGGGGAGATCGCCGGGGCAGCAGCAGCTTCTGAGCGCCGACGAGAGACGAACTTTCAGAGGCTCCTCTGCTGAATATCCCAGGCTTGGGCCGCCGGAGAAGGCGGCGGCGCCACCGCCGAGGCACGGTCTGAGGACCCTGGAGACGCTCAACCGGGCCATGTCTCCTCGACTGAGGGAAGATGGAGGTTCCTCGTCCAAGCTTTCGCCGGAATCCACCTTCTTCCTCTGCCCCCTCCCCCATTCCCCTCCCCGGTACCCTACTAACGCAGCAGCAGCATGGCAGAGAAACACGCAGAGAGATGGAGAGAGAGAAATGAAGAAAAGAAGACGGAGAGGGAGATGGAGAGAGGGAGGGAGAGGGAGAGGGAGGAGGGAAAACGGGCCGGATGGAGCTCGACACGTGGGCCATCAAGGGGCATCCACATGGCAAGGAGACGACACGGCACCCTATCCAGCTTGACTGAGAGAACTAGGGCGAGGGCGTTCAAATATAGTAAATATTTTATTCTCCTTCCTGAGTTATTTTCTACCGAAATCACATCTAAATATAGTAAATTATAAATATTCTATTTAATTATAATAAATAAATTATATTATTTTTTCGTATATAACTCTAATTGGGACACGTAGAGATGTACTATGTATTCACGCGTGGGTTACTAGCGTGGGACCCAACTTCCCCCGATGTGGGCCTCAAAATTAAGCCCAAATGTGGACATCTCTGACCAAGTCCAGCCCAAAACTAGGGAGAGAGAGAGAGAGAGAGCTTATGGGCAATCAGAATCTGTGTGAAATAAGTCAAACTAATGATAATATTATTTAACAAGATAAAATAATAATATACATAAAAACACGTCCTACGAAATATTATATTGAAAAATGCGATCGGCAAGTTCGGTTTTATCCATTATATTATTCGAAGATGTTGACCCAGTTGATATTATGTGCCAGATTTATGTAAAAAGTTTGAATTCGTCCCTACATAGGAATGTTATGAAAATACAGTCAACTCAGGTTAATATACGTGGAATTTTCCATATATCAATAAATTGTAATTATTAACCATTTTAAGTATATTGATACAATTTATGAATTATGATTGTGGGATAAATTTTGTTGATTTTAATAATTATAGATAGATATATAATTAAGGGGAAAATGTCGATATGTGAATACAAATAAAGATACCATTTAATATGAAAATATAGTCAACCAAGGTTAACGCATTGACTTGTTAATAACAATTTACGTATTTGATGTAATTTATGAATTACGATGTTGATATAAAAATTGTTAATTTTAATAATTAAAAATGATATATATTGAGAAAATATCTGATTGAGAATATAAATGTAGATAAAAATAATTTAATACGAGGATATAAAGTCAACTGAAGTTAATACTTTCAATTATTATTTAAAAATTACGTTTATTGAGGTAATTTATGAATTATGATGGTGAGATAAAAATCGTTTCTTTCAATTATTAAAGAAATCAAGAAATATATATAAATCATGAAAAATATCCTCTGAAAACGGAGAGTCCTATGAAAGTGGCGGCAGATGGGGATATTTCTTGAAGAATATTCGCCAGACAGAGAGAGAGAGAGAGGGAACCCGAGCCAAATTTGGTATTTTTTTTTTCCTCTTTCCCATATACGCTGCTGCTTTCACGTGTAAAGGTAGAAGCTTGTAATTATGATCCACCGGTGCACATAGAAAGGGCGGCGGAAGGAGAGGGAGGGAGCATCTCTTCCCCTTGTTTGTCCCGCTCCAGGGGACGCCGCTGCCTCCTCTGGCCGGCGTTCGTCTCTCTTCCGCCTCTGTCATTGACCCCGATAGCCTGTTGCCCAGATCCCCGAGCTGAAATCGGAGAATTTTCCGTAGATCATTGCTTAGGGTTTGTCGGTTTTTGCGGGCTGTTGGAGGTTTAGCGGGGGACCGAGGGGAGGGGTTTTTGAAGGGGGGATTTGAGATTATGGATGGGTTCCGCGGGGAGGGTATTGGGATTCGGGGAATCCCTTACTCTGGCTTCGATTTGCAGGAACCCGGGAGCACGCGCTCAGGTAATCTTGGGGTTCCATTTCTTCGTTCGCAGATTGCATCTTCTCTGATCTGGTTTTCGCGGCCCGGGGGATTTGCCATTCGCGTACGGTGTTCAACTCTCATCCGTGGTGCTTGGCGGGGAAGTCTTCTTGATTGTCGTTAGTTCGGGCGATTTCTTGTCGGGGAGATCTGATTTTCGGTTGTTTCCTAAACGCATGCGCGGTGATGTCGGTGAAGTGATTAGGGCTGGGAGGAATCCAGGCTGGACGCGAGGAACAGGCCTCTCATGTAACCATATCTTCTTTGCAGCATTCTCGGGTCCACAGTGATCGGATTGAATAGCCTTCAATGCTCCTCACACCGGCATCTTGTAAAATTCGTGTCAAATTTTCAACTATTTTCGAGTTTCTTGGCCTGGTTGGTTTAGGGCGATGATTCCTTTCTTCTTGCTCGGTGAAATTCTACCATCGATTTCTCTCATGCCCGGTGATGGAGCTTTCCGAACTCGCTTCGGTTTCATGCCCGCCTGTTCATTAGAGTTCTGATTATCTTCTTTCGGTCTCTATCTCCTGGTTTTCTTCTCTGTTATCGCCTCGTCTCCGGGATCTCAGCTCCGTGGTGTCCCTATTTACCGGCGCCCTAACCTGCGATCTTATGTTCTTGAAGATAATACACGATTCGACGCGTCGCAATACGACTTCTTTGGTAGGGACGGCGTGGAGGAAGTCGAATTGGGAGGTCTGGAAGGCGATGGGGACGAAGATGCTGGGTTTCTCAGGATCTACAGCGAGGACGCCCGCTTGTCCCCTCTGGGGGGCAGAGAAGAGGTGACCTTCTCTGTTCTTTTGCCAAGCATTCTTCGTTTCCTCTCAAGTGAAATGTACCCTCTAGTTCATGCCCAAGGAGTAATTTGCTTAACTCGCTCTACCCTTCTCTTCTGGTGATCACTTCATGTGAGACGGTGATACTGCCTGGACTAAGCCATCTCCCCCTCCTCGCCCCTTCTTTTTCTTGATAGTATGGGGTCCTTTTGCTGCTGTCCTTCCCTGTTCTTCTGCTTAGACTGCGTGAAAAAGTGGAGAGGGAGATCTATTTTGGGTGGAGTGTTTGACTATTTTGATGACTGAAGTATTTGACCATTCTGACGTGTTCTCAGCATGGTAATTTCACCACCCATAGGTGTTGGAGAAGAAGGGCAGGATTTTCTTGGATAATTTCTCATCCAACCTCAGTCGAGTTTTAGATAACATTATTCTTGCAACAATGAATAATATACCTAATAGATATCCATTCTTATGGGCATGTGCTTAGTGGTTTACCCTGAGCTTGCTGCATCTTTCTCAAATCTCTGCTCATTATTTTTTTAAAGAGATTATTCTATTTCTGACTTAGTTTGCTTTGACTTAGTTTATTAAGAAATGAGATCATTTTTTGATATCAACTCCTACCTTTCCTCCTTGCAGGGTGAGGGATTGGGGGCTCTCTCCGACATTGATGATCTTACGAGCGTATTCTCAAAGGTCAGCCTTCTCTCTTTCATGGGAATTGGTGAGAGGATGAAGCAAAATGACTGGTCGCATGTGTAGATATTTCATTGGTCAAACCTTGATTTTGAGAAAAATGGTGTCAACTGTAGATGATATTTCGCCACTGAATCTTGATTTTTTAGAGAAATGATGTTCATCATAGATGTTTCTGTGATCTACTTGTACCAAGTCTCATACTCTGACCTGGCTATTGCTTTCGCCTTCATTTTTTTTTTTTTTGGGTTGACTTCATCCTTTAGAATTCCGTATGCTCTGGGTTTTTTTATTGGGTTAGAAAGGTTTCAAAGGAAAGCTGCAGCATGTGATCCCATTAATCTACATAAATTTTTCAACGTGCCGTGTCTCTTATTCAATATATTTTTTTCTCAAATATATTTATTTATTTATTTATTTTAATGCCTTTCATGAGTAATTTTCCAATGGTTGTTCATCATTCTGGTGCATGTTATCAACCTGCAGTTATCAACCTACGTGTAACTTCCTGGGCTTACTCGGGCTGATTCTTAGGGATCTGCCATAAGGCCTAGATTTTTTTTTAAACCCCTAATTTTCATCAATGGGTAATTTTATGTACCCTAGTTGCAATTTGTGGGGTTATATGATTAAATGTCTATTAATATACGGTAGGCGTCTGCACTATTGCTTGAACGTGGCCTAAAAATAGATCTATTTTTTCCCACATTAGTGGGATTGGGGAAAATAACTTTCTTATTGTAGTAAAAAAAAAAGTCCCATCTTTTCTTCCAGCTCTCCTCTCCAATTTTCTGGATCATTTATTACGTATGAAAATCAGGATTTGGTGATCACGATTTGGCCGAATTAATATTTGGAGCATTGCTGGTTGAGGAAAATTGAATTATTTGATGCTTCTGTGTTTTGTTTTTGTTCATGGCCCCGTGGTTAATTTTTGTTGAAATAATTACGGTGCTGCTAACATAATTCTTATAAACATATATTTTATTCTCAGCTAAACAAGAACGTTAGTGGACCGAGGAATGCTGGAGTTATCGGTGATCGGAGATCATTTTCCAGAGAAAGTGAGTATTCCCTCCTTAGTCTTTCTTTATTTGTTCTCCAGGAAAAGAATATGCTGAATAATGATCTTTCATTTCGTACCTGTTTGATTAGATAATAATCTTTATTTTCGCTCTTTTTTCTTTGGAAAAAGTAGATTTTTTAATTTTTTGTTGTAGATTCCAGCCCTTGCTTGAGCTCGGAGAAATCTAATCAAACTCTGTTTTTCCAATTTTTTAATTTCATAATATTTATTGTGATGTGAGTTTGGGATTATTTATGGAAACATTTGGAAATAACTAAGTTTATGAAAAAATTAAGCAATTCTCATCAGTGGGATTTTGCTCCTAATCTCTCTGAACTTCTTCAGCATCGTTGACCGGTCCCTCTCAATTTGCCCTTTTAGGTTCCTTGACTGCGGACTGGTCGCAGGACGCTGACTTTTCCGACTGGCTCGATCAGACAAGCTTTGACCCAGAGAATCCCCAAGATGAGAAGCGGTGGTGGTCTCAGCCACAGCTGTCGTCAACTCCTGTTGCAGAGCCAAAGCCGCTGTACAGGACCTCCACATACCCCCAACAGGAGCCACCGCACGACCCTATTGGACCCCTACTTGCACCACCCAGTTCATCGTCTTTCACCTCATACCCGCCGCCAGGCAGCCAATCCAGAGCGCCGCCGCTGCTCCGCCACTCGAGCGTCCCTATTCCCCTTCAAGCTCCGGCAAGCCAGCCGCCACCCTTCTCCCCTCAGAGCTCATTGTCCTCCTTCTCTGGCTCGCAGCTTCACCTGGGAGGAGGCCTCCCCTATGGCGGCAGCTTGCCTCAGTTCACCCCTGGCGGTGGTCTCTCCATCTATGGCCGGCAGCCCAGCCTGATCCACCACCCGTCCATGGTTGATCTGCTCCGCCAGCAATGGATGCTGGGGGCGGTCCAGCCACTGGCATCGCCTCCTCATCTTCCCGGCTTCCTGTCACGTTCCTTCATTCCACCGCCACCACCAGTGGCTGCATTATCGTCCCCACGTATGGCGAGCAAACTGGAGCTGGTGGCGGGAATGGCCGAGCAGCGGGAGCCGAGATCAAGAGGAGCTCAGAGGGGGCGGCAGGGCTCAAGGGCTGCCACATCGGGTGGTGATGGCGGCAGTGGCGGCAGTCAGAAAGGCGATGCGGCAGTGCGGCTGCAATTCCGGTCGAAGTACATGTCAGCAGAGGAGATCGAGGGCATTCTGCGGATCCAGCATGCCACCGGACACAACAGTGACCCCTACGTCGACGACTACTACCACCAGGCCTGCACTGCCAAGAGGTCCGCCATGGCGGCGCGGGGGAGGAAGCACCAATTCTGGCCAGCGTCCCTCCACGACGGTCCCCACCGCAGCCGCAATGGTCACGAGGCTCACTCTTTTATCCAGGTTGATGCCCTCGGGAGATTGTCTTTTTCCTCCATCCGGCGGCCCCGGCCCCTTCTGGAAGCCGACCCGCCGCCAATCTCCAGTGAGCGGAAGGTGGCAAAGCCGCTGGAGCAAGAACCCCTTCTGGCGGCCCGCATTGCCATTGAAGATGGTCTCTGCCTGCTCCTCGATGTGGACGACATCGACCGGCTCCTCCACTCCGGCCAGCACCAGGACGGCAGCGGCAGCAGCGGCACCACCCAGCTCCGGCGGCGGCGGCAGGTGCTCCTTGAGGGGCTGGGGGCCTCTCTGCAGCTCGTTGACCCTCTCAGCCACTCTGCTGGCCTCAGCCCCAACGACGACCTGGTGTTCCTGCGGCTGGCCTCGCTCCCCAAGGGCCGGAAGCTCATCGCCCGCTACCTCCAGCTCCTCTTCCCCGGCAGTGACGTCGCCAGGATGGTATGCATGGCAGTCTTCCGACACCTGAGGATCCTCTTCGGCGGCCTACCAGCAGACCCTGCTGCTGCCGAGACGACAGCTGCCCTCGCCCGTGCTGTCTCCTCCTGCGTCAACAGCATGGATCTGAGTGCGCTGAGTGCCTGCCTTGCTGCCATCGTCTGCTCGTCAGAACAGCCACCGCTGCGGCCAATTGGGAGCTCCGCCGGTGATGGTGCATCGGTCATCATCAAGGCCATCCTTGAGAGGGCAACGCACCTGCTTACAGGCCCACAGGCCGCTGCCGGGTACAGCCTGCAGATCAGATCGCTCTGGCAGGCCTCCTTCAACGCCTTCTTCACGCTGCTGACCAAGTACTGCCTGCGCAAGTATGATGCCATCGTGCAGTCTCTGCTCCTGCAAGCGCCAACTGCTGCCGCTGCTAATGCAGAGGCGGCGAAAGCTGTCGGCAGGGAGATGCCAGTGGAGCTCCTCCGGGCCAGCCTCCCCCATACTGACGAGCACCAGCACCTGCTTCTGCTTGAATTTGCCCGCAGGTCCACCATGCCGGTGACCGGCTTCAATGCCGGCAGTGGCGGCGGCAGTGGCGGCGGCAGTGGTGGTGGAGACCCGCTGAGCTCTGAGTTCGTCCCAGGTTAGCACCACTGGAGGAGGTCGGCGCCATTCTTCCAGGTGTATGATCTTTCATTCTGGCTGTCTTCTTCTTCGTCGAGCAGGGTTGATTTGCCGAGGAGCTTGATTTTGGTGCTCCTTCATCCTCCATGAGAGCTCCGCCAAGAGCTTGTACAGCTTGACAGATGGCCCGCCGGGTCGTCTCTTGGAGTCCGGTAAATCTAACATTCCTTTAGCTCTCTCTCTCTCTCTCTCTCTTCGCAGAACCTGTATGAACTTCTTAACCTTTGTACTCTCTCTCTCTCTCTCTCTAGGTCCCCACCCTCTCTCTCTCTATAGTTTTCTTCGTCTTGCTTGTTGACTTTGGCTGATATTATACCATTTGTGATGGTCGGAGTGAGCCTTCCGGCTCCTCTGTTCTTACGTTGAAGCTGAGCTTCTCTCTCTTTGGTTGACTTTTAACACTGCCAAGGCTGGGCCAATCAAATCCGACTTTTGGGCTTTTCCGTTGGGCCAATCAAAGTAGACCCACATAATGGGCCAGCCAGGATACTTGGGCCTGTTTGGATTGGAGGAGGTTCGGCCCAAAACTATAAAAAGCCCGAGCAACCAACTTTTCTGATAATTCTGAAAAAATATCAGCCAACTTTTAATCGGAAATTTCTCTTTAAAATTCATAAAAATCCGACTTAAATCCGAAATTTCTCTTTAAAATTCAGAAAAGATGTGATGTGGCGGATAAGAAGGCTCGTTGACCCGCGATGTAACTTCCTTGTAATTCTGAAAAGGCAAAGCCAGTCGACTTGAATCGGAAAATTCTCTTTAACATTCAGAAAATAATTGATGTAGCGGATGAGAAAGCCCGTTGACCCGCGATGTGGGTCCCCTTTGCGTTCAAAATCGCGCTTACTACCAGCGTGGCTTCCCCGAGAGAGATGTAGAGAGAGAAAGAGGGGGGATTTTAGGGGGGGGGGGAAGTCTTCTAGCGAATCCCAACAACACGTGACCCATCGCTGGTTCCTTTGTTAATTTGTCGGCCGCCAGACGCTAGCTATCACTGTCTGCCCATGTGAACGCGGATTATGTCTATGCCCCTACCCCCTCCTCCTTCACCTACCCACTCCTCCTCTCAGGGAAGAGAGAGAGAGAGAGAGGGATTGGCGTTCACGTCTCGCACATCCGCGTCATCGGTTTAAGGATGAGTTATTGGGACGTGGTGACTGATTCGCCCGTCTTTCGGATTAGTCCTATGATAACTAATCACTTGTAAAAAACCCTTCATTGCTAACAGTATAAACTTTATGCCCTAAACAGTGGCCCACCGGCATTGCTAGTAGTAGTCCCACATTGAATAGATATCGTTCTCGCGAAAGAGGACAAGATTGCGAATGGCAGTGGACCCCAACTTTGACGGTTATAGCGATATGGGGCCCACATCTCCAATAAACAATAAAATAATGTATATACATATTTCTCACCTTTGAGGGTGACTTCTGTAATTTGAAGCACTTCTCAAAGGTATTTATATCACTGAGAGAAAGAGCTTTGTAGGTTTGTTCCTATAAGTTAGCCGATGGATTCTTGGACGGAGTTAATAACTTTAATTTTATTTCAAAATTTAATCACCGTTGACTTTTTTTATTCCTACGTTTGGGCATGTAGTTAAAAATTTTAAACGACGTGTCCTTCATAGTTGACCCATCTTAGGGCATCAACTGACACGACTTAATCTCTCTCTCTATTCTCTCTCTAGGATCCATAGGATAACAATTGGTCAACGCTAGTATTAGAAAAGAGGATCACTTGGATCATTGGGGGGGGGGGGAGAGAGAGAGAGAGAGAAGGGGGCATAGGTCAGCAAGGGTCGAGTCCTTCGACTTGGGCTGGGCCCACCCACTTGTTGACATCTCAATGAAGAAAGTGAAGGATTATTGACGATTAATGTGCTGAAAATATCCCAAGAGATGGAGATTTGGGTTCGTGTCCATATCCAATTCGCAGGTCAAAGCTGACAAATTGTTAACGCTTTTGATGTTGATCCTTGGAAGTTGTGAACTTGGATGAGAAGAAGTCTTAATGGAGAGCAATCACGTCGCTTGCTTGCAAATCAATCTTGGAAAGGTTCCCCGCCGTTGACTATGTCGCTGATTGGGACGAGACATTGAGAGAGAGAGAGTGGGGGGGGTATTGATGGTAGTTCAGATTAAATGCAGAAAAAAGAAATTGGGAAGAGACCCAGATGCGGATCGGCCGCCCTCGGATTATGACATGTAAAAGTCTGTATCTTGAGAGAGAGAGAGGGAGGGGGATATTGATGGTGGTTCAGATTGAATGAAGAAAAGAGAAAATTGGGAAGAGACCAGACAGTCCCCGGGGGGGGGGGGAAGGTTCGTGCGAAGAACATGGGAAGGGGGAGGAGAAGAGTATGGTTGTCGAGGTGGCACGAACCACCCGTCGTTGGGCGCTGGTAGATTCTGTCGAAATTTTTTTTCCCCCCTTCTACATATATACGTCTCCATTTCGCCTTCCCTCTCCCTCCTCTATTGTTCTTCGCTGGCGCCTTTAAACTGACCGAAGCTCCCCCCTCTTCCCCCTCCAAACCTCAATTGCCCCGTTACCCTGCTGCTTCCCTCCTCTCCGGGTATGGTCCCTGCTCCGTTTTCTCCTCTCTCTTCGTTTCTTGCGCGCTTCTCCTGTTGGGTCCTCTGGGTTCTGATCTGGGTCCGCCTCCGCCGGCGGGCATTGGGGATCGCCGCCTTCTTGCGGCGGGCGCGATGCTTCCGGGGGATCCTTTTTTCCTGCTGGCTTCTTCTTCTTCTTCTTCTTCTTTCTACTTTTAGTCGATTCTTCAGAGATGGCATCGTCAGAGGACGTGTGGCAATGCGGTTCTCCGAATTTCGTCTCGTTTCTCCACCATTAAACCTCCGTGATTGCTGAATGACCCGCGAGGAATTTTTTAGGGGGAATTCCGGTTCTTCTTCGTCCGTTTGATCCCTCCTTGATGTTGATCAAGATATCCGGAATTCTCGAGGAGGCTTCGACGCTCCATCATCGCTGCAGCTTCGATCGTCTGATCTTCTCTTCCTCTTTCTTCCCCTCCTCCGACCCATCCTCCGTGAATCTTTTCACCCTCAATCCCCTAAACCGAGACCCTTAATCGATTTTCTTCTCCACTTTCCTCGAATTTTTTGCTTCTATTACCTTATCAGGCAATATTTTTCTGTAAATCACGATTTTATGTATGATAATACCTTTCATAGGTGGTCTTCTTTCCCGTTTAATTGCAGTAAGCAGGGGGACCAGGGCGGCGGGAGGGCAGCTTCTGAGGAGTGGTTGGGTCTGGCGGCTGTGAGACTGGTCAAAAGACGCGTTGCCGCCTATGCTACCTGTTAACAGGATGAAGCCCCAGTCTAGGGCCAGCAGCTCTTGGTCCCCTTCAGGTGGGCCTTTGATGCTCATTCTCTGACCATAAATAGCAAATTTCTCTCTCAATTCGTTTTAATTCGCCTTTTTTTCAAATTATTGAAGAAATTGCGGTGATTTCTCTAAACCCACACCTGTTATGTCTATTCATTCTTCTTCATAAGCAGTTAATAAAATAGCTTTCCAAAGATCTCAAAATCTCTTCTTCTTTATTTCTGTCCACTGCGAGGTGAGGGAGCTCTTTCGGATTAATTGTTTCTTCAGGATCGCAGAGAAACTGCTCCGCTGTTCTTCGTTTCAGCAGCTTTCTCCTTCTTTTTTTTTTTCTTTTTTCAAGATTCTCATTGATAGAACCACAACGGTCTCACAGGGGTGGACCTTGCAGACTCAAGGAGGAAGCCTCATTTTCTGTGGAGGACTATCTTCACTGCTCTCCTGATCATTGGGTGCATACTTGTTCTGAAGCACTCTTCTGGGCACCGAGTGACGACGGCAGTAAGTATTGCTATCTCTACAAAAAATAATCTCCTGCGAGTAATTCTTTTTCCCTTGTTTAAAATAATTTAAATCCCTATATTTAGCAGAAATTTGACTTTTTTGGCGCTCATACCATCATGAACAGCTCCCCAGTAGAAGATCTAGCAGATCAAAGAGACCATGATTTTTTATATTTATTAATATGTTCTCGGGCACATGCGATTTTTAAGAAAACTAGTTTTATGTAAATTTCTGGTTTTTTTTTTCCTTTTTCAGTTCTCTCAGCATGAACATGGCGTCACCCATGTTCTGGTCACTGGGGGTGCTGGCTACATCGGCTCGCACGCTGCTCTCAGACTCTTAGAGGACAAGTACAGAGTAACCATAGTGGTAATCTTTAGATGATATGCTGGTTATTAGGTGATTCAATACATTTTTACTAAATATTTACTCAGAAGAACTGAAGCATCTGCTGTGGCAGGACAATCTTTCGCGAGGAAACATCGGTGCGGTCAAAGTTCTCCAAGATCTATTCCCAGAACCTGGGAGACTGCAATTCATTCTCGCTGACTTAGGAGACGCAAAAGCTGTATCCTGGTCAACGTGCGGCGTGATATATTTTTTTTTCTTTGAAAAATGATAATTGTTTGGACATTGTTATGCACCTTAACCGATTCTCAGGTCAACAAAATTTTCTCAGAAAATGCGTTTGATGCTGTGATGCATTTCGCAGCTGTTGCTTATGTTGGTGAGAGCACCCTCGAACCTCTCAGGTGTGCGCCACGTTTCCTCTGCAGTTTAAATCAGTTGAATGCGATATATTTTTTTAATAATTATCTAAATATTTGCACATGCTGGGCTGCTACTGCTGCTGCTTCTCTGAATTTGTTTCGGATTATAAAAAAAAAAGCTGATTTTTTTTGTGGCGAATCCTGATTCGATGATGTGTTGCTGATATGCTGCTTATTCAAGTTGTTCTACTGCTGAGTTGTGGTTGCCAAGCATTTTTGCTGTGATTTTAATGCTTACAATATTTATTCATGATAAAAAGGTATTTTGGGAAAATATTTAAATCTTTATATATGAAAAAAAAGAAGGTATTTTGGGAAAATATTTTAAATCTTTATCTATGAAAAAAAAAGAAGGTATTTTGTGGAAAATGCTTCATAAACAGCAGATTCCAGAAATGGATCAAGAAATGAACTGTTGCCCCCGCATCTTGGGAGATCATTTGCGAAGCATCCAGAGAGCAGATGGTCGTAAAAATGGGCATTTTCTCCGTTGACTGAATGCTGTGGTGGTGGTGGTGGTGGGGGATGGTTTGATACCTTCCAGCCTCTGGAAACATTAAGAAGTGAAGAAAGAAGCGTCCTTTGAATCTTGTGACCTCTGCAGGTCAACGCCCACATCCTCTATGCTGTATCAGTTGACCTAAGAGCGGTTTCCACTTAAAGTGAGAGTCAGCGCTCCTCGAGTTCTGTCTTGGGCAGAACTCGACAGAGTGTTTCTTCTCCACTCCATCGAAGATGAGGAATAAACCCATCTGAATGCCCATCAAAGCCATCTTGTTCTTCATTTTTTTTCAAAGGTTTTGGGGTCTCCTTCGACGGATTAAGCTCCAGAATTCTATCCATCGAGGATTAATTGTACTCTTTATTCATTTTTATCATCCAATCTGGTGTAATTTCGATCGGAAAACTACTTGTTGTTGGGCATTCATCTGGAATCAATGGGGTTCTTGTCGTTGGCAGGTATTACCACAACATCACTTCGAATACTCTGGTGGTGCTGGAAGCCATGGCGGCCCACAGGGTGAATAAATTGATCTATTCCAGCACCTGCGCCACCTACGGAGAACCGGAGAAGATGCCCATCACGGAGGAAACTCCACAGGTGAGCCCAGAAGCTAGAGAGAGAATCCTCCTCCACCCATCTGTCGCCGGCCTTTGATCTCATCTGTTGCCTGTCTTCAACCGCCAGCATCCCATCAACCCCTACGGAAGGGCGAAGAAGATGGCGGAGGACATGATCATCGACTACTCGAAGAAACCTGGCATGGCGGTCATGATTCTGAGGTCTGCTCTCTCTCTCTCTCTCTCTCTCTAGTGGAGGCGCCATATCTTTGATGGGTGCATCTGGAAGGAAAAGAAAGCAATCTTCTCGGGGTCTTCCAGGTACTTCAACGTCATCGGCTCGGACCCGGAGGGGCGGCTGGGGGAGGCCCCGAGACCGGAGCTCCGAGAACACGGAAGGATCTCGGGGGCCTGCTTCGACGCCGCCCTGGGGATCATCCCCGGCCTGAAGGTGAGCTTAATGGCGGCCCTCAATGCGGTCAACGAGTCGTCAGTTTCTTGTGGGCTGTACAAACTGAATCTTTTCTCCGGCGGGGGACTGGCGGCGCCGCCGCGTTGCAGGTCAGAGGCAGCGACTATGAGACGGCGGACAAGACCTGCGTAAGGGACTACATCGACGTCACCGATCTGGTGGACGCCCACGTCAAGGCCCTCCACCACGCCAAGTCAGGCAACGTCGGCATCTACAACGTCGGCACCGGGAAAGGTTGGTGCCACCCAAACAGAGAAATTCCCCCCAGTTTTCAGACGATCTTTCCGAATTTCTTGCGGTGAAGAAGGTTGACGGAAATGACAGATGATCTTTCTGACATGGGCTTCTTCTTCTTCTTCTTCTTCTTCTTCTTCTTCGTCTTTGAGCAGGGAGGTCGGTGAAGGAGTTTGTGGAGGCGTGCAAGAAGGCGACGAGGGCGGAGATCAAGGTGGAGTACCTGAGCAGGAGGGCGGGGGACTACGCCATGGTCTACAGCGACCCGTCGAAGATTAAGAAGGACTTGAACTGGTCGGCCAAGTACACCGACGTGGAGCAGAGCCTGGCGACGGCTTGGAGGTGGCAGAAGTCGCATCCCAACGGCTACCGCCTGTAGCTCTTGAGGGCTCTGGCGGCGGACCGGCCGGCGCCGCCGCAGGGGGCGGCGGAGTTCATCGCGCCGCCGGCCGGGTAGAGGAGAGGGAGCGGCGGCCGCTGACAAAGGATCCGAACAATACAGTTTCTTTTCTTCTCCCCCTCTATATTTGTTCTGATGGGAGCACAGTTCATTTGTTGTTTTTGGGGGGGGTCATCAAAGATGGAGAGCGCGGGGTGTTAGAGAGAGAGAGAACCCGAGAGACAGAGAGAGAGAGGCTAACAACGTAGAGCCTGGTCGATTGGTTTTGCCCATTCTGCCACATTTTATCCTCTGCACTGCGTATTTTCCTGAGGGACGAATGGGGTGGAAGACTTATCACATGCTCTCCGGGACACTTGACTCTGGATCATCAAGTCGTGGGTCCCACCAATTTAATCTACATGAAGTCAAAGGACTCGACCGGTTGACCATTCATCTCCTCTCAGAGATTAAACCTGATACTAATCTTTGCTGGAAAATGATCGACGAACATGTGAAAGCGTGATGCATGCTGGCAAGCATAGAATAGAAGATTTGCCACTCACGGATCTGCCGTGATGATGATTAGGATAAAAAATCACGGGATCAAACAGTTCTTCGGGCTGATTAATCTTTTTTTTAATAATCACAACATGGAATTCGTAGCTTCAACCAGTTTGTTTATCCTCTACAGATGAAATATTGTAAATCTTTTCCCAGTTCCTAGGGCAGTCATTCAGAGGATCATATAATCTGATGGCAAAGAACTGATTATTCGCTTAAATCTCGGAAAAATGGCTCAAGAAGAATAAAGGCCAACCAAGAACGCGACCCATTTTTGGAAACGTTAAGCAGCTGAATGGTTTGATTTCTCATAGAACAAGTTGGTCGTAAAACCCCCTTTTTTTTCGCTTATTTAATTAACGTCAGGGTTTATGAGATAAATCTGTGCCCTAGTAAGACGAGAAAATACGACGATCAATAACTGACGCCCGCAAGCTGTTCGACGAATTTCCCCTGCTTAATCCCGCCTCATGCTCGACGATGATTTCTGGGTACGCAAAGGTTGGGCAGTTGAAAGAGGCGGTGACGATATTGAGAGCAGATGCTTCCGGCTATGGCCTTGGGGCGTATTGATGCAGCAGAGGTGGCCAGTGGCTTTCTACAGCAAGGGACTGATTATTAAGGGGCGTCTCCGATCTGTCTACGAGCGCGAGCTGACGGCCATCGTACTCGCGGTCCTTAAATGGAGGCACTACCTTTTGGGGCGGTGACTCACGATCTACACCGATCAGCGCGCACTTAAGTGCTTGCCGGACCAAAGGCAGGTACCAACGGAATACCAACGATGGCTTAATAAACTCACGGGCTTCGATTTTCAGATCTCGTATAAGGTGCGGTCAAGGCCGCGGATGCACTGTTTCGGCGCCCCAATGACCCAGAGCTCTCTGCACTGGTCTCCACAATGGTGGCGCTAGACTTCGACCAGATTCAATGAGAATACAAGCACAATGATTGGACTAGCTCGATCATTGCTGACCTCCAAGTAGACACTACCAAATAGCCCAAATACATGCTACAGCGAGGCGTCTTGCTCCGAAATGGCCGTCCAGTACTAGCTCGCATATCTTCCCTGATCCCAAAACTCCTCTACGAGTCTCACGACTCAACGATCAGAGGCCACTCGGGATTCCTCCGGACCTACAAACAGGTCTTGCAAAATTCCTACTGGCCAGGCGTCAAAGCCCGCGTCAAGGCATACGTCGGTGAATGCGGTGTATATTTTTCTATAACAAGGCAGAAAATCTGTCTTACCAGCTTACTCCAGCACCTTCCCATTCCGGAAAAGATCTGGGAGGAGCTCTTGATGGACTTCATTGAAGGCTTACCACTCGTTAGTAGATTCAACACCATCCTAGTTGTGGTTGACCGCCTGAGTAAGTACGCCTACTTCTCCGCCTTGAAACATCCCTTCACTGTTGCAGATGTCTCCCAAATCTTCGTTCGAGATGTGGTCAAACTCCACGGAGTACCGAATACACTTTTATCAGATCGCGACTGGATCTTCCTCAGCACCTTTTGGCAGGAGCTTTTTCGGCTTCAGGGTACCGTGCTACACCGCAGCACTTACCATCCGCAGACCGACAGTCAAACGGAAGTGGTCAATTGCGGTCTCGAAATCTACCTACAATGTGTCACAAGAGATCACCCATGACAGTGGCCCAAATGGTTACCGTGTACAGAGTTGTGGTATAACACTACCTTCAACTCCTCCACGGGGACCACACCATTCCAAGCCATTTTACGGCCGAGACCCCCGACCCTCATCCGCTATGAAGCTTCAGCACGCACAGAGGGAGTGGATTAGTTGCTTCATGAGCGAGACACATGTCCCCACCAATTAAAGTAACATCTCTAGAACGCTCAGCTCAAAATGAAGCAATGGGCTGATAAGAAGCGCCGCACCATGGACTTCACCTCGGGCGATTGGGTCTTCCTCCGCCTCCGCCAATACCGTCTCGAGTCACTCGCACGGTGACCCTTCGAGAAGTTAGCGGCATGGTATTTCGGACCCTTCCGCAAACTGGACCGTATTGGTGCTGTGGCCTACCCGCCTCAAGCTACCCCCACAGTCCCCCATACATCCCGTCTTCCATGTCTCACAACTCAAACCAACTAAGGGCGGCCAGCAATACATCCACAACCTCTCTTACTCGACAATGAGAACCAGTGGAAGGTCGATCTACGGGAGGTCACCGCGACACGTCACACACCCCAAGGACTCGAGGTATTGGTAAAATGGCGTGACCTTCCCACAACGGAGTCAACCTGGGAACCAACCAAGAGAATCTTCCACGCTTTTCTAGAGTTTCTCCTTGCAGACAAGGTGAAGCTTTTAGCGGGGAGTATAATATGATAGGTACCCTTATTTGTCAACAATAGTAGTCGGATGGATGATAGCCTCTCGTCGTATGTGAAAAAGAACACAGAGAGAGATGGAGAACGAGGGGGAGAGAATGAGAGGCAGGAAGACTAGTCAACATAAGGAGGGAATCAGGACGACGACAGGAAAAAGGGAAGAGGGGATAACGATCCGTAGAGGGGATCAGGATCTAACGACCCTTTGAGCATCTGAGATTACATTATTTTTTAAAAACAATATAATTTTTAAACTAAACAATGAATATAAAACCTATTTAAAAATTCACGAAGAGACGGTATTGGTGCCTGGCAACTTCTCGGAAAGGACGCAGAGGGGCCCACTAACCGCGTATAAATCAATCATTCTCCGGGGGTTTCCCCCTCAACGTAGATTCTTCCCACGGCTGTTCTTGAGAAGGGTACTTTCTTCCCCCCGTTTTGGGTCTTCTCCAAATTGAATCTTGATGCCAGTGTGCGCTACGCAGAGTCGGCCCTCTGTCTATCTATCTATCCGGCTTCCGACTTGGCCATCTCTCTAATCCTATCTGAGTGAGAACCTTGGACTTTCTTACGTGATTATCCCGCAGGTTGGAAGGCCGGAGATGTCGGACTATGTTGGCCGGATTTTCTCTCTGTTCAGGGGGCGGCTTAATCCGCCGGCAATTGCGACAGACGCGGATCGCTATAACGTAGCAGAGGACGGGCTTCCCCCGGCGGGGGCTCAAGAACTCGCCAACGAAATCAGGGACGAGAAGCAGACGGCCATGACCATGTTCGGGCTCTCGGCTGTTCTTCTGGCCAACATCATTCCAAGATTGCACAATCATCCCTCGCACCAGGTCATCTTATGGGTTTGCCTCGCCTTGCTGTTGTCATTTAGTTTCAACCTCAGCCTGCTCGCATACCTGTTGACAGCCTGCTCTAAGAAGTCGCTGGGCATCGCCAAGTGGGCCAGGAGCCTCAACTGCTGGAGCATCATTGCCATCGGCCTCTGCTGGCTGGTCTGGTTCATAGGGCAATTCTTTCTATAGTGATGCGCCTTCCATCTACTCATGAAGGAGGCAAGACGGAGAGAGTCTTCATGGAGCGAGTTTTGTCATCCTCCTCTCAACTATGAAAATAAAAGAAAGGAGCCGCCTCTTGAGAGCATACCGGATATGATGAAGAACCTCTTCTTATTGCGCGAACTTAAGGATGAAGTTCTCTAACACATGCCCTACCTCTATTCAGCTCTTCTTCGTTAGATGACAGTCGTCGGAGAGCCACAAAGTTACTATTTTTCCGCTTCGTCGAGTAGTAGTCATTGGAGACGATTCAACGACCCATTTCATTGATCTCTAGACTTTGTAAGGAGATCTAGATATTGCTCATGTCGATCGTGTCTAAGGAGAGCCTTCGAGGCCGTAGACCCTAGATGACGATCCTCTTGAACGCTCAAGATTCCAATGCATTACCGACAGATCGCCACCGCGACGTCGGAACTTTGTTTTTCTACTTTCAACTTAATTTTCACCTCATTTATTGATAAATTGTATGATTTAAATTTATTAAGTTATATTTCATTCAATTATGATTCTTCTAGCTTTTACAAATCTTAATTTGTTCAATTAAATTATTTCTAATCATTTATGTAAGAATCGTCGAACCGAATTTTGTTTCCGTCTGATTTGCATTCGTCAGGGGCTAACATCATCTTGACATCTGCACCCTTATTTCTCTTTTTTTTGAATTTTAAATATATTTTATTTTCATTTCTTAGTATACATTTCATAACAAATCATATTCTTTGAAAAAAAATTCTAAAAAATTACCTAATATTATATTACATCTCTGTGATTGACTTGGAAAATTACCACTATTTTTAGAAATTTTATTAAATTATAATTAATATATTTGTTCAAAACTATTTCTAAATATCTAAAAATTAGTATTTTCTAGTTTTATAAATTTTAAATTTACTTGATTTACTACACAACGACTAAGTCACATCACACCGCCCACTAGAAGAAATCTTGGGGCGTTAACTTTCCCTGATGTAGAGGAGGGAGGGGAGAGGAGGGGAGACTTGCCCTACTAGAAGGAGTGATAATTTTTAAAGCTATTTTCAGACTAAAAGACAAATGGTGGGCTAACGAGGCTGGGGCCCACCGGCGGGGCAAGGCGTTTGTCCCGCCGTAGGGGAGGGAGGGGAGAGGAGGGGAGACTTGCCGTGGAACAAACATGTTTGTCCCCTAGTAGAGGAGGGAGGGGAGAGGAGGGGAGACTTGCCATGGAACGAATGTGTTTGTCCCCCTATAGAGGAGGGAGGGGAGAGGAGGGGAGACTTGCCATCGAACAGACATGTTTGTCTCCCCTCCTCTCCCCTCCTCTCCCCTCCCTCCTCTAGGGTGGGACAAATGCCTTGCCCTGCCGGTGGGCCCTAGCCTCGTTAGCTCACCATTTTCAAAAAATTATTACAAAATTGATTAATAATCAACAAATTTAATTATTGGCATATTAATTAATTTGAGAATTTTCGTATTATTTCGGATTTAAGTGGAGAAATCAAGGCCGGGTTTTTAATACTTAGACTCAGACAAGCTTGAGGCACCAGCTCCTGGGAACCCATCTCCTACTTGAACCATTCCATCTCCGTCTCTCTTAAGTCAACCTTTCTTTCGTCACTCACAAGTTTTCTTTTGTCACATACCCTCGCTGTTCCGATGGTCATTTTGTTCTCCCCCAATCTTTCCATCTCTTATTGTTGGCACTCGATTTCCCCCAATATTGCCATTGGCCTTTTTGCCCTCTCGATAACTACCATCGTTAACATAAGTCTGCATTGCTCAATCATCCTCTACACTAGCGCTCATACCTCTTCAACATTTTAGCCATCATAATAACAATTGTCTGAAGGAGCTCATCGATAGTTGCCTCGTGGTCCAAGATCCTCAACATTGGCAACTTCGTTTCTATCTCCATCACAACGATGGTGTGGGTTGTGAGCTAATAACCTATATGATGGTTGATAAGTTTTTATTATCTTGAGTTAATAATTAATTAATATTATATATTTAGCTTTAACTCATGATAAATAGATTAATATTTATATTAAAATTATAAAAAATAGTTTTTAGTTTATTAATGTGAAATATTAACTAATTATATAATTTTATATGAATTTACATAATTTTTATAATATTATTTTAAAGATAGAAAAATGAGAGAACCTATTGGCCAATCAAGGTTGTAAGTGGGTCGTGAGCAATGGCTCGAGTGGTTAAGGGCGGATTGGTGGAGGGACACATGTGTGTCATTTCAATACCACATCACTGGTGGCCAATCTGACATGGGGCAAAGAGCAGCCATAGAGAGAGGTTTATTAATAATTAAATCTTCTATTATTATATATACACCTCAAAATTTATAAAATAACCGATGTGAGACTAAATCAACTTCTCAAAGATTTTTGATGATTTTAATACCTAACATGTCCCTTATTTATAAAAATGAGATATTTTGATGATGTCACTTGTCGTGAATTTTTAAATAGGTTTTATATTCATTGTTTATTCTAAAAATTATATTATTTTTTTTAAAAAATTAAAATAATATATAGTATTATATTACATCAATGTGATAGATTATAAATTTCTCACTATTTTTGAAACCTTTTATTGAATTATAATTTATTTATTTTTCTTAAAATATTTTTAAAATTTTAAAATTAGTATTTTCTAGTTTTATAATTTTTTAATTTACGTGATTTATTATACAACAACTAAGTCACACCAATAGCATAACATTTGTGATGTGCCATCAACATATCAACCTATTGTCACAAGGATGAAACTCTAATTTTCATGTTTTAAACTTAATTTTCACTTAATTTATTAATACTTTGTGTGATTTTAAAATTTGAAACTCTTCTTTATTAGATTATGATTCTTTTGGATTTTACATAACTTAATTTGAACAGTTAAATCATCTTTAAGTACTTATATTAATATCATCTTGATGTCCTCACCCTTATTTTCCTTTTTTTAAAATTTAAAATATATTTAATATTCATCATTTAGTCTAAAAATCATAAAAAAATATTCTTTTAAGATAATTCTAAAATATTATCTGATATCATCTTACATCCTTCTGATTAACTTAGAAATTCCTCACTATTTTTGAAAACTTTTATCAAATTATAATTGATTTTATTTATTTTAAACTATTTCTAGAAAAATTTTAAGATTGATATTTTTTAATTTTATAAAATTTAAATTTAGGTATAATTTATTATACAATGACTAGGTCACATCAAATTTTGGCACCCATTGTCGGAGATGTGTTACATAATATTTAGTATTTTTCTATTTTTCTCTTAGAGTACAAAAAAATGTAACTTTTATCAAAACTATTTTTGACTTGGAAATTTCTCACTATTTTTGAAACCTTTTATCAAAACTTTTTCAAATCTCATAGATTAGTGAAACATTTATTATTAGAAATATATATTAATTTCAATACCACGGTTACTCGCATGGTAAATTTAGAATTAATAAAATAAAATATTAATACAGTGGGCTTGCAATTCATAGGGCATTGCTTGATGAAAAAATACAGGGTGATCGAATAAATTTGATTTGTTTTAAAAACAATCTGACGAAGAACAAGAATATATAGCAGGAGCTACCAATAATCGCTGCAAGAGCAGACTCCATCGCGGAAGATATGAAACCTCTTTGAGTCTCGTAGTATGATGCACCGGCCCTCGATCCTAGAGATGAGCTTCATCGCAGTATGGCAGTCCTTGCAGCAGCGCAGGTTCTGCATGATTCTGATGGGTCTGCTGCTCGGAGTGGCGATCAGCGCGAAGGCCAAGGCCAGCTTCTCGCTGTGGCGGAGGAGAGAGAGATCCTTCTCCTGCGGGTTGGTGTCGTGGAGGACGAGGTGGGTCTCTGGGACGTAACCCCCCTCCTCCATTTTGACTTTCAGCTCCTCCAGCTTCCAGTAGATCAGGTGCAGCTCCGGGTGGGACTTGTCGTCTGGGGAGAACACGTGGAGCAGGCCTTTGACTTCGACCCAGCTCCTGGATGGATCCTTCTGAAGCCCTCGCCGTCTCATCCTGCTCAAAGCATCGGCCTTTATCTCCCACTCGCCCATGGAGGCGCTGATATTCGATAATATTATGTACCCAGATGGATCTTCTGGCTTCGTCTGCAGGATCTTCTCCATAGCCATGCTCCCCAGCTTGATCTCCCTGTACAGTGAGCAAGAACCGAGCAAGGATTCCCAGATCAGGCTGCTGGAGCCGCAGGGCACGGTGTTGACGAACTCCACTGCTTCATCGAATCTTCCTGCCCGGCCGAAGAGGTCAACCATGCAGGCGTAGTGCTCCATTTTTGGCTCCAACCCGTAGACTGTGCTCATCATCTTGAAGAACTCACGGCCTTCGGTCACCAGACCGGCATGGCTGCAAGAGGCGAGAACTCCGAGGAAGGTGAAGTCATCCGGCCGGGTCCCTTCCCTCTGCATCTGGTAGAACAAGATGATAGCTTCCGGGCCGAACCCATGATGGGAACAGCAGTCGATGATCGAGTTCCAAGTTATCGCGTCCCTCAGAGCCATGGAGTTGAAGATCTCCAGAGCAGCAGCTGAATCGCCGCACTTGCCGTACATGGAAATCAGGGAGTTTCTCACGGAGAGAGCCTCTGAAATCCCCGCCTTGGTTATGAGGGAGTGGAGTTGTTCCCCCGTGGTGACGGCCGCCATGGCAGAGCAGGCTCTGAGGGCGCCGGTGGCGCTGAACGCATGCAAGGCCACACCTTTCTGCATCATCTGCCGAAACAGGAACATGGTTTCTTCTGGGAGGCCGTTCTGACCGTAGCAGGTCAATAGGGTCGTCCAGCAGACGGGGTCGTCTCTCTTCTGCTCCATTGCTTGGAACACCGCCTCCGCCTTCCTGACTTGGCCACACTTCCCGTATAGATTAATCAGGGCGTTCACTACACAGGAATCCGATATCAGGTTGCTTCTCAGAGCATACCCATGAGCTTCTTCCCCAAAACGCAGCTGTTTCTGAGCGGAAAAAGCTCCAAGAACGCCGACGATGGCGGAACCATCGAGCATTGCCTCTTCCTCGATCATCTCTCTAAACACTTCAATGGCGGCCGGATATAACCCATTCTGCACGAAGCCCACCAACAGGGAAGTCCAGAAGACGACGTCCTTGTGGCTGACCCTGGCTGAGAGACGGACTACCTCGTCGACGCCGCCGCATTTGCCATACATGGTCACCAGGGCGCTACCCAGAAGATCGTCCGCGTTGACCCCGAGCTTCAGCATGCAGCCGTGGACCTGCTTGGCTTGGTTTATCTTGCTCGGGTCGTCGAAGATCTTGACCAGGCTCCCGAAGGTGACAGCCACGGGCCAGACTCCAATGGCGATCATCTTCCTGAACAGCAGAAAGGCGGCTTCCTTGAACTTATCCTGCTGGCGTTGACTCGCAAAGGCGGAGATCATGGTCGTCCAAGTCGCCGCGTCTTTGTGGGGAGCAAGGCCAAACACTTTCCTGGAGCCCTCGAGGTCGCCGCATTTCCAGTAGAGGTCGATGACAGAAGCCGCCATGAAAGAGTCAGACTCAAACCCGAGCTTGACTGTGCTACAGTGGAGCTGAGCCCCCGTCCTCAGATCGCTCGCACGGCTGCACCCTTTGATGACATTCCCATGGGCCACTCTGCACCAGAAGGAGTCGTCTTCTTCATCGCGACGCCCTCCATTGGTACATCTCATCGCTCTCAACATCGTCACCGCCTCTTTCAACTGCCCAACCTTTGCGTACCCAGAAATCATCGTAGACCATGAGTCAGGATTAAGCAGGGGAATTTCGTCGAACAGCTTGCGGGCGTCAGCGGTGGCCGACTCTGATGCGTAGGCGTGTATCAGATGATTGCAGAGGAAGAATGAAGAGCTGAGGAAGCCGGCCTTGACGGTGATCCCGTGGGCGGCGGCGGCGGCGGCGGCGGCGGGTCGGCGTCGCAGGTAGAAGCTGAGCTGGTCGAGTCGGCGGGGCTGAGCTTGGGAGGGCATGGCGCAGGGTCGCGTCCTCACAAGTAGTGTCTTCCATGTCTGCGAAGAGAAGGTATCATGCAGAAGCTTGGACGGGTTCGAGAATGGCGAGACTGCGAGGACGACGGAGGTGCGGGGAGGTCAGTGCTCGCTGCATTCGGGGGGAGAGAGAGAGAGAGAGAACCGTAAGGCGTTTGGGGGGGTTGGGGGCACTACTTTCAGGAGATTTTATTATTTACATTAAAAATGTAGTCAAAACTGGGAACAAGCCTCTGTAATCATATTCACTACACTCAACTAGAGTTGACTAAAATTATTTTAATACATTAACGTATCATATATTTTCTCTTGTAGTCCAAGATACATGGGTAGGACTTCCCTGCATTAAAATAATTTCAAATGAAAATATTATTTACCCGCTTGAGCTCACTTATGCACAAGTTTTTATTTTCAGATGCCTATAAATTAATAATTAATTTGAAAAATGGCTTTGTAATTTAAACCCCCATTTATGCATGTTTTGAAGCTGATTCCATGTTAGTAATTTAGTCTTTTTTTAATATATTTGACGTCATTAATCCCACCTAGATATATGTATTGAAATGAGTTGAATAATTTACTAGTATAAACTTATTTTTTGAGAAGTAGCTGAGGATTCTCAACATTAAAATGAGGAGTAGAGAGCAAAATATGCCGTTCTATAAGTAATTTCAAAATAGTTTATCGATATTAATAATCTCATAGTAATTTGGATTCACATGGGAGTCTCAAGAGATTGCTCAGATACATGTTGACTTTCTAAGCATTATAAGGGATGTTAATGGATTAGATGTCATGCGTATTTTGGTGATAATCTCAACGTGTTGGGTAAATTACTTCGTTGGTTAAGTGTTGGTTTGAATAATTTGTATATAAGGGAGAGAGAGAGAGAGAGAGAGAGAGAGAGAGAGAGAGAGAGAGAGAGAGAGAGAGAGAGAGGGAGAGCGAGAACCTTCATCGAATTCACCTTCCACTGCTTTCATTTGTCCCCCACCGCCGTCGACGATGAAAATGGGACGAGGTTCATTTCTTCTCTCTCCCTCTGCCTTTCCCCCGCTCTCTTTTTCTCTCCCCCGAACCAATCCAAGCTTCTGAATGATACTTTCTCTTCATGTTGCCGGTGATGCTCTTGAGATCCATTAATGGAGGGCAGCGCGAGGAAGACGACGACTCGGAGGAGGTGACCTTGGCCTTCGCACTAGTAGGAATCATGCAGGACCTGCGCTGCCGCAGAACCTGTCGCAGCCCGGGTGCCATCGGTGCGCTTGCCGCCGAACAGCCGAAGTGTATCCGATTGGACACCAGCGATACCCACGAGAGCTGCGTGCGTTCCCCTTTTGAGCCACCCTGATTATCGTCAAGTCTTCTCTCTCTCTCTCTCTCTCCTCTCTCTCTCTCCTCAACTCAGTCTACTTCAAGAGAGTAAATTTGCTTCAAATAGAAGCCGTAGAGCTATAACATGAACCGAGGCCCGACAAATTATAAACAGTGCAGTTAAAATGATAACTAATTTAATATTAAAAAATAAAAGAGTGAGAGAGAGAAATTATCGCCATAATATGTAATAAAGTTATAGATAATAATTCGGTGAAATCAGGATATAAATATTTTGGATCCTTTATATATTAAGAACACAGACAGGATCCATTATTCCTTTTAAATCAGGCCCAATAATCACATTGATCACACTTCTTTTAAAATCAAATAAATGAGGAAAAATATAGAAAATACTCGGCACCATCTTTTATTCCGATTATTATATATTATTTAAATTAATTGGGAATATTTCAGCTTGTCTTGCCCTCACTCCCTCTCCCTACCACCGTCCCTCTCTCTCTCCCTCTCTCTCCGTCTCTCTCTCCCTCTCCTCTCTCAACATGAGAAGATCTATAAAAATACTCTTCAAGTTAGTGGGTATTAAGATAAGATCAAATTGTCACTCCATTGATACGTTATTTACAACTGCACATGATGAAAGTCAATATAATCAAATGGTCATTCACATATTATTTAAGTAAGAAGTAGATGAAGAAATAGCTCAAATGTTAGGCACATCATAACTGAAACAAAAGATGTAGAAGTCAGATGACAACTCGAAGAATCAATGTTGATTGCCATCTTATGAATATTAGTGTGATCTTCATTCTTAGACATGTGGCATACTTAATCTTTATTCTCTTAAAAATTACCTTCAACACCATCATGATCACATTCTATCCTATGTCATTTCAACAACAAGGGGGTCAAGTAAGATAATTAAGACAAGCTATGAGGATGATTGCAAAGCTTTAATTACAACATTTGGCCCCCTTGATGACAAAACACGACTTAAGGTAGCATGTGATTGCTATGATGATGATAACATTAAAGATGATAATCGAGAGTTTGAAGAACAAGTATGGCATGTGTTTGAGAATGAAGATCACACTAGTTAACATTCTTAAAAAGTTGTTTATGGATTCCTTCTTTGATTTATAATCCACCTTCGACATCCTATATATACTAGTTCTGTCTGATTTAATAGTTTAGCTTTTTTGTCATTTCTCTCCCTCAATGTTTATGTGGCAGTGTAGTGGTCATTTGATCTTTATTGAATTTCTTTAGGTAAAGTTAGAGTAATAATTTTGGATCTTTCTCTTAGTGCTGGTTGACTGGAAGAGGGCTTTTATAGATCTTATTCATATGCCTCACATACATCTTAACATCTTATCTATCTCTCTCTCTCTCTCTCTCTCTCTCTCTAGCTCTCTCCCTTTGGTTTTCACATTCTCTCTAGCATGCGATGGTACCTAGGTGATTAACTTGGAATGTTTTCATCAATGTTTTACATCTTCTCTCTTATCTCTTCTCCTTTAAAGCGAGAAGTACTCAAAGGGCTTGGGGCTTGGGACAAATGAAATACCTCCATCTCGAAGAATATGCTAATATAGCTTTTAGGGAAGTAGATTAGATAGATTAAACCGTGTGTAATTTAAGCTAAAGTTCTTTAAAGAGTATAGTACCTATTATTTATTAGTCAAAAGAGAAAAAAAGGACAGTAGAAAATAATTGTGTCAAAAAGATGATGTGCACTTGTCATTGTACTTAAATACATATTATCTAATAATATTTATAACTAAGACTTAATAAAATTTTAGTATAAAACTATCTCAAGTTGAACACAAAGACATTGATTAATCTATCATGAAAAATAATTTAATATATATAAATTTTAATATTTTATTACTATTGAATAGAAATAATAAAGTAAGATGACGAGGTGAAAAGAATAAAAAAATAAAAATGGAGAAAGGAAAGAAAGAGTAGAGAGTTCTCACGAGAGAGAGAATCGATGAGATCTCTTGTGAAAGAGAGAGAAAGGGAGATAATAAGAGAAATCTCACATAGAGAGAGAGAAAGGCCTCACGTGAGAGAGATAAGAAGGGAGAGGGAGAGAGGGAGATCTTATGAGAGATAGAGAGAAAAAAAAATTGATTGAGGGAGAGGGAGAAATAAAAAAAATTCATGAGAGATAGAGAGGAAGAGATCTCACAAGAGAGAGAAAGAGAGATCGATCAATAGAGAGAAAGAGAAGGAGATCAATTGAGAGATAGATCGCACAAGAGATGGAAAGGAAAAATGTCTCATGAGAGAGAGAGAGAGGAAGAGAGAAATAAGATGATAATAAAGAAAGAGAAAATAGGTCAACTCGTTTTTATGATGAACTGTAAAAAATAGTCGAGGGAGGAAGGAATGAACTTGTTGATTGTTGAAAGCCTTGAGCGTAGGCTGTAGGCACCATGTAACAAGAAAGTGCAAGCTCCTCTACTTTGTTATTTTCATTACTCCTAGATCCACTTACGATGCCTAAACTTCAACTTTAAGTAGTCGTTCATATAAAATTAAGACCTAATATCATCTAGTCTTCTATTTTAGTCTTATACTATTTTTTTTTTCTCTTGCTTAATCTTATATATTTTTTTCTCTATGACATGTCAAATATTAAGATGACTCTCATAAAATGGGGTTTTTATGACCTTATTATGACCTTGTACCGAAGGAACAAGAACATGAGATACCAGAATTACGACCTTATTGTGATAGAAGAGAAGTACATCATTATCATAATTTTGGTCTATAAGATCTTATTGTGTATCTGTACCAATAGTCATCAGAGAAGCAATCTCTACTAAATGACTTTTGTCAGAAGATAATTTATAAAATAATAACATAGATAATAGAAAAAGATAAAAATATAAATCAAGATAGAGTTACCTCTGGTATCTCATGGAGAAAAAAAATCAAAAATTAAGCAAGATAATAAAAGAGAAAAGTATGAGAATCAAGTAAAAGATTAGATGATATTAGCCTCACCGTCCTGATCTCCACGATGATATAAGCAATGAACGAAACGGGGACGTACTTATCTCCCGAGACTCTTATGTCTACCTCTGTCTCACGCTTGCAGAGGCAGTTAAAGCTAACCTAACCTGCGTTGGTGGGACTCTCTTTTTATGGCTCGTGTGCCTCGTTCTAAGCGCTGCACCGCTTGAGACGCTGCGCCAAACTGCACCAAAGTTGTGCTGAAGTTAATTCACATCTTTTCCAGGGAAGTGAGTAGTGACTCTACCCTGTATGTTTCCTCGAAAAGCAGTATGCATATTAAATCAAGGAGAAAGCTTCAAGGAATATATCTCTCTAACTCGCTTCAAGTTAATTCGCTGCTCATATTCATCGCAGTTAAAAACAGTCATCACGTACATATGGGTGACCTCCGATCCACACTGTGACGCCGAGGACGATCAGGATCACGCAACCGTTGTTGAAGTTCTTTGCCCACCTAAAGCCCGGCAGCGAGCTCTCGGCGAAGGAGATGAGCCCGAAGGTGACCCCGCTTAGAAGTAAACTGATGGAAAACAAGATGCAGCATGCCCCGAAGACGATCTGGTGCAAGGGGTGATTGACCGAGACGACCCTCTACAGAAAGATCGACAACAGCAAGAGGGCAAGGGCTGTCTGCTTCTCTCCCATGAGTTCCTCCACGAAATCTTTAGCCGGCGTAGATGACATCCTGAGAAGGAAGGAAGAAACATCTTCTGAAGAGGAAACAAAAATCGAGAAATCAGCGAACGGTCCTCCACCATTCAGAAAGAAAGAAAGAAATAAAGGAAAAATGGTCAAGAGGGACGAGGGGAAATCATCTTCGGCGAACCGAGGGATCACCGCAGGTTGCACAGGGCGCCGCCGAGATGGGCCGATCAGCTTCTTCCTCTTCTTCCGAGGGGGAACGAGAGAAAAAGCGAGAGAGCGAGGGAAAAGCGAGGGAGTTTGAGAGAGAGAGAGAGACGTGGGTCACAAAGATCACGCACGGCGATGCGGTTTATATGGGGTAGAAACGGAAGCTTCGCGGAAGCAACTCGGCAGAGTAATAGCAGGCGTCGATGGTGCGTCAGAAACCTCATGTGAGCAGCGCAAGGAGATGCATGGTGATACGGTACGCACGGGGACACGGGTCGAGCGCTTCACACACCTATTAGTCTCTCTCTCTCTCTCGCTCGCTCTTCACTCCCTCGCTTTTCCCTCGCTCTCTGGCTTTTTTACTCGCTCCCGTCGGAAGAAGAGGAAGAGGCCGAT